AGCTTCAGAGAAGTTCTAGATGATCTAGATCATCATCTAGACAGCTAGACGATGAGGTAGATGATGAGCTAGATGATGAGCTAGATGATGAGCTAGACGATGAGGTAGATGATGAGCTAGATGATGAGCTAGATAATGAGCTAGATGATGAGCTAGATGATGAGCTAGGTGATGAGCTAGATAATGAGCTAGATAATGAGCTAGATGATGACGCTCATTCTCTAGATCATTCTCTAGATAATGAGCTAGATAATCTAGTTCTAGGTAAGGTTTAACAGCAAGATGTAAAGATCTAAAGGTGTAAAGATGTAAAGCTACAGTAGTTTAGTTCTAGTTAGTCTAGATTGGTAATCTAGAGATCTAGATAATCTAAAACTATTGCTAATCAAATAAAATCTAAATAAGAACTAGGGAAAACGAGTCACATAAAAGAATCGTTGAAGAATCATTGAAGAATCATTGAAGAATCGTCACTACATGACTCACGGAGTCAATGTATGTTCACTGGAAAGAAGGGGGAAAGAAGGGGGAAAGAAGGGGGAAAGAAGGGGGAAAGAAGGGGGAAAGAAGGGGGAAAGAAGAAAGGAAGAGAAAGAAAGAGAAAAAGATCTAAGGATACCTGTCTGAATAGAAAGGTGGGTAGAACAAGGCAGGGGTAAGCTGGTTCACCTCCCACATTTTCCTCTGCCCTGTTCTCCGTCTTCTTCTTCTTCTTCTTCTTCTTCTTCAACTCCAACCTTGGCGCGCCTAATTACGCCTCTTCCGTCTTCACCTCTTCCCCCATTCCGCATCTTCTTCTTCTCTTTTGAATCCCCAAAAACATAAGAAGAAAATGAATAAACTGAGATGAGTTTTTGTTGAAATTTTTGTTGAAATTTTTGTTTTAAAAGGATTCTATTCAAAAAAAATAGCTTGAATTGAAGGTTTTGAATTGAAAAAACAAATGAATTTGTTTAAAATGATTGATTCGTTTCAGCAAGAGGGACAAGAGGGATAAGAGGGACAAGAGGGAACAAATATGGAGAGAAAAGGCAATTGAATGGGTTTTGGAAGAGAAAGGCTTGTTTTGGAGCTGAAAACTGACTGAAAATTGGATGAAAACTGGATGAAAAGATGGCTGGCTTGGCTTAGATCAACCAGTAATCAGTCAGGAAACAGCTAGCTTAATGATCAGCCAGGAATCAGCTAGTCTGATCCTCAGCCAGTTATCAGCTACCTTGAGCCAGTAATCAACCAGTTATCAGTCAGTAACCAGCCAGTTATCAGCCAGGAATCAGCTAGCTTAATACTCAGCCAGTTATCAGCCAGTAACCAGCCAGTTATCAACCAGTTATTAACCAGTTATCAGCCAGTAACAGCTAGCCAAGCTCGTTAAAAGCTACTTGAAAACTTGAATAGAGAACCAACCCAGAAAACCGCTAACAATAAGAATTTGTCTTCTCGAGACTCGCCTCCAATTCTCTTCCAGATTCCTTTCTGCTCACCATCCATTCACTTCTGTCTGCCATTTCCCCATGATCAGAAGACTGTTTGAGTATTTGTCCCCTTTCTTCCCCTCTTCCTTCCCCTCTTCCTTCCCCTCTTTCTCTCTCAATTGCGGGTCTTTTGTGTGCAGCCATTAGTCTTCTTTTTCTTACTATTCTTTCCCAATTCTTTCCCCAATTCTTGTCCCATTCTTCCCATTCAATCTGCTGCATTCAACAAATTCATTTACTCAAGGTTGAGATGAAAGAAGTGTGAAGAGTAAATGAAGATCAGGAAATTTCTTGGTCTACTGGAACTCGAGTTGAAAACTTGGTCGATAAAATATCTAGACTAGGGATCAGCTTTGGAAAAGGGTTACGGCATAGAGCTGTTAGGACTACAGTATTCCAGTGTACAGTAAGTACTGTAAGTAGGCATTGTAAGTAGGTAGCCAGCCAGCTAGCCAGCCAGCTAGCCAGCCAGCCAGCTAGCCAGCCAGCCAGCTAGCCAGCCAGCTAGCCAGCCTAATTCATTTAAAGTACTTCATCCAGACTAGAGCCAGGTTCAAGCTTAACATCTGATGCCGGTCGGCAGTAAATCCAGACCTAGGCCTACTGTACAGTACTGTAGTCAACAGGATCCCTAGGATTCTAAAGCTACAGTACTCTAGATGAATTAGGTTGGCTGGCTGGCTAGCTAGCTAGCTGGCTGACTGGCGAGCTGGTTAGCTGGCCAGACACAGGACAGACTCCTGGTGGACCAGAAGTCTGTCCAAGCCAGCCCATGTCCTTCTGATCTAGGTTCAGGCTTACTCTTAGATGTACCAGAGTACTGGGATACTAAATCCTACTGTAGCCCTGTAGAACTAAGAATTAGCCTCCCTGAAACACTGTTCCCTATTTCCAAGTTCTCGTCTTTCCCTCTCAAGAACCGACGATTTTTCTCAGCTACTTTTTACGAAAGCTCATGGATATTTTATTCTCTAAATCTCTAAAACTATCACTAATCTCTAGAGAAAGGGGGAAAGCAAGGGATACTGAGAAAATGGGGAAAGGGGGAAGGGGGGAAGGGGAAGGGGGGAAGGGGAAGGGGGGAAAGGGAAGGGGGAAGGCGAGGTTGGGGCAGAGGCTGGGGCAGAGTGCGGGGGAGGACTGGCGGGGGGAGGACTGGGTGAGGGGGAAAGAGTTGGGCTGGTCCGCTAGCAGTGTAAAAGCACAAACACCCCCATGCACATCTTTCCCTCAAGATTTGTCGTTTTTCTCTCGCTTTTCTTGATCTGAGATCAAGAAAAACGCTGGTACACATCGATTGCTTTTTCAGGGATTTTTAGGCGAAGGATTAGGCTGGCTGGCTGGCTTAGGCTGGCTTAGGCTGGCTCAGGCTCAGACTTAGGATCAGGCTCAGGCTTAGGCTCAGGCTCAGGCTCAGGCTCAGGCTCTGGCTCTGGCTTAGGGACTCAAATCGATTGATGAACTTTGAGAGGGTTTCCTGAATTACCAGCTGAAAAACTCGCTCGTCTGACGGTTAAGCCCGGGTTTTTCTCTCCTATCCATCTGCTCTCTTGGCGCAGTCGGGAGGGTGCTCGTCTACAAGCCGCACGGTCTGATCGAGGCCGTGGGTTCGACCCCCCCCTCGTGCAATTCAGTTTTTATTTTTCAATGGGTAAATATCGATGACCAAAATGAGTCAAAAGTGACAGAGTGACAACTGACAAAGCTGCTAGATTCAACGAGGACACAAGGACATCGATTGATATTCAACAAGTCCATCGATTGATATCTTTAGCCTCATGAACTAAGATCCCTGAGATATTGCTCAACTAATCCAAAGGATTGCTTGTACTCCAAAGGATGCTCCAGTCCTCTAGGTTATTGATCAAGGATTACTGTAGTTAAATTGTTGAGAAATTGATCGTATCGTTTGATTTGGCTTTATGATTAGAGCTGGGCTCGAAAAAAAGAGAAAAATGATCGAGCTTTTGTTTTTCTTTCGACAACCTTTTTTGGCCAACTTGGAGCTCATTTTTAAGCATCTTAAACTCGTCGAATTGGAAAGTTTTATAGAGCTTTAGATAGCTTAGAACATCAGCTTTCAGAAGCGCTTTATTTCATGAAAAGTTATTAACAAAAATTAATCTAAAATGTTCAAAAACTTGAGCGGCTCGAAAATCGTTTGCACGGTAAAGATAACGGTAAAGAATCGTCCAAAAACTCTACAAAAATGCGCAGTTTAGTCGAAAATCCAGTATAAACGTCTAAAAGTACCTGTTAGTTCTTTGTTTTTTTTAAAGTTTTCGTATAGTGCTTGTGGATTTGAATCTGAAAAAAACCTGAAAGATCGATTGGAGAGCCGGAAAGAGCCGAAAAAAGAGGGCTCATTGATTGGAAAAAGCATTGAAAAGCACCAAAATGAGTTTAAAAAGGATTCAATGCATTAAATGGCTTTAAAGAGCATCTAATTGCTTTTAAAAGCATCCAAATGTCTTTAAGGACATCCAAATGCCTTTAAAAGGCATCCAATAGCCTTTAAAAGCTTCAAGATGCCTTTAAAAGGCATCCAATGCATCCAAATGCCTTTAAAAAGCTTCAAGATGACTTTAAAAAGCATCCAATGCATCCAAATGCCTTTAAAAGGCATCCCAGGCATCCAGAGGCCTTTAAAGAACATCCAAAAGCATCCAAATGCCTTTAAAGAGCATCCAAGGCATCCAAATGCCTTTAAAGAGCATCCGAGATCCAGATGCCTTTAAAGGCATCCAAGGCATCCAGGCCTTTAAAGGCATCCAAGGCATCAGATGCCTTTAAAGAGCATCCAAGGCATCCAGGCCTTTAAGGCATCCAAGGCATCCAGATGCCTTTAAAGAGCATCCAAGGCATCCAGATGCCTTTAAAGAGCATCCAAGGCATCCAGATGCCTTTAAAGAGCATCCGATGCATCCAAATGCCTTTAAAGAGCATCCAAGGCATCCAGATGCCTTTAAAGAGCATCCAAGGCATCCAGATGCCTTTAAAGAGCATCCAAAGCATCCAAATGCCTTTAAAGAGCATCCGATGCATCCAAATGCCTTTAAAAAGCATCCAGATGCCTTTAAAAGGCATCCAATGCATCCAAATGCCTTTAAAGAGCATCCAATGCATCCAAATGCCTTTAAAAAGCTTCAAGATGCCTTTAAAAAGCATCCAAATACCTTTAAGAGCATCCAATGCATCCAAATGCCTTTAAAGAGCATCAGGCATCCAGATGCCTTTAAAGAGCATCCAATGCATCCAAATGCCTTTAAAAGCATCAAAATGCCTTTAAGAGCATCCAAAAATGCCTTTAAAGAGCATCCAAAAGCATCCGATAGCCTTTAAAAGTATCCAAATGCTTTTAAAAGCTTCCAAATGCCTTTAAAAAGCATCAAATTGCCTTAAAAGCATCCAAATGCCTTTAAAAGCTTCCAAATGCCTTTCAAAAGCATCCAAATATCTTTAAGGACATCCAAATGCCTTTAGAAGACATCCAAATGCCTTTAAAAGCATCAAAGCATTGCCTTAATACAACTTTTCACTAACCGCTTCGACTTTCTTCTGTTTCTCTTGGAGAAGATTTTCGGCGGCTTCAAGATCTTGAGTGGATTTCTCCAACTCTTGCTCGACATGTCCAACTTTCTTCTGCGTATCACGGAGCTCCTGAAATTGAAATATTCTAATTTCTCATCAAAACCTATAACTAAATGAATCGACTATAATGTGGGAAACGAGGTGAACTGGGTCTCATTACAGTTAATGTTGTTTTAAACCGATCTTCTGCTTTAGTTCATTAATTGGAACAATTGAATCAATTGAATCAATTGGGTCTAGTATAGTTGACTATCAGCCGAAAATCTAATCTATCGTTATGCTATAAAAAATGCAAAAGTCGAGCTGAGTGGCAGTGAGGGGGTCGAACCAGGATCTTGTGGGTTGTAGACAAGCCCCCTGCCGACTGCGCCACGGCCTATAACCAGCCCCTGACAAAAAAAGCGAGCTTTTATTGATCACGTTGACTAAAGCAGCGGACAAAAGCGGCGTCGACGGGTTTTTAAGTCTAGTTTTCTCGGCTCGTTCCACTGTCATCATGGCGCAGTCGTTAGAGGGCTTGTCTACAACCCACAAGATCCTGGTTCGAACCACCTGACTCCCACTGAATCTCTAATTTTTTTGTTGATTGATTTGGATTGATTTATGGAACTCGATCATCAAATTAATGGCTCGATGGCCGACTGGCTAAGAGTCGTTTATCTTAGTCAAAAGGTCAAGGGTTCAATCCCGCTGACTAGATTTTCTCTAGATTTTCGTCTTCTTCATCTTTTCTTCATCTATATGGCTTAACTATGCTTTTTTTATTGTTTATCCCTTTAAATAAATCAATTTCTATACAAAAAAACCCTATACAAACGTTTTCTAGACTTGAAACAATGCGAAAAGGCTTTTTTTTTAGAGAAAATTTGCTTAAAATAGTGGAATTTGAGTGAAAATTGGTGAGTTTTGATGATTTTTGTCGATTTTTGATGAATTTTGATGAGTTTATTGGCTTTATTAGCATTTAAACTTGTAAAGAATGAGTTTCTAAAGGTTTAATTGAACAAAAATTAGAGAAACAATGAGTAAATTGTGCTTTGGACAAAGTTTTCTGAAGTTTTCTGAAGTTTTTTAGACAAAAAAGTGTTGATTCAGGGTTTTACGATAGCTAGAGATCGCTAAAGCTTTCTGGATAGCTAATATGCTTAGCTAATATCTCTGGATAGCTTCTGGATAGCTAATATGCTTAGCTAAAGCTTTCTGGATAGCTAAAGCCTTCCAGAAACTCATCTCTACCGTATCCCCATTTAATTGAGTATCCTATTAAAGAAGGAAATGATGAAAAGACCTCTTCAACTCTCTCGAGTTTATCCAAGCATTGTCGCACTTTCTCCTCGGCGGCGTCGGCTCGATCGAGAGCGTTGTCCTAGAAATGATTCTAGATGGTTCTAGATGGTTCTAGATGGTCCTAGATGGTTCTAGATGGTTCTAGATGGTTCTAGATGGTTCTAGATGGTTCTAGATGGTTCTAGATGGTTCTAGATGGTTCTAGATGGTTCTAGATGGTTCTAGATGATCCTAGATGATTTTAGATGACTCTAGATGATCCTAGATGACTCTAAATGATCCTAGATGGCTCTAGATGGTTCTAGATGACATTTCTCCTTATTTTCCTCGATTTCCCTTGATTTTCCCCTAAAATTAAATGAAATTTCTGAAAAGATGTCCCCCTCAGACACCCCACATAAACAAAAGTGATTCAATTTTTTTTAAGAAAAACAAAAAAAAGAAATTCCCCGTTTGTTTCTTCGACATAAAATTGCTTCATTTCATTCAGGAGAATCATTTGCGTGAAGGAAAAGAGATTTATGTGTAAAATGTGTCTAAGAACTGTTGAATTTTAATTGTTTACAATAGGTGGATAAGTGAATTGTTGAATGGCTAAAGATTTCCTTATCTAAACCCTGTACTTTGAGCTGCTTTGACGCACCCCTTCTGGTGCACTGGATTCGCAATTTTAGACATATTTACATGCTCAGCTTGACTAGAAGGCGTGCGTTTATAAGCGAGCACAAAGTACGCACAATCCCGGTGTACTTTGTGCTCAGCCTTAAACCCACCCCTTCTAGTGCACTGAATTCGCCATTTTTCTCACAGAAATCCCTTGATTTCACGAAAAAATCAGGAATCAAGAGCACTAGAAGGCGTGCGTTTATAAGTGAGCACAAAGTACGCACAATCCCGGTGTACTTTGTGCTCACCGGTAAACGCACGCCTTCTAGTGCCCCAGATTCGTCATTTTTTCACAGAAACCCACTCGATTTCACGAGAAAATCAGGGATCCAATGCGCTAGAAGCCGTGCGTTTACAACTGAGCACAAAGTACGCACAATCCCGGTGTACTTTGTGCTCACCGGTAAACCCACCCCTTCTAGTGCACTGGATTCGCCATTTTTTCACAGAAACCCACTCGATTTCATGAAAAAATCAGGAATCCAGTGCACCAGAAGACGTGCGTTTACAAGTGAGCACAAAGTACACGAGATGTAAGCACTTGACGATGCTGGTGTACTTTGCGCTCAAGCTTAAACCCATCCCTTCTAGTGCACTGAACTCACCATTTTTTTCACAGAAATCCCTTGATCTCACGAGAAAATCAGGAATCCAGTGCACTAGAAGCCATGCGTCTACCAGTGAGCACAAAGTACGCACAAAACCCGTGTACTTTGTGCTCACCCGTAAACGCACGCCTTCTAGTGCACTGGATTTGCCATTTTTCTGGTAACAATGCTTTGATTTCGCGAGAAAATCAGGAATTCATTGCATCAGATGGCGTGCGTTTAAGCGACTCAAAATGCACTCAAATTTTCTTCTCCAAACCTTCTCGATCTTCATCGCTTGCATCTTCTTCTTGATAGCGTCCATTGTGCCTAAAAGTTAACAAATTTCTTTGTTAAATCTCTCCTAATCATGTCTACTACTTGAAATACGCTAATCCTATCGTTATAGAAGCTATAGAAGCTATAGAATCCCCGCTATAGGAGCGTCGCGTAGTCTCGAAATCTGCTCCCAAACAAACGCTTATAACTTGACACCAGTACCTTTGTTTCCATTCATTTAACTATCAAATTAAAGCCAAGAAATCAGGGAATCTTTTAAGCTATTAAACATCTTTTTAGCCTCAACCAATGCTGAGAAAAAGGCGATTGTAAAATAGAAAAAAATCGATATTTTTATCAGTTGATTTTTCTCATTTTTTTTTTCTAAGAATTGCTTTTAAGCTAGAAAGACATTTAATAGCTTGAAATATTGTCGATTTTCTTTCGTTTAATGCATGCAAATTGAGGCTTTGTTGATTGATTTCTCGATTGATTTTTCCAAAAAAAAAATTCTTTCAAAAAGTGAAGAAAAATCGTTGTAAAAAGGTCAAGAAATCAATATTTTTGCTTTAAATAAGTTGTTTAATAAGGTTAAATGAGTTAAATGAATCAAATGAATTAAAGGAATTAAAGGAATCAAATGAATCGAATGAATCAAATGAATTAAATGAGTCAAATGAATCAATCAAAATCAATCAAAATCAATCAATCAAAGAAAATCTTCAGGGGAAAGCTCTTTGGAAAACTTTGAAAATTGTATTCTCTTGAGAAATCGATAGATTTCGTTAGAAAATCTCGTTTTCTAACGAAAAAACGAACCCTTAGTTTCCGTGAAAAGCTATTGGAGAAGCTATTGGAGAAGCTATTGGAGAAGCTATTGGAGAAGCTCTGGGAGAGGCTCTGGGAGAAGCTATTGGAAAAGCTCTGGGAGAAGCTATTGGAGAAGCTATTGGAGAAGCTCTTGGAGAAGCTATTGGAGAAGCTATTGGAGAAGCTCTGGGAGAAGCTATTGGAGAAGCTCTGGGAGAGGCTCTGGGAGAAGCTATTGGAGAAGCTCTGGGAGAAGCTATTGGAGAAGCTATTGGAGAAGCTATTGGAGAAGCTCTGGGAGAAGCTATTGGAGAAGCTATTGGAAACCGACAATGGGAAACCGACAAAGATCGTATTCTCTTGGAAATTTTATTAGATCTCGATTCTAAATCTCGATTTCTAACCGAAAAACGAACCCTTAGTTTCCGTGAATTTGTCCATAAAAAGAAAAAGATATTCAATGAATGAAAAAGTTTTTCGTCAAAAATTTTTTGACGAAAATTTTCGTCTAAAATTTTCGGCCTAAATTTTTGTCGTTTTTTTTTTTGTCTTTCTTTTGTCTTTTTTTTCTCTTTCTTTTTTCTCCAATCATTTCCAAGTGATAAAAGTGATGTGTCATCAGAAAAGAAGGAATTTAAAAGAATATTCCTTTTCTGATTCCTTTTCTCTTTCCTTTTCTCTTTCCTTTATGATATCACAGCTCGTTTATGGCCGTTTATTAGCGTGAAATTTCGGCGAGAATTCTCAACATTCTTTACAGAAGCTTCTGTGAGAAATTTGGATCGATTTTGAGCTATAAATTTCATTTTCCTCCTTTGCTAGAGGGAAACGAGGTGAACTAATTACAGTTAATGTTGTTTTAAACCGATCTTCTGCTTTAGTTCATTAATTGGAACAATTGAATCAATTGAATCAATTGGATCTAGTACAGTTGCTTATCAGCCGAAAATCTAATATAGTTATGCTATAAAAAATGAAAAAGTTGAGTTGAGTGGCAGTCAGGGGGGTCGAACCAGGACCTTGCGGGTTGTAGACAAGCCCCCTGCCGACTGCGCCACGGCCTATAAGCAATCGCTGACAAAAAAAGCGAGCTTTTATTGATCACGTTGACTAAAGCAGCGGACAAAAGCAACGTCAACAGGTTTTTAAGTCTAGTTTTCTCAACGGGTTTCATTGTCATCGTGGCGCAGTCGGTAGGGGTCTTGTCTACAAACCACAAGATCCTGGTTCGACCCCCGCTAGTGCCACTGAATCTGCAATTTTTCATTTTTGTTTATTGATTTGGATTGATTTATGGAACTTGATCATCAAATTAAACATAAATCAATTAGCTCGATGGCCGACTGGCTAAGAGTCGTTTATCTTAGTCAAAAGGTCAAGGGTTCAATCCCGCTGGCTAGATTTTCTCTAGATTTTCTTCTTCTCGTCTTTTCTTCATCTATATGGCTTAACTATGCTTTTTTTATTGTTTATCCCTTTAAATAAATCAATTTCTATACAAAAAAACCCTATACAAACGTTTTCTAGACTTGAAACAATGCGAAAAGGCTTTTTTTTTAGAGAAAATTTGCTTAAAATAGGGAAATTTGAGTGAAAATTGGTGAGTTTTGATGATTTTTGATGATTTTTGATGAATTTTGATGAGTTTATTGGCTTAATTAGCATTTAAAGGGGACTTTTACAGGCGGGCAGCGATGTAGCCGATTAGCCGAGTGGTTAGGAGCCTGAGCTGATTGGCCGACTCCTCGCTAGTCTCGACCCGACTCCAGGATTTTCTTTCTGCGAGACAACAGTGTTTTTGAAATCCGTGAAAGGTGATGCCAAGATCTTCGACAAATCTTTTCGCGCCATTTAAGTGCGCCTTATTTAGTGCGCTATTTCTCGTCAAAGAACTTTAGGAGGATCGGATTTAGTCATCATTAAGCCATTTAAGCAAACTAGAAGCCATTTAAGCCATTTGACATTTGAAAAACGATTGCAAAGACGAATCCATTGCGCCAGAAAGCGTACGTTTACAAGATTCAGCATAAAGAACACTAGAAATCGGAAAAGTCAAGTGGAAACAAGAGAATTGAAAGGACGGTCACCAATAAGGGAATCTTTTTGAGGAAAGTAATAAATAGAACAATTCAATGATCAAAGAGTTCATTGGAAAATCTTTGTACTTTGTACATCTTTAAATCTTCGTACTTTGTAATAAGAAAGTTTTTTGTTCTCCTTGTAAAGTCTCAGTCTCAAAAGAGGGGAAAAAAAGCCGAAGATGGGATTGAACCCTCGAGCCTCCACTTACCGGTCGCTGAGCTCCTACCACTGAGCTATTCGGTCTCTTAAACGGCCGAAAGAAAAAGGGTCTTTCTTTCTTCTCTCCTGGTCTCTCCCCTTTTTCTCTCATCAAGTCAAGGTACCGAATAGCTCAGTGGTTAGAGCGATTGGCTGGAAAGCAGAAAGTCAAGAGGGGTCGCGGGTTCAATCCCTTCTCCGGAAATCTTCTTTATCTTTTCAATTTCTTCACTTCTTTATTAAATTTGTTGACATTTGCTGTCTTGACAGGTGTTTAAACGCGTCTCAATACAGCCAAAGCCTTTTCTTTAAACGCTGCTAATTCACAAAGCTCTTTAGGCGGTTTTTTAGGGGAAAAAGGTTGAGAAAAGAGTTCTTCCCTGGTCCAATCCGTTAAAGAATTCCCATTTCTCTAAAAATCGAAAGTCTAGAGTCTTACAGTAGCGTTCTCAAATGGGAATTGATAAAATTCATAAAAGAACTGAACGATTTGCAGAGTCAGACCCCCAAAATGCATACAATAGCTAGAGTAAATCAGTAATCAGTAAAATTCACCTGTTTAGTGACGGTTTACGAAGAGCAGCCGCAAAAAAATGAAATCAACCACTGAATGTGGAAAAGAGGGACGGGAATCGGCCCGGGGGGAATGCAATGGAAAAAAAGAGGGGAGGAGGGAGGGGTACAACAGGGGCCAGCTCCACCCCCTGTCCTCCCGTCCCCTCCCTTCCCTGTGATTCACCTCTTGCTCAGTCTCAACATCTTTCTTCTCTTCTCCTCTCTTCTCTTCTCCTCTCTTCTCCTCTCCTCTCCTCTCTTCCCATTTCCTTCCTTGCCATCTCTCTCCTCTCAATCACTTTTTTGCCTTCACATTTCTCGGGATCGTCTCTCTCCCCGATTTCTCTCGAGAATTATTATTAGCTTTTATCGACTGATCAAATCTCCATGAAAATTAAACGTCATGAATCATCTCAAAGAAACGATTTGGATTCTGAATTCACGAAATGAATTGTTTTGAAATTGTTTTAAGAAAAACATCCTATATCTTGTCTAATCTAGAGAAGAAACGCAAAAATCTAAGTGGGTTGGTCGCAAGAGGATCCGAACCAGCGATAGCCAGTCCCAAAGACGAGGACACTATCCCCTAAGCCACCAGGTCATCTCGGGTTTCCGATGAGGAAAGGTTTATATGATCGAGCTCCGCAAAATCGGGCTTTTCACGCTTTCAATTTTTAAACCAAACCGTCTATTGGATTGATTTTAAAACTAGGTTTTGCTCAAAAAGTTTCCATTAAAAAATTCCCATTTTCGATGCACGTAGATCTCGTCGTTTAAATGCTAAATTCAAACAGTTCCCTAGTCAGCTCTGCCCTACCAAAAACCATGAAATTATCAAAATCCACAGAGTGGTAGCGAAAAACCACCGTCTACCAGCTCGACTCGCCACTCTTTTAGTCCCCAACACCCCAAAAACCTCCCCTAAATTCTCCTAATCTCTAAACGATCACTCGAATGTCTATCATTTTCCCCTCTCCCCACATTTCCCTTCTCAATCCACCCCCAGGCCGTAACTCCCCCTCCCTTAGTACCCCTTTCCCCTTCACCCCAACAACTGTCCTCTCCTCCTCCCCATTTCAGCCACATGTCCTAAGTCCCTTCCCTTACACTGTTTCCACCGAAAAGAAGTCTTATAAAAGATCCCCTCAGTCCTCGCTTTGTTGAGATCCGCTTGAACTCGATCGAGAACCCCAACCAAACATACATAACAACTCCCAACTCGAGAAGAAATATCATTTTTGAGTCGGGGACCGATCAAGACGAGAAACGAGATAATGTGCAAATAGGTAGGGACCTACTTGTAACTTGTAACTAGAAACTCGCAAAACTTACTCATGTGTTATTGAAAATCTACTATCAAACCTCCAGCGAGGATATTGGTTTGACTGTAAAGCATGTTTACGTTTTGCGAGTTACTAACAGTGCACCGATGGCTAGAAAAGTAGATCGTACTTCGTTCTAATGTTGAAAACGCCCAAAGTTGTCAAACAGCCTTCTCAAAGTTTTCATTTCACATTCATTTTTCACAAAACCAACGCATTTGAGAAGCAATGTAAAAACAGGTAAGAATAAAATAAAACAAAGGTTAGAAGGTAACGTGTCGACAAGTATTGCCACAAAATATAAAACAAAGCAAAATAAAAATCAATCAATTATCAATCAATTGTCAATCAATCAATCGATGATGTCCGATTGGCCTAGGATGGATCAATCTAGGCCAATCGGACATCATCGAGCGGAGTGCGCTGGTAAGTCACTTGATTGAGATGATCCAAGCTCCACTGACCGTCAGCCAAATCTCTAGACAAAACAAATTAATAGTAACGTAGAGGGATGAATGTTGTAGGCCAAAAATGATTTGCTCCAAAACATTCAATTCGCCTCAAAGTATCACCAACCGTTGAACGATGAATGGAAAAACGTCGGCTCCACGCTGAGCATAGTCCCTTGCCACATAACTAAAGTCATTGTTTGATAGAGTAATGTATCCATAAAATCCTTAAAATTTACAGGTTTGCTTAAGACAGATTCGTACGACAAATTTCTTTGGATTAAGTTTAATAAGCATACAGTGGAGTGGGGATGCTCGTTGTAGCCGTGTTGTATTGATGCAGGTGGCAAAGACCGTAAGCTTGAGCTTGATATTGATCCATGGTGCGCTTGTTGGTGGTATCCACGCAAACCGTGTACTTTGGCACCTTGACCGTGCCCTAAACAAAAAATAGCATTGGAAACAAAAAGCAAAACTACCTGGAGTGGCTGACAAGCAGTCAAGTAGAACTCGGAGCGCATCGTGCTCACCACTTCACGGTCCACCACAAGACCAGGCGACACATTCTGCTCACCGCAACGGCCATTTGGATCAGGTTTCTAAATCACAAAAATTATTAACGTCAAATGAACATTTGATACCTCCAAGAAAAACCGCTCAACGTGGTCTAGTGACACGGCCACAAGACTGATCTCTGCGGTCACTTTGACAGTGCGGCAAACTTCCATCAAACGGCTCACCGCATTCTTGGCAACCTATACATGAAAAAGTTAACGGAACGAAAATTCAAAGTATAGCCTAATTTCACATTTACGAACCCGAGCAAGCTGTCCTTCAGACACTCCACCGATGAAAATATCGAAGAACTTTGGGGGCTAAATTTATCACTATCACTTGCAATTAACTCAAATAAAACCTTCCGGTACTTCTGAAGGCGTCCAAAGATTTGCTTGAACACAGGCGAAAGATCGGGCTAAATTAAGACCATACGAGTTTGCCAAATATATTAACCTCGGCATCCCTTGCTTGAACAAACATGAAGTTGCCAGTGTAGACAGTGGGATGCTGGAGGCAGTTGGCACTCCATCCCAAAATAGAAGCTGAGCGCTCTAAAAGCAACTCTCGTTTGACAAATTAACTAGCGACTCACCACCAGTTCCCGCAAAAGCATGGCTCATTTCAATTCCAATGATCACACGATCGGGATGCGAAACAAGATGTTGAATGCTAAACAAAAGATTTAGTTCATCAATTTGCAGAGCGCTTCTTACTCTTGATTTTGGAAGTGAATGTCATGGCAGAGTCCTCGGTTCTTGATGTTTGTCTTCATGATGATATTACTAGAAAAAATTAATCAAGAGGCTTGCATAAATTTTGTTACTCAAAAGTGACTCCTTGATTCTTCTCAACAGCATTGCGACACACCCTCATCGTCACTTCTTGAGTGGGAATGTTGTACTTGATCTCCAGGTACTTCAGCTCCTCTAAAACAACAAGAAACTAAAGGATTTTGGTGTAACCAACTGTGTCTTTCTTCATACTCCTCACTGACGACGAGAACAAATTGGGTGCCGTTCTTCTTTGCATCAGCCATGTATTGATCCATATCATTGGCATCAATGTGAAGCTAAAGCAAACGGCATTAAAAATTCTTAAGATTAGACTCCAGACGGGAATGGTACACAAACCTTCTTTGGTACTCCAAGCTGAACACCGCGATTACGTCCTCTTGTGATCATTTGAGTCACAAATTTGCTAAAACTAGTTTATTATTCGTGCTAAGAATAACTTTTATCCACCAGTCACCATGAAATATTAACGCTAAGGTATCTATGCATTTGAGAAACTAACCCGACTGTATCAAGGTTTCTATCCTCGACGTTGGCCCACAATTCCCATTTGGGCACCTTGGCAGCAGCGAAGAAATGGTTTTTGTTCAAGCGCCATTTTCCATTCGTCACGTGTTCTCCTTGACCCTGGGCGAAGACAATGCGAGGAGGATTCAAAAGACGAGCGGTGCTCAACTAAACAAGAAATAAAACAGATTAATATTAGTTGGTTCTAAAAACTCACTTTATACATCAATTCATTGGTGAGCCTGAAGCCAGCTGCCTGCATGAAATTGTCGTTGTTGATGTTGAGCGCCCTCAATGCCGTGATGATTTGGGGCTTGCGGCGCGCCGGTAGCGTTGAGGCCGATTTGGTCGTGCTTTCGCCTATATGAATTATATTTTTCATGTTACAGAAAACAGGACAATGTTGAACTATTCTACTCGCCTTGCTCAGCAAACTCCTGCGATTTCTTCACTTTTTGATACGGGCAGACCTTGAGCACTTCGATGGGGAAGAAAGAGCCCCTGAAGTCGCGCACGACGTTCCATGTTGGATTCCTGAATGAACTTTAATTAAAAGCCAAATGTAAACCAAACAAACTTGAGATTTTTCCCGTATTGAGTCTTGAAAAATGCTTGCACAGTTGGGCCTCCATGGTGAATGACTTGGACATTTGCAGGTGCTCCAAAACCCTTGATCGTGAATGAAGGAGCGTTGGAACGATGTATCGGTTGAACTTCAAGATCTACAGAAGTTGAATACGTATGAATATTCTGGAGTTTAAATTTTTATAAAAGAATTAATCTCAACATAATGCATCAATTACTGATATGACACGTACTTTTCAATTGATTCAGCACATGTTGAGCTTTCAAAGCGTTTTGCATGTTGAAAGAGCGAGGGGCCGAGCGTCCACCATGTTCCATGTAAGTGGCTTTGATCTTCTCCTCAAGAGAGACTTCGAGGTGCATAGGATGCTAAAAAGAAACTCTATATGCCAGGTTTACTTTATCTACCTTGCTCAGATCAACCATTATCATGAGCTTCGGCTTTTGTCCTTGAACTGGTGGACCTTCAACGACTTTCACACTTTTTTTCAGCGTAGGAATCGCTTTGGCAGCGCCTAAAATTCTCTCGTTAAAGAAAAAAAATTAACCCTTCTAACAACAAGTATACAGCCGATAGGTGGAACTTTAGAAATAAATTACTACCTGGTAGGTCAGGGGCATCGTCGCGATTAAATCCTCCGGCTTGCGGATCGATAAAGAGCACATCGCTGTTTGCAACAACAAACTTCTCACTAAACAACACACACTAACATTCCAATAAAAAAACTAACTTATGTTGGTAGGCCTCGTGCGATACCGCCACATTTGCAAATTCTTTGAAGAAATTGTCGAGATTATTGGAGGAGCTCTGAAATAATTTACATGCAAGGAAGAAAACTGTTGATATACTTGGAATTCCTTAGCGGGCTTGAGGATAATTTCAGCTTTTACGGGATTGCTGATTCCACTGACATCAGCCAATTCCTCTGCATCCAAAGTGAATGTGACACCATTTTCCTATAAATAATCCATTAAACAATAGCAAACAACTTTTTCATTTTATAAACGCCTAACTCACCAAATCTTCAATGGAAAACTGATTGAGACTGTAGCAGCAAGCAGCGGAATCGGTAACGAATGAGGCTTGTCCTTCAGGGAAGAATGTGCTTTCGCGTGCAACAAGAATGGACATCAACTCAGCCTGAATGAGTTTCCTGTTCACCTCCGTGAAACTAAAACATTCACTCGTTAAATGTTGATGAAATATAAATACTCTTCACGGTTCTGCTTAGTGACCTCACGAGGTTTGGCGGCACGCGGAAAGTAGACCAAAACTAAAGGAAAAGGTTAAGATATCCGTGTTTAAAACTTACTTCTGAGATCGTACTTGAAAATCGGCAAGTTCTTCTCGAGCCGGATCGGAAATCCATTGACAACAATACCTTGTGTCTAAATCACCGATAACAAAGAGAAGATAATAAAAGTTTACTAGTTGCCCGGCAGTTCCCGGAGCTAGCTTTTGCACCAAAGAAAATATAGGGTTATTGTTGGACATCGCTTGACTAAATAATGACATTGATTACAGTAAAAACTCGAGCACAGTAAATCTTCAGTAGAATGAACAGCTGGTTTTGTTCGCTTTATCAAAGCTTTACTGTAACTGAAATTCCGATGTTAATATTCGGTGCTACTAGAGTTGACCGACTCTAGCTAAATCTTTGCGGGTCCGAGTTTTTCTATGTTTTCGGACATTCTGAGTCCAGATGAAACAAAACCAGAGCTCAAAACAAAATTTTTACATTGTTTTGTTTGTTAGCGATTAAGCCATTTAATTTTTAATTTTTTTTAAATTTTTAAATGTTCCCACTAAGCACCACGGGGAGATTGCTAACTAACACTCAGCGTGGCCCTGAAGAGGATCGTTGGGTTGAGGGTTTCAACTGCTGTCAATAGTTAAGCGATTGGTTCTGCATTGGCTCTCCACATTTTAGGTATGAAAGCCAGCATTTTACGTAGTACTTTAAAAAAATTTAGTTTTGAGCAGATTTTGTTTTATTTGGACTCAGCATGTTCGAAAACAGAAAAAAAAGCTCAAATCCGCAAAGATTTAGCTGGGGTCGGTTAACTGTCGTTGCGCCTAATAGTCAAACGATTTTAAAGACATTAAGCCTGATAACTCAAGAACAATCCGACCATCAAGCCATGCACTGTATCAAAAAAGAGCTAAATCAGAGAGAAAGAATCAGTCGAGCAAGAAAATTTTATACATCTATCTAAAAAAAGATCTTCCAAGAATGTTTTCCTTCCACGATTTTTCTCGCGCTCTCCTCTCTCCTCTAACTACATGCTATTTTCCTTGCGTAAGCAACGAATTTAAAAAAAGGTGCCTTTTCAGCTTCACTTTTTTTGAATAGCATACTCCCCATCAATCAATATGATAGAAAGATTATCGTCGCGTAAGCATATTTGAGAACGCTGCGGCAACAGATACTAGGTAAACGAATGGAAAATCAATCGGTTAGGGAAAACTACATACCACAAAGTTCTTGATAAAAAGACAGGGTCGGCTAAGGTATTTTGGCAAATACTCATTTTTTTCTAGCGGGAAAACAACTCTAACATCGAAAAAGTAAGTTACTTGCTTGAAATTTTAGCAAAAACGCTTTTAAAAGTAGTAACGCAAGTGTTAGAAACGTTAAAACAAGCCGCGGTACCTATGGGCTTTGGGGGGAGGCACTTTTTCACCAAAAGTATTTTTTCTGGGGCAATTGATGATCACGAAAAAGTTATTTTTAAAGAAAGATAGCAATGGAAAAATTTTCCTTTTTATCATAACACATTTCTACAATTTGGGCATATTCGTTTCTAATGCAGCAATCCAATAAATTCTAACAAGTTCAAATCACTCAATGCTTGAATCGCTTGTTTAGCGATTTTTTTTTTGCTTTGTAGACAAAAGACGATTTGCTAAGTTTCCAAGCGTTTTCAAGCTCATGTCTAGCCGCAATGTGTTAAGTCACAAAAATCCCAAAAAAAAACGAAATATGCATTTATGTGTTAAAATGCAAAACCTTTAAAACCAGGTAATTTGAAGTCTAAAAACGGAAATTTTTCTATTACTAACTTGGGGGTGGGACAAATGCGACCTTTTTTGGCGCACCCGGTCAAAGGCGCACCTTTTTTTCGCTGGAAAAGGCCGTAGAGCTTCAAAATTGTTTTCACCTAAGGAAATCGTATGCGTAGATTCTGAATTTCACCTCGCTGACACGGCAAATTTGGCTAAGAGGCAAAAAATGCGGAAAAGCGTTAAGTTGCATAGTTTTTGCCTTTTAGCCAAAGTTAGACGTGTCAGCGAGGTCTGATTTGTCGAAATTCAGAATCTACGCATACGATTTCCTTAGGTGAAAACAATTTTGAAGCTCTACGGCCTTTTCCAGCGAAAAAAAGGTGCGCTTTTCGCCGGGTGTGCAACAAAAAAGGTCGCATTTGTCTCACCCGCATTACTTTGCGTTAAAAATAACTTTTTCGTGATCAGCGTCATCAATTACCCCAGGAAAAATGATTTTGTTGAAAAATAAAGTCCAAAGCCCCCTTAAGCCCACAGTACCCAAGCCAACCATTGCCAAAAGTGCAACTCCAGGCGTGTCAATTAGATTCCAACTTAACTAAATAAAAAAACTAAAACAAACTAACTTGAAGAGATCGGCGGGTAGCGTAGTTAGTAGCTTCGAGCTTGATTCCTCGAATGAATGAAAATTTTCGCCTAGCAAACTGTTTTATTTCTATATTCCTTCGTTTCGGTTATTCAATTAATCAGCTGCATACTTTCAAATGATTTCAAATAGTGTATTTAAAGCTTTTAGTGTATTTTGGTATTTTTTGCTTCTTATTTTGCCGTTTATCATTTTTTTTCTGTTCTCGTTCTTGTTTCTCGCTTTTTTTTAAACAAAATCACATATTATATCTATTTTTTAGATTCCACACATCGTTTATGGAAATAGATCGTCGACGAGCGGCACGCGATCGATTCTTTCGAAGATGCGATGAGGTAATGATGAAATGTTTATATTTTGACTTGGATTTGATCAAAAAAAAATAGTTTGGCTACTTCTAGAATAAGAGTGTAATGTATCTGAATCGATTTGTCACCATTTCAATAAGCTTACGCGTATTGAAATGGTGACAAATCGCTTCAGAAACGCAGCTAGAAAACTGTTGCTTTTTGTTTTGATCAAGCGAAATGTGTTTCACAATCTTTTGGCTAAAAATTTGCTACTAATCAACTTCGGGCGTAAATTAAAATACATACCACAATGTTCTTGATAAAAAGACAGGGCTGGCTAAAGTATTTTGGCAAATACCCGTTTGTTCTAGCGGGCAAATACCCATTTGTTCTAGAAAACAACTCTAACATCGAAAAAGTAAACTGCTTGCGTGAAATTTTAGCAAAACCACTTTTAGAAGTAGTATCGCAAGGGTTAGAAACGTTAGAACAAGCCGATCTTTGCCAAAAGTGTAACCCGAGAGATGTTAATTACATTCCAACTTAACCACTTTTAGAAGTAGTATCGCAACATCGAAAAAGTAAACTACTTGCGTGAAATTTTAGCAAAACCACTTTTAGAAGTAGTATCGCAAGTGTTAGAAACGTTAGAACAAGCCGATCTTGGCCAAAAGTGCAACCCGAGGGGTGTTAATTACATTCCAACTTAACCAAACACAAAAACTAGCATGAAGAGGTGGGCCAGGCCCACTTTGACCCAACTCTATGGCCTAATTTTGAGTCTCTTTTAACAACTTTTAAGGTAATCCTCTAAATATTTACAGTAAAGACGCGATATTTTAGAAATTCAAAACTAGATAAAAATGATAAACCATTACATAAAAACACTATTTCTGATCAGCGCTATTGATAGCTTTGTGGTAATTACCCCAGAAAAGTTGAAAACCTCAAAAATATCTCCCCCAACCACCAATGTACCAAAAATTGTTCAAAACTTTCTAAGAATATTATCAATAGATTCATCATGCTTGATTACCCTAGAAAAAGTAAAAATAACGTTGATAAAACAGTCAAAAATAATCGGGTCAGTGTCCTCCTTCCTGAAGTTTATTAGTACCAAAGATTGAAGCATTATTTATTTTTAGATAAAGCAACAAATACCGTACGAGAATGTTTCAATAGAAGATATCAACCGAGATCTCTATCTACCGATCGAATTTGATGATGAGAATAGTCGAGGCGTGCGTGAACAGATGATAAGTCTGGCGGAAAAGGTTAGTTAAGTTTAAATACGTGCTATGCGTGCTAGTTTATTCTTTGTTTAATGGTTTAGCTTGCGTGCTAGTTTATTCTTTGTTTAATAGTTTTGTTTGCGTGCTAGCTTATTCTTTGTTTAATAGTTTAGTTTGCGTGCTAGTTTATTCATTGTTTAATGGTTTAGTTTGCGTGCTAGCTTATTCTTTGTTTAAACGAAATTTTAACAAGATGAGTGTGGCGTATTTCAGTCTATAGAATAACCGACTGGTGCATACAGACGGCTCTTCCAAAACTGTACTTCCATTAAAACAATTGTGAAGCTTTAGGGATTTCGATTACGATCAACACCGGGAGCCAGAAGTCGACTATCACTCTCGCCACACATTACGGAGATTTCCCCCGACATTCCCTCGTTTCCACCAAGACCAATTCTTTGCAGTACTCCAAACGAACGCGGATATCAGGTATGCTTAATGTTAACGCTAGCACTAGCTTCATACAGGGTGTCCAATATAAAAAATGTTTTCAAAGCGGAATTCCTCAGAACTTCTGGTGGCTAGAGGTAGTCGGTTTGGTGTCATAGTGAATCATTTGTGCACGAAAACCATTCGATTGGGGATATCATGAAATTATGGGTGCCATCATGGTCACCACCATAAGACCATCAATAGGATAAAATTTTCCCCATAAAGTGGAGACTTTCTACTGGCATAGTGGTGTCCTATTAGAGCTAATATGTAAACTAAGATTATTAACCAAACAGTTTCTTAATTAGAAGTTCCTTGGAAAAACTAGGGCTCTCTTTGAAGACAGTGAGTTGAAAGGGCTTTATGTATGAGAGATTAGTGCATGTTCTAGACCTGCTTAACGAGTTCGGGCAAAATTTTCAGACAGGCTGCCTCGCTCTTCGTTTTTTTACTGCCCAAAGCTCCTTCGAGCATGAAACCCGGCAAGCCCTTATTTTAGGCTTCATTTTGATACTAAACATGGCTAGGTTCTGTTTTACTATTCTTTAGATTTCGATCAATCTTTCGCCGGACTCGATAAGCTTAACGAGTCCAGAATAATTTTGATCAAAATAGAAAGAATGGTAAAACAGAAACTAGCCATGTTTAGTAGCAAAAGCCTAAAATAAGAGCTTGCGGGGGAACTGGGTTTCAGGCTCGAAAGAGCTTTGAGCAGTAAAAAAAAAATCGAAGAACGAGGCAGACTGTCTGAAAATTTTGCCCGAACTCATTAAGCAGGTCTATTCCAGACTAACAATCTGTTCGGTTAATAATCTTAGTTTACATATTAGCTCTAATATGGCACCACGATGCCAGTAGAAAGTCTCCACTTTATGGGGAAAATTTTATCCTATTGATGGTCTCATGGTGGGGACCGTGGTAGCATCCATAATCTCCTGATATCCCCCTATCGAGTGATGGTGTTTTCATGAAAAAATATGAAGAGTTTTAGAGTACAAATGACACCACACTGACCACCTCTAGCCACCAGAAATTCTGTGGAATGCCGCTTTGAGAACGCTTTTTATTGGACACCCTGTATAAGCAAAAGAACCTCAGGTAGCCCCACGTCTGCGCGCCATCTATTCACCACCGAGGCGGCGAAATAATTCTCCACAATCTCAATCTCTTATCACAATCAATTTCTTTCCATTAACGGGTATCGATTTCTTTTATTTATTCGTCATTTTCGTCTTATTTTGCTCTTTTATCTATGTAATGAACCAGAGTGCTGATAACGGAAAATTTTACAGACCCGTGTGATTGCATTTTTCTCCTGGGTTGTGTCCGTTTTCTTCGTTACTCATTTATGCTTACTTGGAGTTTTGTTTGCAGGTTATTAGCAATCAGATTAACATTCAAAGACAGTTAAAATAAAGTCGAAAGCTTTAAGTCAGGATCTGGCCTGAGTTTCTACCTCTATCTAACCAAGAGCAAAGATTCTGCAATGCTAATTTTGTGTCAATTGTATGTAAAATTTATTTTCATCTAAGTAAAACTTAAAATGCCAAAAATGATAAACTAATAGCTTTCAACCCGCATATTTCATCGAAAGTGTCAAGGTATCCCCACAATACACACAGAGAATCTGTTGGCTTAAAGAAATACCTGCTGCAAAGTATTAATCAAAATAAGTAGAATTATGTGTTATGAAAAAATGTCAAGAGCAAGTCTGAGCAGAAAGTTAATTATTCATCATTTCGATTTAAAACATTTGTCAAACCGGCGGAAGCTTCGGCAAATGTCATTGACTTGTGCTCTCCTAAAAACCGTAATAATTTGTGTACAAAACTTCAAAAACTTACACCAAAAATTGCTTGTAGACCAAGAATTCTAAATCGTCAACGTCGGCAAATTCGTCTCGAATCTTATTCAAAGCTTCCAAATCGTTCCCCACCGTGGTCATTTGAGGCACCGAAGGCTAAATGTGATTTGAATTAGGCTCAATTCAAGAAAAAAACCTCTGGATGAATGACGGCAAAGATTTTCGCTTCGATAATATCTTCTTGAATAGATCCATGTATGGAGCTAAACTCTCAAAACGTTACGGCTAAAGCAGAAAACCCACTGATCCATCTTTGTTTCCGTTAAACCCAGAGAGTCACAGACTTCCAAACGATGTGAGGCCATCAAATTTCCATCTCTCGTTGCAAAACCGCACTCGCATTCGCTCAAATATCTGAATTGATTGAATAGAATTTAAAAGAATTTCACAAACCGTCCATTAGTGACAATGCGACGTGCGGGGTTTTCCTTGGAAAGCTAAATTTGGAAAGATGCAAAGCACTATCTTCGTAAACCGACTTTTTCAAGCTCCGAAATCGACTCTTCATAAGCGGTGATTTTACATTTAGTACATCGCGTCACAACCGAAGATCCGTTAACAATGCACGCATCACAATTGACAGTACCCTTAAAAATAAATAAAACATATCTTGGGCATATGTTTCCTACCTTTCGGTGAGTTGAGTGAATTGAACCAACTTTTCGTTGTCGAAACGAGTTCGCAGGCTAAAAGAAATTTTTAGCAACTAGTAATATTATAAAGTTTACCAATTGCTTGATGATCCAATTATGAGGGACGCTTGTATTGTGGTCACTAGCGCGGTGCCTTTCCATATCGCCGCGACTCAGAAAAACATAAGCGCAATTGGAGCAACGATATGTCGTCAAAACTAAAGAAAACGGTTAAACTTCATCATTAAGCTTTACCGTACCTGTTCCATGTTCTGCCATATGATTGACAAAGTTTTTACAAGTGATGACATCTTTAGTCCGAAGTTGAGATCGTGAAATCACGTCAACGTATGTGCAGAACGGACACCACAAATACATGGAGTTGGCATGGTGCTAAAGTTTGCCGTTGATGACTGAGAATGATAAGTTCAACCTGAATGTAGTGATTGAAGAGAATCATTCGTTGAGTAGTTCGATATTGACAAGACCTAACTTGGCAGGCATATGGAGCAACCTGAGAAATGTATCATTCGAGCATTTCAATAAAAGCTACCCTTGGAGGATGCCGAGTAAGGTGTTCAAGTAAAACGGTGACTTCCTTCTCGCAAATCTGACAAGCCACTTTATTGGTAGCTTCATTGATTCTTGAATGGCATCTCGTGTAATGAATCTAAATTTAAACTTTATCATGTCAGCTACAAGTATTAAGAAGCCGCCTTTGTAAAAAGATTGCCTACCTGCAACTTGTGCGGTGACTCAAAAGCCGATAAACATTGTTGACAAGTGGTGATTGATCGAACATCTGAGAAATTCTTTCGCTGTTGTCGTTGCCTACGATCTCCGACTTCTGCAGGCGTAACATCAACTAAAATTTTGTGTAAGTTAAAAAATGACTCTTCGTTTAATACCGATATGGGCCCACAGATGAGAGATGAAATCGACGTTTCCTCGCACGATCTTGTTACAACTTTGATATGTACACTAAAACAATTTTCATCCATTGATGCAAAAAAATAAAAAATAAAAATACCTTAAATTTAGCATTTACTTCTTCGGAATTGTCATCGATCTGTCCATGCGCTGCAAACGTGTAAGTTGTTAGGCGTTCCTCTGGTTCTCTTTGAGCCACTTTCCGCACGATATGCCTGAACTAGAGATTGATTATTTAAAATAAAATAAATTTTAATCTTTGACTATCGTTTCCATTATCCATTTTACTTGTTTAATTCCAAAAATAGAAATCTAGTAAATTTTTAAAGCTTTTAAAAATTACGACGTCGGAATTTGGGCATTCGGTTGAACTCGGTTCCATTCAGCATTTTGTTGTGAGCAGTTTGGCAGGGAATGTCTGACGGTGGAGATCGGAGTGTTGATTTGTTTCAAAAGATTTTCGACTGGCCTTTCTAAAATATAAAACTGGCTTCACATACACAAATTGAATACAAAACCGCTAAAGTTCGCCGATAATCGACCAAGTAAGCCCTCGATGTTGATTGGGGCGCCCATCGAGATTTCGGCGCTCGCTGTCGGCAACGAATCGTTTAGTCGCTAAATAAATATTTGTAAAAAAAGTCAATGCTATGGAATTTTAGAAAGTCAACTCCTGACAAATACAATTTTATGTACTTCCCCTTCTTTGTGCCACTAGTTGTAAGGTTCTATCTTGCAAAATTAAGTACATTATTACTTGATTTTGCAAACCTGCGCCTCAAACTGTCGTACATAGCACAAACACAGATGGCTCGTATCACGCTATTACTCTGTAAAAAGCCGGTACTTCTTTAGCTGGTATCCCCGAACTATGGAAAAAAATTTCAACAGATTTACATGTTTTTTTTAACAATTTGCATAGTACATACGCAAAAGATTTATATGTCGTAGCCGCTGACGAATTTCAGCCGCTAACGAATCATTCGTTAACGGCTAGCCGCTAACGAATGAAATTTTTCGCTAGCCGTTTACGAATGATTCGTAATCGGCTAGCCGCTAACGAATCATTCGTAATCGGCTAGCCGCTAACGAATCATTCGTTAGCGGCTAGCCGTTAACGAATGAAATTTTTTCACTAGATGTGTACGAAATCTTTGTAATTGGCTTCTGCGAACATGGCTAGATTCAAATGAACTTACCGTGTTTTTGGTTTCAAATTTTTTACGCAAAAAAAAAGAAAAGAGAAAAAAATTCATTTTGAAGGGAGCTATTAAAAGTTGTCAAAATACCCCTTTGCTGAAAATGGGTCCTCCGGGACGAGTCCTCCCCATTGTTATCAGTGATTTCGGATTCATTTTCTTTCTGCTTTTTTATTATGCTTTGTTTTTATTATACTTGCTTTATTATATTTGTTTTTTCAGGATGAATTCGTTTCTCAACCAACTTGATACGTATCAAATTTTGAAAAAGCGAACGCATATACTAACGACGAAAAAAATACGACGAAATTGCGAACAGATTGACAACAATGTCAAGTGAAAGTGAAAGCGAGAAACGGAAGCGAACGAGAGAAGAGGCGAATTGGGCACGTCGTTACTCGATTCAATGTATTGAGCAATCAAAAATACTCTACAATCATGGAGATAAAGGAGAGAACGAACAGCCAAAACGAGTCGTCAAGAAAGAGGAACTCTTCGATGTTTTGACGTCAACTCACAAAAGACTGGGACACGCCGGCCGGGACCTGATGTGGAAAGAACTGCGAGGAGATTATCACGGGATCTCAAAGGAAATACTCGAGATCTTTATCAAACTTTGCCCGGAATGTGAATTAAAGAAGGGGACACCAAAAAAAGGAGTTGTTGTGAAGCCGATCATAACGAAGGAGCAAAATGAACGCTGCCAAGTCGACTTAATTGATCTTCAATCGGTTCCGGACGACGACAACAAGTTTCTGATGGTTTATCAGGACCACCTCACTCACCTTAAATATTTCATTTACCAGGATGATTTTATGGTTTAGGTCACAAGCATTGCAATTGCACAAATGGATGCACGAATGGACGATGTGTGTGCCTCAAAACCAATATGCTCTGCAATAGCCGATGTCATCACAGTAATTCCTGCACCAACAAATAAACAGTTTGTTTTATGCATTTTAGTTGATGTTTTGTTAGTTATAAACGTTATTATGTTATAAACGTTAATATGTTATAAATGTTAAATGTTATAAATGTTAAATGTTATAAATTTTATTTCACTGTTGTGATTAATTTGCTGATTTGCGTTTTGTATAAATAGTTTGAAATCAAAGGCTCATTTGAATCGAGCCATGTTCACGGAAGACGATTACAATTGTGCACGGCTAGCGAAAAAATTTCATTCGTTAACGGCTAGCCGCTAACGAATGATTCGTTAGCGGCTGAAATTCGTCAGCGGCTACGACATATATATGGGTCAACTAAATAAACAACTAATGAAGAACGTTCATTTTTATCAATCGCGCAGCATTGATTGATCAAATGGATGAATTATGAGAATTAAATGCCCGTAACTCTATCGACTGTTAGATTTGGATGACGAAACATTTGAGGTAAAGATCAGGGATTTTGGTCTTCTTCATACATCTCGCACTTTTGTCTGATTGACAATCTCTAAGGAAGGAGGAGGTAGCATGAATTTGAAGTACGTCAAATTTTTTTTCGATGGTTGGGGGTTACCAGCTGAAGAAGTACCAAAAAGCCTTCTAATAACCAACCGCTCGTTTTCGTGGTGTTTCCTCCTCGTCATCAGATAATGTAACCACCTCCGGAACCATGACGCTCATCATCTGAGCCTGGAAATGAACATATTTATCATCTTCACCGTTGTTTACACATAATTGGGATCAAAAAAACTACTAGATAATTACTTGTTAACGACTTTCCATAATTATTTCATCAAAAGACTTGAAACTTTATTTCGAACAAAACAGTACAACAAATCACCATAACAATGAAATAAGTAAATAAAAAAACCAGATAACAAAAATGAGATCAAAATTCGCTTTTCTTCATCAACAGGTAAATGTTCCGATCGATTTCGAATTCTTGTAGATTGAAGGCATCGCCACGAAGTCGCATCAACAAACCTGGAAAAAAAAAGAGATTTTTACGCATAAATTATTTCTACATGATCGATGACAGTAAAGTTGAAAATCTTAACCGTTTTACTAGCAATAATTTATCCATCACTTAAAAACTAACCCCCAAATGACACATAAACGTCTAATTGTTGCACATCTTTGTCACCCGCTTCACCGCCCTCAATTCTGTAGATTTTCCCGTACATCACATATTCGAATTGGGCAACTCGGGGGTTCTCTGCCTAAAATGTACAAATATTTGGTACTTTGGTGGTTGGGAAGGGGCACTTTTATCCTGGCTTAGTTGTATCTAATTTTTTGCGTGGTTGTATTGATACTTTTTATCTACCTATTCTAGGGTAATCAAATATCCTTATACTTTTAGAGCATTTACAACATGTTTCAAGTTTCATATTGCTGCTTTTATTTGATTTTTAAGTGTAAGCAGCTTTGAGGTAGCGCTTGGTGGCTAAAGTACATGAATTGCCAAAAACTAGAAAATTAGAAATTAGTATTAGAAAAAAGACCAGAATTGTCAAAAAAAACCCTGTTAAAATAGTCACCAATCTATTAAGCATATTTGATTACCCTAGAATAGATCAAAGGTATCAATACAACCACTCAAAACATTAGATCCAAGTCAGGATAAAAGTGGTCCCTCCTAACCACCAAAGTACAAAATATTTTAATATCCAAAAGTTTTAAAAAATGTGCACATGCACGGAAATATTTTCTAAGCTTTTAAACAAAATCGATGAACCACTAAAAACAAACCTGTTGATCAAAAATTCCTTCATCGACAATTCCATCTTCTCGTAACGTTGTGGCAAGCATTAGCCGAAATTTGTCGTTGAGATCCACCGGGTAGAGCTGCGTGTTTACGTCCAGGATGAGATTCATACTAAATACAACGATTATTTTTAGGAAATGATTGAGTAATATATATTTGTTTCTTTAATTCCAAACATACATAATCGTAAGAATTGTTAGATAAAGATCTAAGCGAATTTTCCAACTTAACAGATTAATAAGCTTTAAAACTTGATCAATCTTGATGAAACCTTGATAAAGTTTATGCATTTAGTTTTTGAAAAATCTTGTTGAGGTTGTAGCCATGAGCTTTTAGGCTTTTCAAAGCCTTAAAACCATGAGCTTTTGGACTTTTCAAAGCTTTCAAACCATGAGCTTTTAGACTTTTCGAACAACTATTGAAATTTAGATTTAAAAGTTAGGTGCTTTGGAGGGACCACTTTTGGGTTGCTTTGTCGAATCTAGTGTTTTGAGCATTTCGTGTCAATACTTTTCTTCTATTCTGGGGTAATTATATATGCTGAAGCGATTGTTGCTAATTTTAGAGTATTTCCAACATGTTTCAAGTTAGTATTGCAACTTTCCAAGTGTAATCAGCTTTGAGAAAACGTTCAGTGGTTAAACAGGCTAGGACACAAATCATCGAATAGGATTATTAAAAAACGTGCTTAAATTAGCACCAATCGCTTCAACATGTATCTCTTTTAGAAGAAAAGTATTGATACGTCTTTTAGAAGAAAAGTATCGACACGTCTTTTAGGAGAAAGGTATTGAAAAGTATCTTCGGCATGTATCTCTTTTAGAAGAAACACGACACGAGTCGACACGAATCGCTCAAAACACTAGATTCGACAAAGCAAGCCAAAAGTGGCTCTTCTGAACCACCAAACTACCAAAAGTTATCACAAAAAAACTCACTTAAAATTCTCGGAATCGCAGAATAATCGGCTGACTCGATCGAATTTTTTCCCATCCGGATCCACGTCTTTCACTTTGAACATATCATCGATGAGAATACCCGACATTCTAAAAAAAAGAAATTGATAAAAACGATAAACAAAGTAAATAAAAAACTAGAAACAGAAAACATAAAGCACATGAAAGCTGTCGATATTGTAAAAACGTTTTGTACAAAAATTTGGCAATTCTAGAGATAAAATGGGACAAGATTGTGCATTTTTAAAGTTTCGAAAGTCGCAGCTGTTTTGAAATTCAAAGTTAGCGCTTTAAAAAACGCAAAAACACCAAATCGTGAGCTTATTAAACGCTCAAAGAGACTCATAAATTTTAATTTTATTGGAAACTTGAAACAAATGGGCTAGCTACGTAAAATCGGCGCCAAAGAGGCCGACCTTAGATAGTTTTGCGTAGCTGGGCAGCTACTTGTAAAGGCTTTCAATAGAATTGCAAGTTCATTGTGTACTTTAGCATCAAATAGAAAACGCTAGATATTTTAAAGTCAGTGGTTTTTAAGTTTTTAAACCTTTCTTGTCGTTTACTATGTGCAGGAAAAAAGTACAATAATTGTTCTAATAGAAGCATACATAGAAGTACAGTCGCGTAGTCGCAAACTTTTTCGTAATTCATTTTTTTCTAAGCGCGTATTTCTAAGCGCTTATTTCTAAGCGCTTATTTTTAAGCGCGTATTTCTAAGCGCGTATTTCTAAGCGCGTATTTCTAAGCGCGTATTTTTAAGCGCGTATTTTTAAGCGCGTATTTCTAAGCGCGTATTTCTAAGCGCGTATTTCTTATTCTAAGCGTTTTCTTAAAATGCATGTTTGGTGTCAAAATATGGCTCTGATTCGGGGTTATCGTAGTGTACAATGTAAGAGAAAACGTAACGTAACGTATAACGTCACAAATAACGTAATTATTCTAATAGAAGCATCTATAATGAGTCTAGCTATAAGCTAAGAACGAGGCGCTCAAAGTTAGACTACGTGACGCTCCGATGTTTATAGATAGATAGACTCATTATAGATGCTTCTATTAGAATAATTACGTTATACGTTACGTTTAATTATGTTATTTACGTTCTTTACGTTCTTTATGTTATTTTTGAACTTTACATTTGAAAATGTTAAAAACTTTCGAGTATTTAAAACTTTTGAGCTAATCAAAATCGAATGGATGAAAAAAAAGGGTACTCTTCCAATATAGGACATATGTAGCGCTGCCAAAATTTGCTCCCCCGATTTTCCTTTCGCTCCCCCGATATTGGAAAAGAGCCAAAAAAAGTTATAAGTAGAAAGTTATAGGTAATAATAAAGAACGAAGAAAGTGATAGGCAGAAGAACTGCTCAAAATAGCGTGTACAAACAACGCCGGACAAAATAATGCGCTTGCGCTTAAGTTTCCTTGTGTTTCTTATTTTCATTGGATGTAGAAAAATCAGCTATCTGCTTGGAGCCGTTTAGAACAAATCTGGGATGAGAAAATCCCAAAGAAACGAAAAAGGGCTCAAAAAAAAGATTAACTAAACTTTTCTCGACATCAATTCTGATTTAAGTGATCCCAAAGTATGCAAAATGTAGATAATTTTATTCTGCATTCAATAAGAATAAGAAACACATAGAAATTTAACCGCGGAGGGGGGTATTTTTGCCTTGGCGCTGTTTGTACGCTGTTTTGATCAGCTCCCAAAAGAACCAAAGTAATACAGAGCGATCAATACTTTTTTCCAGCACTGTATTTTGCACTAAACTTCTATTTCGGTTCAATTTCTTATTTCAATTCTATTTCAATTTTAATTCTATTTCTATTTAAATGCTATTTCTATTTCTATTTCTATTTCTATTTCTATTTCTATTTCATTTCTATTTCATTTCTATTTCTATTTCTATTTCTATTTCTATTTCAACTCTATTTCAACTCTATTTCTTATTTCATTTCTAATTTCAATGCTATTTCCATTTCAAAAGCTACTTTGCGCCAATTTTTTTGCTCAACTCGCCATAACTTTTTTCTAAGTCTTTATGACTTTGGTTTCATTTTGTAGATCTGAATAAGTGCAACAAAAGGACACCAAAATCATAAAGATTGATCCATTCGAAGAAAGTCTATGGCTAGCTTCCCAAAGGACCCTACTTGCGCCAAATGTTTTTGCTCAACTCGCCATAACTTTTTTTCTAAGTGGACCAATCTTTATGATTTTGATGTCATTTTGTAGATCTTGACAAGTGCAACAGAATGGCATCAAAGATTGGTCATCAATGACATCAAAATCATAAAGATTGGTCCACTTAAGAAAAAAGTTATGGCCAGTTGCGCAAAAAAAAAATTCGGGGCAAAGTAGCTTCAAAGCTTGAAATTTAGCGCACTTCAAAGCTATTCTGGCAAATGAAAATGCGACTTGAATTGTTTATTTGATATATTTAAAGCTTTTTATTTATTTTCTATTTATTTATTTATCAGCTAACGCGGCACAGTCGGAAACACGCTTGTCTACGGCCCAAATGATCCGGGTTCGACCCGGTAGTGCCACTTAATTTTGACTTTTTTTTATTTTCTTATCTTAAATAGCACAAATATATTATATTCGATTCCCCTTTTATTAAGCAACATGAACATTTTCACATCTGGTGAAGTTAGGTGTATCGCGTAGTCGCGCCGAAAAATTTTTTTCCCAAACACGGCCAACTCCATATAACTCAGCGGGTTTTCAACTTTTTCAAAATCTGATTTCAGATTCGTGATCAGCGCATTTTTAAACTCTAATCTAGAAATTTTCAGCTAAAACGAGTAATTTTAGAAGTTTATTGCTAACAGACTGACTGACGGACCTTTCCATTTATATATATTAAATCATTTATATATATTATATCTATTTTATTTATATATATTATATCTATTTTATTTATATATATATTATTATATTATATATTTATGTATATATATATAATATGATAATATATATAAATATTTAAAGCTTATAGGTTTATAGATTTAAAGACGCTATATTTCTATTTCTATAGATAAGCAAGCGTAAGAGCTGGGGGATGGTGGGTTGAAAGGAAAAAAAAAAGAAAGAAAGAAGGTGCTGTCTATCGATCGACGGCCACCATTCCATTCGCGACACAAACGCAAGTCTCTGGCAGCCGAATAAACCCAGACTTTGCCCATTTTACGCTCTTTTACTGCGCTAGAATCTTGTCTCGCTACCTTGTAAAGTGGTGTGTGACGTTGGCGATGGAATCGCTATTGAAAACGCTATTGAAAAGGCGAATGGAATCGCTATTGTTTAAGAGTTAGAAGTCAAAAAAAGTCAAACATTTTACGTAAAAATTAGTATTGTAATTGTAATTGGTTGTAAGTAATTGATTTTCTGCTTTATTTTTGCAGTAATTAGTTTTCTGCATTGTTTCTGCAGTAATTGGTCTTCTGTATTCTTCGAAAAAGAACTTTATGCTCAAAAGCGTAAACGCATACGTTTTTGGCGCACCTTTTTTTCATAAAATCAATCGTTTAACATTTTAAGCTTAGTAATAGGTTCTGTGAGCTCCAGATGGAAGCTTGAAAAAAGTTAGAAAGTCGAAAATCGATCAGAATCCGACTAAAACCGGCCAAACTCGTGCCAAACAAAGCTAACGAAAAAAAAAAACATTTATTACCACAGAAACCAGTCACAAGATCGCTTTAGGAGCATTGAGATCGTAAACAAAAGTGTGGAATGTAGCTTGTACAACAATAATAAACAATCCCGTATAGTTTAAGAGCTTCAAATAAATATAAAAAAAGATTAATTACTAAAATCTTTTCCATTATGTCTCTTATTAGTCAAAAGATAAGCAAACAAAGCTGACAGAATGCACAAAATAAGAATAGAAATTGGGATAAGTGGAGAAAGATATGAGGAAATGCAGAAGAGACCGCGGGAAGTGCTGAGGAGGGAAGCATCTTCCTCATCGAGCACGAGAAGGGAACGGGTGGCCACGTCAAGCTGAAATTGTTGAAATGTTGGAGAAATATCCAACATTTGGCTTGTTCTAGAAGTCGTTCAAGGCAAGGCACTGGCTTGGTTTCCTGGCCTTGGTCAGCCTGGGCTTCCTAGGTCAGCCTGGGCTTCCTAGGTCAGCCTGGGCTTCCTAGGTCAGCCTGGGCTTCCTAGGTCAGCCTGGGCTTCCTAGGTCAGCCTGGGCTTCCTAGGTCAGCCTGGGCTTCCTAGGTCAGCCTGGGCTTCCTAGGTCAGCCTGGGCTTCCTAGGTCAGCCTGGGCTTCCTAGGTCAGCCTGGGCTTCCTAGGTCAGCCTGGGCTTCCTAGGTCAGCCTGGCCTTCCTAGGTCAGCCTGGGCTTCCTAGGTCAGCCTGGCCTTCCTTCCTTTTGTTTCAAGCCTACCTTGGCTTCGAACTCTGCCTTACCGCTGGCGATCCGCTGCCAAGGTAGGCTTTGTTGTAAGTCTACCTTGGCTTCCGCCTTTCCTTACCAGGCTTTCAAGCCTAGCTTGGCTCAGGATTGAACCCGTGCGGATCACCCATGGCAATCGCAAACGCACTAACCACTAGGCCACTAGGTAACTAGGCCACCACTAGGTAACTAGGAGGATCGCGTGAAAATATCTTATTGCAATCTTATTGTGTTCTAAAAATCTAAAGATCTAAAAAATAAAAATAAAAAGTTGAATATCTTTTTTTGCTTTAGACTTTAGAAAATTCTGATTGCAGATTCGGAATCACCGTGAAATTCTGTATCAAAAGCACCGTGTTTCCAGCGAAACATGCGAACAATCGAGGGAATCTCGTGGCGTTCCCTTGTCGGCCAATCTTTTTTGTTCAAAAGAAACCATTCCCAGCAGTTCAACACCCACCAACTATCGTATTCTTCTAGCTACAGTACCCAATGTTTTACTGGTTTATTTAGAAAGGTGTCTTTCCTTTCGCTCACCTCAATCCCATCACGATCCGATCTTTCCACAAATCTCTTTGTCCGATTGAACACCGCAATCACTTCGGGACCACATTTTGGAGGCTAAAAATAGATTTTGTTTTTTTGAAAATGAATAATTAGAGATTTAAAGATTTGTCAGCTCCGAACCAAACTGATATTTTAGTTACTATTGTTATTATTGAATGATTTGTCTATTCTTATGCAAATGTGTTCTCCCCTGTGCTTATCCCTTTTATTGCCGAGAAGGGGCGGTCCTTGGGACTGCCTAGGAGGACCTAGGGGCCTAGGAGGACCTAGGAGGACCTAGGAGCCTAGGAGGACCTAGGAGGACCTAGGATTTGTTTTGATTTGATCTACCGTATTTCTTCGAATAGAAGATCAGGTAAAGAGTATGATCGTGTACTCCTGCGTAGCAGCCCTTTTTAACATTTCTTTTCTGCATAAAAGCTATTTTCTAGGCACCTTCAATAGCAACGAGAATGCTCAAGTGCAAATTCAAAATCATCATAAACTGTTTTTTTTAAGTTAAATAGTTCCAAAAAACTTTTGAAAATACAAAATTTGAATTTGTTATAAAGCTAAGAAGGCTAAGAAAGCTAAGAAAGCTAGGAAAGCTAGGAAAGCTAAGAAAGCCAACAAAGCTAAGAAAATAGCTTTGGCTTCCGGCCTTGCGGGCTTCCGGCCTTGCGGGCTTCCGGCCTTGCGGGCTTCCGGCCTTGCGGGCTTCCGGCCTTGCGGGCTTCCGGCCTTGCGGGCTTCCGGCCTTGCGGGCTTCCGGCCTTGCGGGCTTCCGGGCTTGCAGGCTTCCGGGCTTGCAGGCTTGCGGCCTTGCGGGCTTCCGGGCTTGCAGGCTTCCGGGCTTGCAGGCTTGCGGCCTTGCGGGCTTCCGGGCTTGCAGGCTTCCGGCCTTGCGGGCTTGCGGCCTTGCGGGCTTGCGGGCTTGCAGGCTTCCGGCCTTGCGGGCTTGCGGCCTTGCGGGCTTGCGGCCTTGCGGGCTTGCGGCCTTGCGGGCTTGCGGGTTCATAAAAACCCTCATAGAGTTATCTATTTATAGTAAAGTTACCGTAATCCCTTGACAAGAGTCCATTTGTTTCTGACAGAGTCGAATTTGACACGTGAAATACAATTGATTTGAATCAGCGTATTTGAAAACCTTAAAATGATTTGTTAAAGGGCTGTTAAAGGGGTTTTTTTGAGACCTGGCTTGTTGCATGCGCTCTCATTAGATTCAAATCATAGGTGAGATCAGAAAGAAGACCCGAATCCGTTGAACAACTGAAAAAAAAAACAAAAGAAATTGATTCAGTACGCCAGAGAAAAGTGTTTACAGCATAAAGTACGAGAATGGTCGCTTGGAAAATCGCTTTCCCTGCTTTCCCCGCTTTCCCCTGTCCCACGCTTTCCCCGTGCTTACCCGTTCTCGTTTATCACTCCATGCTCATCGCCATCACCGTCGTTTACTGCACAATTCTTCACCAGCATTCCCAGATCGTTTCCGTGACACTCCCAAACGTGAAAAACCTAGAAATCTTTGTTCTTGACCCTCTCGATTAGCTGCAATGCCAAGAATACCATCTTATCAAAGTCTTACCTCTCAATTAGCTGTTAAAACGTTCCCTAAACCATACCCATTTTCTTTCTCGACTTCTCGACCGTAAACTTGTCTAATAAACTTTTCTCATAAACTTTCCTCACCATAAACTTATTCTTTTTCTACAATCTATCGCTAGACTCAATAAAATGAAGATCTTCAATCGATTCTTCGACCCCGAAAACCCCCGGCTACAAATTTACAGCTATAAATCTTCTTTTCAAGCCATAAACAAAGCAAAAGAAAAATCCCTGACTGGCTGGGTGTTCTTTGGGTGCGTGCACAATCGTTCATTATTTGGCACACGCCTTGGATAGATAGGTCTTCCTTTGATTGACTGGGTGTTCTTTGGGTGCGTGCACAATCGCTCGTCATCTGGCACACATCCCCATGGATAGGTCCCCCTTTGGTTGGATGTTCTTTGTGTTGGCGCACAATCGCTCGTCATCTGGCACACGCCTCGGATAGATAGTTCTTCCATCGATTGGCTGGGTGTTCCTTGGGTGCGTGCATAATCGCTTACCATCTGGCACACGCCTCCGATAGATAAGTCTTCCTTTAATTGGCTGGATGTTCTTTATGTGCGCACATAATCGCTCGTCACCTGGCACACATGCCTGATGGATAGTTCTTCCTTTGACTGGCTGGGTGTTCTTTGGGTGCGTGCACAATCGTTCATTATTTGGCACACGCCTTGGATAGATAGTTCTTCCTTTGACTGGCTGGATGCGCGCATAATCGCTCGTCATCTGGCACACGCCTCGGATAGATAGGTCTTCCTTTGCTTGGGTGTTCTTTGGGTGCGCGCACAATCGCTCGTCATCTGGCACATACCTCCGATAAGGCCGTCTTTTTTTGGCGTCATTATTCACAAACCAGCCGTGCTTATCCACGGCTCAATCGGGAGCGCGTTTGTCTCCGGCGCACAGGGTGCTGGTTCGACTCCCGTATGTCTCACCGAACAAAAAATCCCTGGGAACAATTTTTGCCTGAAATTTCGCCGTATTCACTCGAATTCTGAATCCATTTAAGCCAGCAGAGTCACTCAAAAAGCAGCCAAATCGGGAGAACTGACAGAGAACTGACTTGAATCTCAAGAATGCCAAGTGTTTGAGCGTTTCGAATTGCAGTAGCAAACGTTAAACAGCAATATTCTCTCTATGGTTATGCAAATTAATTCATCTTTACCGTATCTCCAACATTAGCAAAGGACAAAATCGGTCCATGTGGCCCGTCTCGTCTCACAGAGTATTCACAAGTCGGCATCGGCATCTCATTCGCCAATTCTGTAGTGGCCAAGTGGCTAAAATGTTAGAATAAGAACATGCTTTCATCGATTAGAAAAGCCAAAGCCAAAGCCAGAGCCAGAGCCAGAGCAAAGCAAAGCCAGAGCCAAAGCAAAGCCAGAGCAAAGCCTATTTCCCTACTTGACTTCCAATTTTGAGGTGACCACTTCTTCAGGCTCTGTATAGAAACATTTCACATGGAAAGCTCGATCGTTTTTTGTGATGAAACCGCTTGGATGAAGTGAGACGACGACGGTCACCGAGAAATGGACTCCACGGGGATTCGCCTAGAAATTGTACGCCTAGAATTTTACCTATACCTAGTGCTCTGCTTCGAGCCCGGTAGCTGAAACAAGTTTCTCTACAATTCTAGGTTTGTTTTTGGCAAAACGAAGACTTAATAGAAAAACGGTGTTCAGCTACCGGACCCGAACCAGAGACCCCTCGACTTGCGGTTCTGCCTGGCGTCTTAACTCACTACCACTCGGCCATTAGTGCAACCGGTGACCCTGCGGAAAACAGGGTTATAAAGTCGCGCTTTGATTTTTGACAAAAAATTTAATTGAAATTTCGAAGATAAGCTTTAAAGGTCACTTTTCAATCATTAGGACTGGATATAGCCGACTGGTTAAGAGCTCAGTATCTCAGTCGGAAGGACAAGGGTTCAATCCCTTCTCCAATCCTTTCCACTCACCGATCGCAACCTTTGCATTCCACATTGTCCAAGTGGTAACGAGTATGTGTTGTTCGCGCCGTCTTTGTACGATTGTCGACAACTTTTGTCTTTAGCTCGACCCTGAAGGTAAGACTTTGGTAAGATGGTATTCTTGGTAAGTCTTTGGTAAGTCTATAGTATTCCACAGTAACCCCTAAAGATGAATCCAGAAAAGCACTTACTTTGACAAAGATGTTTCCTCGAAAAGGGACCTTTGTTGTGATATCAAGTCCAAGATCGTTTTCAGCACACATCACATTTGGAGTACCTAGAGACGTTTGTCTACTAACTAGTTGTCTACTAACTACTAAATGGTACCTAGAGACTTTTGTCTACTAACTTCTACTTCAAACCAACAAACCGATAATCGAATTCTCGATGTAAGCCTGGGTCTCGTGAAATAGAGTCGATAGAAGAATAGAAAAGAAAATGCGTGGCATTATTGAACGGGTTTAATCTAAAAGTTTTAAGTTTAATGGATAAAAGGATAAGAGGATGAGAGGAAAAGAGTAGGAAAATATTTGAATACTTTAAAACTATTGGGTTGGTGAATTGAAAGCTGCGAGCTATTGTCAGATGTGACAGTTTGAGCACTTTCTTCAAAAGAAACCCATTTTGGTGTTCAGCCTAGCATGAGGTATTCAGTCTAGATTAGCTGGATTACGGTATTTAGTCTAGATCAAGGTATTCAGTCTAGAATAAGGTATTCAGTCTAGAATAAGGTATTCAGTCTACATTAGCTGGATTATGGAAAAAAAGAAAAAAACAAAAGAAAAAAGAAAAAAGAAAAACAAAAAAAAAAAAACAAAAGAAAAAGACAAAAGAAAAAGAAAAAGAAAAAGAAAAAAGACTGAAAAATGAAAAATGAAAAATTCTTTCTTCCGGGGTCCCTTTATTGCGTCGGGTTACGGTAGTTTCCGACGTTTGGCGCGGAAACGTCTGAAAGTACGGTGGACGGTCCGAAAGGCATTTGTCGTCAGAATTTTATTATTTCAAGAGAGAATTCCTTTAAATTGATTTAAAGTAAAATGAAATTAAACCCAATTTGTTTAATTACTTTTTTAATTATTATTTTTTATTATTATTATTTAATTCATTGGGTTGGTGAATTGAAAACTGCGGGCTATTTTCAGATGTGACAGTTTGAGCACTTTCTTCAAAAGAAACCCATTTTGGTGTCAATGGAAAAGTTGTAGAGAATCAAAAATCAAGCTTATGTCCAAATTTTGTGACAGTTTGAGCATCTTTGAGCTTTCGGAGGAGGTTTTATCTGTGAACTTTCGGAGGAAGTGGCAATGGGTGGGGCCAGGCGAGAAACCCGAAAGTGACCTTAAGCCCGATTTGCACCAGAAGAAGTTTATGCTCTGCGTTTTCTGGGATATGGAGGGAGTTGCTAGATAGCAAGACGGCCGTTAAGGCAATCAAATACAGTGAACAGTTGAGAAAGGTGAATGATTCATTGAAGAAGAATCGGCCCTCCAAGTCAAAGATCGTTCTCATCCACGACAATGCGCGCCCTCATGTTGCAAAACGGACTAGCTCTAAAATAAATAGCCTTGTTTGGGAACTTTTGGCGGAAAAAAATTCCCCATACAGTCCGGCGCATTCCCCAGACAGTTCGGCGCATTCCCCATACAGTCCGGACCTCGCCGCTTTTGATTACGATTTATTTTGATTACTATTTATTCCGGATCATGAGTAATGAGCTTGCGGGAGAACAGAGATTCGGGAGAACACTTCGATTCGGAAGAAGCAATCAAAAATTGGCTTTGAAAGTTTTTGACTTTGAAAGTTTTTCGATTCAAAACCAAAATCCTACTACGAAAGAGTTCGTAAATTGCTTGTAAAGTGGGCAGAAGTCGTCAATAATAAAGGAAATTACTTGGAATGGTTGGAATGGAATGGTTGGAATGGAATGGTTGGAATGGAATGGTTGGAATGGAATGGTTGGAATGGAATGGTTGGAATGGAATGGAATGGAATGGAATGGAATGGAATGGAATGGAATGGAATGGAATGGAATGGATGGTGGAATGGTGGTGGGATGGAATGGAATGGAATGGAATGAATTGATGGTTTTATGTTGAATCAATTTTAGTTGTTAGATTCTAGTTGTTAGATTCTAGTTGTTAGATTCTAGTTGTTAGATTTTAGTTCAAAGTCCCGCAGTTTTCAATTCACCAACCCAATAGATTGACCCATCACTATGAATTGAAAGAACGAAATCGACAAGAACTTTAGAATGTAGAAGAATGTAGAAGAAATAGAATTTATGTATGATGATCGTTCAATTTATGTCTGACAATCCGAATCGACCTTGCTCTTTTTGCCAAAATCCGATAATTTTTGCGGATTTCGACTCTCGAGCGTTCTTTTTGAGGTCACTGGGTTAATCTCTAAATGTTTCGCGGAAAGTAAATCACTTTTTGTGAAAGATGAGAGATAAGATTCTGTATGAGCATGAGATTCTGGAGAGAAATGAGAAATGTTTCGAATTTGATGATAGAAATTTGTTCTGATGTGAAAGGAGAAGAGAAGGAGTCGATAGAAGAAAATATGATAATGATAATCTGATAATGATAAACTAAAGAAATCAAAAATCTGATGAATTTAAAAGTTTAAATTGATCAAATTGATCAACGAGATTTTTTTGAGTAGTAATCAGAAATAAAATCACTTTTTTTTCACAAAAATAAAAGCATATAAGCACTTTTTTTTTTCTGGTGAATCTTTTTGGCATCATTTTATTGACCTTTTAGAACTGCTTTTTGTTTATTTATGTGCTGGATCTCAAGAATTTCTCACAGAAAAGGGAACACGAAGAAAAAAATGTTGAAAATGTTGAAAATGTTGAAAATGTTGAAAAATGAGGATATCCATCCACTAGAGATGGTGTGTTTACATGTGAGTACAAAGTACAGAGAGATAGATAGATAGATAGATAGATAGATAGATAGATAGATAGACAGATTGACGGAGAGACAGACAGACGGACGGACGGACAGACGGACATACGGACAGAGAGACAGACGGACGGACAAACGGAGAGACGGACAGACAGACAGACAGACAGATAGATAGATAGATAGATAGATAGACAGACAAACAGATAGACAGACAGACAAACAGACAGACAAACAGATAGACAGACAAACAGACAGACAGGCAGGCAGAAAAACAGACAAACAGACAGACAGACAAACAGACAGACAGACAGACAGACAATAGATACTGTAGGAGACTTTACGTTTGATTAGTGCAAAAGCGAAAGCAGCTATGCAAGTAATGCGTTTTCTGACGAATTTTCGAAAACTACCGTAATCTTTCGGTAGATATTTGGCTCGATTTCCTCTTAATTTTGATCTCATTCGATATAAAAATCCAGCTGTGAATCGAATGGGATCAAAATTAAGTAGAATAGGAAAGAGTACGGTAGCGAAAGGAAAGAAAGGAAGGAAAGGAAGAAAAGGAAAGAAAGGAAAGGGAAGAAAGGAAACGAAAGGAAAGGAAGGAAAGGAAAGGAAACGAAAGGAAAGGAAGGAAAGGAAGGAAAGGAAAGGAAAGAAAGGAAAGGAAAGAAAGGAAACGAAAGGAAGTTTCCCGAGTTGGCCACCAGAAAACGAAAGAACACAATAAAATTGGAACAAGAGCAAGAGCTGAGGAAGAGGAAGAGCAAGAGCAAGAGCAAGAGCAGAGCAAGAGGAAGAGCAAGAGGAAGAGCAAGAGCAAGAGCAAGAGCAAGAGCAAGAGCAAGAGCAAGAGCAAGAGGGAAGAGGAAGAGCAAGAGCAAGAGGAAGAGCAAGAGCAAGAGCAAGAGCAAGAGCAAGAGCAAGAGCAAGAGGAAGAGCAAGAGCAAGCAACAGAAACCCTTTCTCAAATTTCGTTTTCTATTTAGCACTAACCTCAATAACCCAGATTACTCTAAAAAAAGAGCGCCATCTGGAAGATGCAAATGAAAAGTAAACATTCCCTCTCCTCCCTTCATTTCAATCGTTTCCAATCCTAATTGCTATTCAAGGACATTCAAATTGGATTTCCTATTTAGCGGGATTTTTTTTTCAATAGTTTCTTTTTGCGATTCTCAATCATCCTCAAAATAGCCTTTTTGACTTTTGACCTTCAAGGAAAATAGAATAACTAGAGAAGAAAAATGGAAAGAAATTTGCATAAAGTTCAACAAATTTTTTAAATTAAAAGAATAACGCTTTACTAGACACATTTTGAGTACTAAAAAAGCTACTGTAAAAAGCTATCGTCAAAGCTACCGTCAAAGCTACTGTCAAAGCTACTGTCAAAGCTACTGTCAAAGCTACCGTCAAAGCTACTGTCAAAGCTACTGTCAAAGCTACCGTCAAAGCTACCGTCAAAGCTACTGTCAAAGCTACTGTCAAAGCTACTGTCAAAGCTACCGTCAAAGCTACCGTCCAAGCTACTGTCAAAGCTACCGTCAAAGCTACCGTAATTCGTGTTCTAAAAAAGTGCGCAAAAGGAAAGCTACCGTCTTTTCTGGCGTAACTGTTTAGTGTTAGCAATAGCAATGGTTTAAAGGAAATCTTCAAGAGCCAAGGCCAGAGTCAAGCACAAGATAGGGCTTGGAGCTTAGATCAGACATTAGGCTAGAGTAATTAGGAAGATAAGGGCTAATAACCCGGACGAGGTCAGACCAGGATTGTTCCAAAGGATTGTCCCAAAGCTAGCCAGGCCAAGTCACATTACCTAGTCTTGCAGGCCTCATCCATGCAGGCCTCATAACAAGTTCCTCAGCCAGGCAGAAGCAAGACCAGGATCTGACTGACTTGTAATCAGTCTGACTGACTACTGACTTGTAGTCAGTGAGATCTGACTTGTAGCTAAGCCTGTCCTGATGCGACTAGCTTGCTTAGGGTTGGAATATCTTAACTAGATAAGAAAAGCGGACAGAAAGAAAAGCGGACAACACTCTTTAAGCTCAATACCAGAGCCCAATACCCAGAGTTTAAAGTCAATGTTATAGGGTTTTGAAAACTGAAAACTGAAATGCAAGACTGGAAAGAGCTGCTGAAACTTGGATTGCAGATCGACTCAAATTTATATGTCAAACGTAAGGGGAGACCTAGTTACGTCATAGAGAACAATGAAATCGTCAAAATGTCCCATTTCACTGGAGAAAAGTCAATTGAGAAGAAAAGTTTTGAAATGAAATCGTTTCTTTTTCCTTTTCCCCCATTTCTTTTTCCTTTTCACAACCTTTTCACTCATTTTGAACGACCCCGTTTCCTCACTGGATCGAGATTGGAGAATAAGCGATGAATTATCCCCACACAATTTCCCTCTTTACACCAATTTCTTGTTTGCACCGATTTTGGTAAGGTCTGGAAAATGTATGGTGAGAGGTTTAAAGAAAAACTGAAGCACAAGAGCCTATCTATGCCTATCTACAGCGTGAGCCAAAATTACCGTTACATAGTCTTTGACTTTAGCTTTTACACAGGCGTCCAAACGTCGTAGAAAAGCGTCGATCGTGGCGAGAAGGTATAGGAGATCCAGCTCCTCCCCAAGCAAGCCTCCAGCTCCTCCCAAGCAAGCCTCCAGCTCCTCCCCAAGCAAGCCTCCAGCTCCTCCCCAAGCAAGCCTCCAGCTCCTCCCCAAGCCAGCCTCCAGCTCCTCCCCAAGCAAGCCTCCAGCTCCTCCCCAGGCCTCCAGCTTCTCCCCAAGCCTCCAGCTCCTCCCCAAGCCTCCAGCTCTTCCCCAAGCTTCCAGCTCTTCCCCAAGCTTCCAGCTCCTCCCCAAGCTTCCAGCTCCTCCCCAAGCCTCCAGCTCTTCCCAAGCAAGCTTCCAGCTCCTCCCAAGCAAGCTTCCAGCTCCTCCCCAAGCAAGCCTCCAGCTCCTCCCAAGCAAGCCTCCAGCTCCTCCCAAGCAAGCCTCCAGCTCCTCCCAAGCAAGCCTCCAGCTCCTCCCAAGCAAGCCTCCAGCTCTTCCCAAGCAAGCTTCCAGCTCCTCCCAAGCAAGCTTCCAGCTCCTCCCCAAGCCTCCAGCTCTTCCCGCTTTTTTCAAAATGGCAGATTTGCAGAAATATGGCCTTCGAAGTTCGAATATTCAGTTATTTAGTTGAATAACTCACGGGGTGGGCTAATTTCCGCCATTTTATTTGCGCATTGTAGCATAAGCCAGTGTCGAGAAAAACTCGTTCAAAGCTAGACTACACAACACTCCACACCGTCATTATGGGGGTGGGGTACTATTACAGTATTTACGGTAGCTCAATCGGATAATATTTTTTGTGTGTTCTCTGCGCGTTACATGGTTTCCGGTCACGTCACCTTTAAAAAACACTCACGCAGGTCACTTCTTAGCCACGCATCACGGGCTAGCACGAACGTCCTGCCGTAGTTGGCAAATCATCAAGCAAATCGCTAATGACCGTCAACCTAGAAGAAAAAATTAATTAGGTGGTAGTAAAATCAACAAAAAAGAAAGGAAAAACTGAAGGAAAGGGTTTAAGAGGTAAACGTTGTAAAGCTCTGCAATTTTCTTTGTTTGCGTTACGTTGTAAAGCGTTATAAAGCGTTATAAAACGTTGTAGAGCGTTATAGAGTGTTATAAAGCGTTATAGAGTGTTAAAGCGTTATAGAGTGTTATAAAGCGTTGTAAAGCGTTATAAAGCGTTATAAAGCGTTATAAAGCGTTGTAGAGCGTTATAAAGCGTTGTAAAGCGTTATAGAGTGTTATAAAGCGTTATAGAGTGTTATAAAGCGTTATAAAGCGTTATAAAGCGTTATAAAGCGTTATAAAGCGTTGTAAAGCGTTATAGAGTGTTATAAAGCGTTATAGAGTGTTATAAAGCGTTATAAAGCGTTATAAAGCGTTGTAAAGCGTTATAGAGTGTTATAAAGCGTTATAAAGCGTTATAAAGCGTTATAAAGCGTTATAAAGCGTTGTAAAGCGTTATAGAGTGTTATAAAGCGTTATAGAGTGTTATAAAGCGTTATAAAGCGTTATAAAGCGTTGTAAAGCGTTATAAAGCGTTATAAAACGTTGTAGAGCGTTATAGAGTGTTATAAAGCGTTATAGAGTGTTAAAGCGTTATAGAGTGTTATAAAGCGTTGTAAAGCGTTATAAAGCGTTATAAAGCGTTATAAAGCGTTGTAGAGCGTTATAAAGCGTTATAAAGCGTTATAAAGCGTTATAAAGCGTTGTAGAGCGTTATAAAGCGTTATAAAGCGTTGTAAAGCGTTATAGAGTGTTATAAAGCGTTATAGAGTGTTATAAAGCGTTATAAAGCGTTGTAAAGCGTTATAGAGTGTTATAAAGCGTTATAAAGCGTTATAAAGCGTTGTAAAGCGTTATAGAGTGTTATAAAGCGTTATAAAGCGTTATAAAGCGTTGTAAAGCGTTATAAAGCGTTATAAAGCGTTATAAAGCGTTATAAAGCGTTATAAAGCGTTGTAAAGCGTTATAAAGCGTTATAAAGCGTTATAAAGCGTTATAAAGCGTTATAAAGCGTTATAAAGCGTTGTAGAGCGTTGTAGAGCGTTATAAAGCGTTGTAAAGCTAAAAAACATGCGTCAGGCGCTTAAATTTGTTTTACTTTTGCTTGTTTGTTACTTGTTTTTGCTCCATACGTTTACTGGAACAAAACCCAAAGAAATAGGTTTAGAGCCAAACCTTTATTCACCTATTTAACCTCGTTTTCTTATCATCTTTCACGTTAATCTCATTGTTTATCTTTAGGTCAACTTTGGATTGAATAAAAGAAAGGAAAATGTCAACGATGGAACAAAAAATCGCTACGGAGGCGATCCCTATGCGAGATGAGGAGCGATTAATTGAAGACGATTCGGACGCTCGTTTTCTTTCGACACAAATTGCGGCAAAGGTATTGAACGTTTTACTTTGTTTTGATACTTTAACTAGTGACTTTAACTCAAATTAGGATACTTAAAGATTAAAAGACTCCGTATTAGCGTTGACTTTGTAGTGCCAGCTTGGCAATCAGACAGAAATGCTATTTTACTTTGTTAACTAGTCACTTTAACTCAAATTAGGATACTTAAACATTAAAAGACTCCCTATTAGCGTTGGCTTTGTAGTACCAGCTTGGCAATCAGACAGAAATACTATTTTATAAAGTTCTGTTCAGAACCAGTGTCAAAGGTTTCTGATATGACATTTTCAACAAAAAGCAGACAATTTTGACAAGACAAGCAGACAGACAAACAAACAAACAACCAAACAAACAAACTTTCGACCTTTATATGCAGCTTTTAAGTACCATGATGTAAACTTAAACCATTTCTTACAAAGCTTTGATTTCATTACTGAATTTCTTTAGATAACCGGTCCAGATGGGGATACGATAAAAGAAGAAGAGGAGGATGTGGTCGTGCAAGTCGTCTCCGATCTATCGGTTATTGATGTCGAGGTATGTTAGCTATGTTCGCTGTTTCGTGGCTGTTTTGACTTTTGTTATTTAGAAATTCGATGAGGACGAGATTGAAAAAATGAGAAATAACAATAATCAGATGAGTGCCCGTTCTCAAATTGACGTCTACGAAGAAATTGTTGAGTATTTGATCCACTTTGATTGCTCAAACATAAAAATATTAAAACACTGAGCACTAGAACTTTTGAAACACTGAGCTGTACACTTAATTTTGATATTAGACTTTAGATTAGGAATTTGATAAACCTTGTGAACTTTTGAGTCGATGAATCAATTTAGGCACTCGACGCGGATGGGAATGAGCTGCAGCGAATCAAGTACATCACCCATGTTGTTCCTGCGGCTTTCGGAAGAAAAGCTAAGGTTTGGGTATGCCTAGCTAGCTAGCTAACTTGTTGCTTGTTATCTAGCTTGTTGCTTGTTATCTAGCTTGTTTTGCGTACTTTAGTCAAATCTTTAGACGCCCAGAGAAGCTCAAAAGAAACTTAGTCAAGAAGGGGAGATCCAAATCGCAATGAAACAAATCGAATCGATTCGCAAAGCAATTGCACAGAACGGAATCGGAGAGAAAATAGGCACTACTCGGTTGGGAGCACAAAAGAAACGCTCGTTTGGCCGTCTTTCAGATGTCTCATTCTTGGGTGAACAGGTATGCAGTTTATCTTTGTTGTTTTATCTTAGCTTACCAACCGAGAAACCCGGCTAACGGCGGGTTTTTCTAGATGTTTTGGGAATGGATGGCTTTTGTTGCCGTGGAGCAGTGTACTATTACAGTCTATCGCCCATACGATCCGGGTTCGACCTCTCCGTGCGACTCAAATTGTGCTTTTTAAAAAAATCCAAAGGCACGTTGCACAACTACATTTAATTCCCTATTTAACGACGCAAAAATCAGTGCAAACGGTCCTCTGGGTGGTGCGCACAGACAGACAGACGTCTTAGTCCCTTTAGATATAGAAGATCTTAGCTATTGGTTAACTGGACGGGTAGTTAAGTTACTGTTTATTCTTCATATACTTCATATTCTTCTTATTCTTCTTATTCTCTAAGCACGTTAGTAAGTTTAGTGGTATTCTGACTGCTTTGTGGAGATATCTTTAAGAAGATTCTAAGCTAATATTTTTTTCTTTAAGCAATCAGCCGATCCATTGGTGGAGAAAGCTCGTCAATCTCTTCTAATCCGTTTTACCGCCCGTCAATTGAGGGAATTTATCTGCATCAAACAAGGAGTACCCCGTCCGTACATGGTAAAATATTAATTTGAACTTTCAGATTTGAATAAGATTTGATTTAAATGAATAAATTTTAGCCGAATACTTCGACTCCAGTTCGTCGTGCGCAACGCGAACGCCGTGAAATGCGCGCAGCTCCTCGCCTCGTCAAGTCCCAACCTGGTTGATGTGTAATATGTATTAATTTCTAATATTGTATTTAGGTTTTAAACTCAATTTCCCGTTTGTGACGATTCAAGTGGGCGATTTTCAAAGCTATCTTCCATTGGACTATCAAACACATCCACAACAAAAAGGACGGCCCAACTCTTTGACACTTAATGGAGAATCGGTGAGAATAGTGAGAATTGTTAAAACTAAACATTTTTTTTAGAAACGAATGGTCTACGAGTTTACTCTGTTCGACAAGAATCGCAATAGGTAAGAGTAGATGCTGGATATTGGATGTGTTGATGGATATTTGAAGATGTATGGATGAATGTTGAAATTTTAGGTGCTATGCTGTGTGGTCGACTGCTCTCTCAAATATTGCCGCAATTCACGTTTCTGATCATCTTATTTACTTACGGGTGAGTTGCTTTGGCTTTATGGAACTAAGTTCGTTGAATCCTTTGTGCCAGTTAACGTTTACACTTAGCTCAACGTTGCACCATTGCAAGTTGTGTCGTTCATTGGGGAGAAATCGAATCCAAAAAGTGACATCACAAATGGACAACGAGAGCGTTCACCACTTCATTATTTCAGACTCAGGTGTGGGATTAAATCATTTTTTATGGATTAAACCTAAATTTTAGGGAACCAGGCCAAACTTTTTTCGAGGGTTTAATGCGATGCGATCCGAGTCATTTTGCTGCTATTTTGATGGGATATGATGAATTCTTTGCGGTAAGGTTTACTATTTGAAACATATAGATCAACAAATCAATCGTCCTTTGATTTTTTTTAGCGTGCTGCTGAAGCAATGGGTGTTTCGCCGCCTTCCTCGGACCAAATGATGCAAGAAACATGGGAAGTTCGTAACAAAAGTCCAATGCCTCCACTGAAAAAGGTGAAGCGAAGTCTGTCGGATATTTGCATTGACGAGGTACGTTTTAATTTTGGACATTAGGGTAAACTGATTATTTTAATCAAAAACTTGCTCTGGTTTGTGGGTGGGTAGGTTCAAATGCTGCTTACCTCAAATTCATTCACCTCGGTTAGTTTCAGGTCCCTCAGTCGGGCAAGATGTTTGCTCCAACAGAGTCACCGAGCTTTGCTGAATTGCTTCGTTTTTCAGCTTTCAATCGCTCTCTGGAGGTAAGCATTATTGTTTGAATCGAAAATTTATACTTCCCTTTTAGAATGCTCGGCCTAAAGACGTTGACATGGATATTTCATCAATGACTCACAAAGCTGGTAGGTTTTACTTTAATAATTCATGTGGTTTTGTGAAATTTAGACACTTTTGATAGCTGTGTTGCTGCGATTCGGCGGGATAAAAAATTTGCAACAACAGAGGTAATTGACATTTTTTTGTTTTTAGATAGAACCCTAAAAAATCCTAAATTTTGGCAAATATTTTAGACAATCGAGATCGTTGGTGAAGATCACGTTGTGATTGAGACCGAAATTAACGATATCGCGGATGCTTCTGCTGGCGACGCATGATTGACTTCAACTTGGCACTCAACACTCAACAGCAATCATTGTTTCAATTAAAAGTTAGAAAAAATTTTGCATTCTAAGAGATCAATGCACTTTATACATAATTACAATTGTTTTTTGTTTTGTTTAGGGATAACGTTTACAGTCGTTGATGTTTTTAACTATTGTTTTAATATGTGTTTATGTGTAAATAAACGTTTTTGTTGGGAGAATTTTATTTTGAGTTTTGTTTTTTCATTGTGGTACTTGCGGGGTAGATAAAACCGATTTGGTGATTTTGCGGTGTTCTAAAAATTCCAACTTTTCTAGGAATTTGTGATTTTTAAATGATGGACTTTTCCCTAATCTAAAATCGAGCTTTCGTGCATTAAAACGAACATTTCAATGTGAGCTTTAGTTACCTAGAGTAGTAACACTTGAAATTCGTGAACCTGTGAAAATCTATGGAACTTTTTGTTTTGCTAAATCGCGGCAGGGGTTGTTTTTTTCTCATTTTCTCTCGCTTCTCCACACATTTTTGTTTGTGGTTTGAGAAGCGGGTCAACAACTCGTAACTATAAAAAATTTCAGTACAGTTAGTCTCCGCAATGCTGTCCTCAACTCTTCGTTCGACAATCAAGAAATGCGCCATTTCGACTACGGGAATCCGACAATTGAGCAAAACAGCCGGTTTGCTTAGTTCTCTTCGACCACTTGGACCAAAAGATAAAGTTGGTTTGATGTGTGATTAGAGTGTCAAAGATTTGCCTTGCTCATGGGTTAAGTATTATTAAATCTAGTTTTAAAAGATCTTTTCGTCTCGAATAATGCTTGTCCAATAACTATTTATTTAGTTGCCAGCCTTCAAAGGAACTGCGGTCGTGGACAAGGAGTTCAAGGTAACATTGTACCCTTTAATTTTTTGATCTTGAATTGAAGATTAAAATAGTCAAAAATCATCTTGAAATAAAGTTGACTTGGCTTATCTTTTGATATAGCTAGAGTTTAATTTTAAAAGTGTAAAGTTTAATTTTAGACGATTGAGAACAAGGATTATCATGGTAAATGGATCGTCTTCTTTTTCTACCCACTCGACTTCACTTTTGTGTGCCCGACGGAAATCATTGCCTTCTCGGATCGGGCTAATGAATTCAAGGAGCTTGGAGCTCAGGTTTGTTTAAGTGATGTTGTGGTGGAGATCATAGATGTTTGATCGATAAATTTTTAAAAGATTATGATTCAGAAATGACTTTGAATACCATTACCAAACACATTATTTTATTAGGTGATCGCTTGTTCGTGTGATTCCCACTTCTCGCATCTTGCATGGATCAACACTCCAAGAAAAGTAATACGTTTACTTGTACTTTCAAAACGACAGGTTTTTTTTAGGAAGGAGGTCTTGGTGATTTGGGCATCCCAGTGGTTGGCGATTTCAACAAGCAAATTGCTCGCTCATTCGGAGTTCTTGATGAAGTAAGCTTTCACCTTCGAATTGTAATTTTTGATTTTCAGGAAACGGGTCTTTCCTATCGAGGTCTTTTCATCAGTGATCCTGATGGCAATATTCGCTCCGTCACTTGCAATGATCTTCCGGTAAGGTTTTGTGACAAATGGGACCTAGAACCTGCTTTTGCACATTTTTTAAAGTACGGCAAGAGTCACCCGTTGGATGAAATAAATCCTAATATACTGAAATTTTTCTGTTTAGGTCGGTCGCTCCGTTGATGAGACGCTTCGCTTGTTGAAGGCCTTCCAATATGTGGCAAAGCATGGAGAGGTAAAGATTTCTTGGTTTTAAAACTAAATTATTCTCTAGGCTTGTCCCGCTGATTGGGAAGAGGATTCGCCCACCATCAAGCCAAGCGTTTCCGGCAGCAAGGATTACTTCAAGAAGGTCAACAAATAAATAGCTCTTTCTTTCAAAAGTATCGATTGTTTTATTTACTTCATGCGTGTCTAGTAGTTTAAAGTTTAGTCATTTTCCTTTTTGTGCATTATGAGCTTTTTGTGATTGAAAATAAATATTTAGAGGAAAGGTCATTTGAATTGCATGTGTATGCTGTTAGTGGTATTTCAGGGCAACTAGTAAAATTCATGTTTTCATGTCGAGAAAATTCATGCTTCGTGCTGTGCTCGGTGCGATCCAAAAAATTCATGTTCAGTTACCTTTCACTTTCTCTAAAGAAATGGCGCTCCATTAAACCTAAGTCAAAAAAAAGTAAATTCAAAGATTTAATTCGCATGATATTCAACCAATCACTAAATGTATAACTAATAAAAATAAACTGGGGAAAGACGTAAAAAAAAGTAAAAAACCTCCCACTGTTAAAACTGTCCTATAGTCACGTAAATCTATCTAGCGCTGAAACGTAGCACACGCACAAAGCAGCAAATAAACCAAAAAAGTGGAGCGCAACTTGTAGAAAAAAATTACCTTAGTAATCTTTACAAAAAAGTGAAAGGTAACTGAGCATGTCATTTCGTAGCGTAACACGTTTCCTTCTTTTTAGCCCCAATTCGGCCAGCTTTAGAGCTTCTAGATGCTTTCTGTGTAATAGTAAAACTTTCACTGATATTGTAAGTATTTTGGACAAAATCAGGCAAAACCTTGCTTATCCTTAGAAAATTTTCTTCTAAGCATATGTGAAGTGCAATGCTTTAGTTTTCCTGGTAGGTTTAACATTTTCTGACTTTTTTTTCTTTTGCTTTGCCTTTGCCAATTTTTTCTTTACCATTTTGATCAAATTCTTTCTTTAGATCTCGTCGAGTGAAGGAAAACTTTCGTTAGATGCCACCGAAAAACGGTAAACTTTTTAGAATCGATAGCTCTTTGCTTAGGTTTTAAAAGCATGTTAAAAATGTTTTAAAAGCAACAATGTTATGTTTAGAGCCGAAGAGCGCGGAGAAGAAAAAGGAAACGGCACGGAGAAGTGTAGGTGCAGCTCAAGGTGGGCTATTTCTAATATTGATTCCAGTCGATAAGAAGAGTAAGTTGTAATGTCTAAATTTAAACGAATTAAAAAAAAGCACCAGATGCCGAGTTTTAAGCTCTAATAATCGAAATTACGTGACGTTCGTCACGAATGTAAATTGTGTGATAGAAGGTCGCAGATAAAGTTAGCATAATTATTCATAAGCATTATTTTCCTGAGTTTTATACCCTTTAAAAACGATGCTTAGGCTTTGCTCAATGATGTTTCCAAAACGATTTGCTCAATGATATTTCCATTAACGTACGTCATAAATTTAGGTGCAGTGCTTGGTGAAAAGATGAAAGCAAACGGCGGTTCGTCTCAAATTCCCGATATTGCACAAGGACCAAAATGGGTAAATATTTTCTATTTGTCAACGAGATAAAATTGACTGGCAAGCATTTTCCGAGAAAAAATCTTGGGGATCGCACACTAAAATGCGCTAAATACCGTAATACGCTTTTTTTTGCAACTTTAGCTTTAATTTTTATTCTATTTTTTTTATTCTATTGATTCTATTGATAAATAAAGTTGAACTCTATAGTGAAACACTAATTGCTTTAAAAACAATGTAGGAAGCAAAAGTACGAATAGAAATAAAGAAAAGAAATAGCTAAAGTAAGAAAAAAAGCAAGAAAAAAATAGCTAAAGTTGCAAAAAAAAAGATTTTTGCGCGCAAAAAAGGCTGATTACGGTATTTAATGCATTTTAGTGCGTGAGCCCAAAATGTTTTCTTGAAAAATGCTTGCCAGTATAAAATTGAGACGCAAAATGAACAGGCTTAACAATTTCGCTATTACGCAACTCTGTGCAAAAGCGGAAACAGCTCAGAAATTGGTGAAAGAGTTTTTAACACGTTGACGACATTGTCACCTGATGCTGTCTGACACATATTCGTTCGCCTGGGATATTGTCACCTGATGTCAGGTGACAGTACCAAAATTGATTTTTTTTGTGCACATTTATGTTTGCTGATGATGGATATTAAATAAGCAAGTAGGGTAGTACCTATATTCGACTTGGTCCCGGAAAATGTCGATTTAACCGTTGATTATTAAAATTTTAATTTTTTAGGTGACAGTTTCAGGTGACATTTTTTGTCGAAAAAAAACAACGTTGTCCCATGCGATTGTTTGTGCAAAAACGCCATTGTCGTCAACGTGTTAACTGATAAAACCATGTGGACAGTTTGAAAATGATCATAAAACCTAATGCGAATGCCTTGATTAACGTCACTTTTTTGATAGCAAAAAGACAGAAAATTAATGCACTATCCATGAGAAATCGGGGGCAATGTGTTGTGCGATACGGACAAAAAGAGCTGTTCCTTTTACCCTGTCCTGCCATAAAAAGCAGGTGCTTCTTCGAGGGTCAAAAATCCTTTTTTTTTTGCCAGCTTTTGGCATAAAAATGCAAGAAAATGTCATTTATGGGTTTTGTCTAATTTTATCACAAATTTTGCAAAGTTAACAAAAACTTCAACAATGCAACTTATTGTTGATGCTTCTATCAAAATTGTCTTTCACTTCAGTAAATATTGTATGTAGGTTTTTAGAAACGCTCTGCAACAACTCCATCACAAAATTTGACCGAGAAAGAAGCGCTGGTGAAAGTCGTCAAACAGGAAGTAGGAAAGATGAAAAAGTGAGTGTTTTCTTTAGTTTTTATGCAATCAGCTCAAACTTACACAGATCAAACACCGAAAAACCGACGAAACAAAATTTTCTCGTTGTGCAAGCCCAAAATTTTTTGGTACGATCCGGTTATACAAGCCCATGCCTTAACAACTAACTAGGTTAAACCTTTATCTACAAATATTGCTTTATCTACTGTATGCCTACCTAAAGAACCTTTCTTCTGAAATTATAACTTAAACAAATCTGATATTTAAACTATCCACACTTTTTTTTCAAAAGGTCTGGGATAGGATACATAAAAACGGATAGTACCAAAATTTTTAGCACACGTGCTAAGAATAGCACGACTTTTGACCCGAGGAGTGTCTCGAAAGCAACGACTTCAGTGCTCGTTGATATTAGGTAAATGTGCATCAATAGCTGCACCCCAAAATCCAAAACCCCCAAACCAAAACGACATGAGCATCATAAATTGTATCCAGAATTGTTAATCAATAAAGTTGTCTGAGAAGCAGTAAACAAGTCTATCTTTTTGTGTTTACCTGGTAAACTGTTACTTTCTTTAGTGAAGCGAACTGTGGGTGCACTTCTGAAGACGGCACAGCCTCCGAAGCAGATGCTCCGGTTGGTTTGTTTTGAAAGCTTTTTGAAGAAACATTTGCATCTCGGCTGTTGAAAACAAACGCAAATAAAAATAATTTTGATCTTTTCTATTTAGCTCGAAATGTTGATGTTACTTCCCAAGGCTCTCGTCAAAAAGGCATCACCGAACCAAACTACACCATCGCAGAGTATATCGAGTGTTTCGCAGCAATGCCCGCAAGTGCCACTGGTGCGAGGTGAATCGACGGGTTCGCAGTCAACTCGACAAATCTCGCAAGAGCCGACGCAAGAGTCAATCAAATTGGTATCCTCGTTGCCAATGATTCAGAGTAAATTTTGATACTGTTTGGGTCAACTAAACCAAAGATATTGTAAAAATTTGTTTAAATTTAGGTCATCGCTCATCATCGCAATCACTGGTCCGGGTCGGATCATCAAAGAGATTTGAATACTCTGATTTTACACATGTAAGCTTTATTTTACAGTTGGATTTGATGCTTTTCGGTGAATTCTATTCACCGTTTACCGTTATGATATAAGTTTTTTTTAGATTCCGGATGGGGAAAACTTTGTCGATGCTCATTGTCATCTTGATTACATGCGATACAAGATTGGAAAGAAGTGAGTTCTTTTGAAGTAAACAATAATTTTAATGAAAGATTAAAATTTGTTTTTATTTTAGAGAAAATTCTCTTTTCAACACGTGGGCTGAAATGACCAATTTGTACCGGTACTTTTATTTCTATTCTATTTTTTTCTATTTTGAATTGAGATTTCTAATATACGATTTAGATCTTTCCCACAACAAATGTCTGGATGTATTTGGAATATCGTGCACCCGGGATATCTTCAAAATGATCCAAACTGGATGGAAGAAATGATCGTAAGTTTTCATGAGCTAGAAAAATGATACTTAAATTTGAACGTGCCCGGCTATATAAATCATAAGTATGCAATAAAATTTGTAATGTTTAGAAAGATCCGCACGTTTTGGGCGTCTCGGTTGGTTGTCATCCACGGTACGTCGACAAATTTCATAGCAGGTAAGGGTTATTTTTTTTTCTTCATAATCCTCAAATCTTAAATTTAGCCCAAAAGGGGGAACGGAAACCTACTTTGAGTGGTTGAATCGAGTGCTTGAGGAGAAGGAAATGTACAAGATTTGCGCAATTGGCGAATGCGGTTTAGAGTCAACATACAATCCACCACCAAAGGACCTCCAAATGGCCGTTTTGACGCAACAGGTAATTTTGTTAAATTTGAAGAGAAGTATTTGATAAAACCTGCAAATTGTACACGTGTTTATCAACAAAAACTTTTAGTTGTGGCTAGCCAAGAAGCATCTCCTTCCCGTCATTATTCATTGTCGAGCCGATGCACAATCCGAGAATCTCGTCCTTGACACCATCATTTCGGTGATTTTGAAAACTATTGCTCTAAAATGTTTTTGTAGCTTCTTGGAAATATGCACAATGTACATTTTCATTGTGCCCCATTGAAAGCTGATGTGCTGAAGCTTTGGATGGACAAGTTGCCTAATTGTTACTTTGGTGCGTTTTAAGAAGGGTATTTGAATATGTTATGAATGAAATATGAATTTCAGTGTTAACATTTTACTTTTAGGATTTACACCGCGCATTCTCGATAACCGACCCACAACAGTGGAAGCGCTGAGAGTTGTGCCACTCACTCGAATGCTTCTCGAATCGGATGCTCCGTATTTTGCTACAGCATTGGTTCGTTTTTGAATTTTTTTAGTGCTTTTATCAATTCTTTAGACAAAAGCGATGGAGGGGCCATACTCGAAGGGTAGTGAAACAAATGCAAGCATTTCTTCACCAGCAGAAGGTCTTTTGCTTTTCAAAACACAAACAATTTTTGATTAACGTTTTAAACAAATGTCACTGTACCAAAAAAAAAAAATCGATTGCAATTTAACATGTATCTTTTAGCTTCGACGGTGGCCGCCTACATAGCGCAAGTGAAGGGTTTCTCGACGGCTCACGTGATGTTGGTGACGCGGATGAACACTTATCGTTTCTACAATCTCGATCGAACTTCTCGTATCAATCTCTAGAAAGTTTTTGTTTTTCTTCCGCATGCGTTTCTTTGATTCTCGTACTTTTTAGAACAGTGATGTGATTATTGTTGTTGTTGTTGATGATATGTGATGTGAGAAGAGTTAGTTGATATGATTTTTTGACTTTTAGGATACAATTCTTTTTATATTTGCAATTTTTTATTTTCGTTTGCCAAAATTCTTTACATTTACGGGTTTTTGTTTTACTTATTTTTTAGTTTTTTAGTGAATGGTAAATAGTTTGTTTCAGTTTCCTTTTTTTTAAAACAGTGACAGTACTTGTTAATATTTGGACAGTTGATCGTACATTTACTTTGTGGGGAAAAAAAAAGGGAAATTCATGTTGTGTTTCGACACTAAAGGATAGTTAAATTGCATAAAATTGATCTTGAAAGTTGATTTTTGTGTATGTTTTGCATTGAAAAAACGTAAAAGGTTGTAGAAATTTGTTGTAAACCGCAAGATTGAGAGCATCTTTACTGAGAGCACCTTTAAGATTGTGTATTTTCTTAATTTATTCTGACCAATAGATTCTTAAAAGCTTTCAGTCAATCGGGCAAATGGAAATCACAGTGATCGACTTTTTTTTTTTTTTACTTTTCTTTACTGGATAGCACTTAAATTTTGTTGCATTGTTTTTAGGTAAAAATGGATCCTCGTTCGCTTGATCCTGAGGCGGTTTCTCTATCACGACAATGTGTGAAATGTGATGCGCCGGGGATTCTAGCTGGTAGGGTTTTGAAAAGTTACAAGATATCGATGTATTGTTAAAATTTGCTCGTTTTTAGGCGCTGATTCTCGAAAGGCTGTCTACTGTGCACCGTGTTTTGTGCAAATGGTCAAACACAAATTTCGCTCGTCACTTGGAAAGCGAAGAATTTACAAGGTAACAAAGCTTGCGCAAGATTGATTAGTTTAAGAGCTTAGAATAGTTCTCTATAGTTTAACAGGGTTCTATATAGTTTAACAGAGCTCTCTTTAGTTTAACAGAGTTCTATATAGTTTAACATTGATCTCTATAGTTTAACATTGATCCTCGTTTTTTTATAGTTTAGTTTTACATAAATTTCAGAAAGTTTTGTGATTTTCAGGATGGTGCCTCGAAAGAAACGCTACTTCTATTTGATGGTTCACTTGGATCGGCGTTTGCTCTGGGACAACTCGTCGAATCGCTTGAGGACACTCAACACAGAAAATTGATGATCGAACCAACGGTACAATTCTTGAATTTATTAGTGTCACTCACATAGCATTTTGCTAATTTGAGCTTCTATTCACGTTTTTCTTTCAGATCCTATTTTTGATCGTTTCGACAAATACGGCAAGGATCAATGAAGTTCTAAAACGTTACATGGACATTTCCACTTCATTGTCAATTCCGTTTCGAATAGCACACGTTGCAGCGGCTCTACAAAAGAATTTTGATCTTTCGGATGTCACTCAAAGCTTTATTGGTGAAGATCAGGTTTGTTTTATGCAAGATTTTTTTGCTGCAAGATTTTGTTTTTTTAATGAGCTAAAACTCTAAAGTAACTAAATTGTAAAGGCTTTTTGATGTTGAATTTTACAGCTTGATCGTTACTCTCAACTGCTCTCATCGATGCGAACGTCGACGGCAAAGAACGAAGTGAAACGACTGCTCATTGAAGTGATCACTGCAAGATTTGCGATAGCAAGTGGAATAGGTAAGGATGATTTTTCGAGTTAATCGTTAACTGTTTGTTTTAGAGAAAATCTGGCTTCCGAGTACTGGTGATGATCTTGCGCGAAACACGATTCAATTCTTCTCACTTGGGAGAGGTAAATCACGTCAATTTTTCTCACTTTAAAGAGGCATTTCAAAGTTGAATCCATCCAAGAAACATAAATTTCTAATATAGATTTCCAAAATTTCCATTCATTCAACGAATAAGACAATAAGAAATTTTTTTAGACAGTTTATTCAGGAATTCGCGAACAATTTATTTGGCGATACACTTTTTGGGGTCATTTGACGATGAAAGTGTGTGGCTTGACGATTCCCTCTCTAGTCGAACTTGCATCCTGGCTTGGGCTTGCGGCAGAGGACGATCGTCGAGTGAACGGCAGGTCCTTGGATCACAACTTCTTTGCCACCGGCTCCGTACGAGCATCGCTCATTCTTGATGTCGACCTAAAGCAGGAGTACATTGTGATCAAATAAAACAACAAACCTTTCCGAGGATTTGCTTTCCATTCACAGTGATCACACCCGGCGAGATGTCTCCTTTGTAGTGATCGACGTGCACGGGGAACCAGTCCTTCTTGTCGAATGAGGCCGCTTCGGGGAATGGAATCCAACCATAGTCGAATCCACGCACAGCATCCGAGAGCTCGTAGAGAACCTAGGCAAAAAAAATAGAACAACCTTCAAAGTAATGATCCATACTTGAAGCGATCCAACATTCTTCTTGTACTCGTGTCCTCCCCAGGCAAAGTTGGCTGCAATCTTTCCTTGATCGTTCCAAATGCGTCCCATCACCGGCTCTCCATGTTGATACCATAGTGCGACGTATTGATCCGGGCTCTCACCGGGCAACGAGTCCAACGACTTGCCCAGTGCCTAAACAGAAACAATATTTAGGGAAAGCTTATACAAAATGACCTTGACAAGTTTCTTGTTTGGCCACGGGTCACCCATACGGAAATCAGCCCACTCGTTGAGCATGACACGAATGACTGGACGTGGTGGTCCCTTGGAGCAGTTGGCGCATTCACAATTGGGTGGTCCTCCCTTGAGCTCGCGAGCGATGACAAACATCGGCAAGAGATCACCGCCTTGACGATGAATCACCTAAAAATATAGGGTCAACAAAGAAAAACCTTAAATCAACTAACCTTCTTGTTGATTGAGAACCAAGCAATCTCGGTTTTGTTGTCGACATATCCAAGCACGGGTCCTTCGGGGCTGTTTGGCCAGAAGATTGGGAACGAGTCTCCACAGCGCACAATCTCACGGTCGGCCAAATCCTTCTCGAGACGATCCGCGTACTTGATCCAGTTGTACCAGTAGCCGAGGTTGTTGTGGTCGCCCTTGTATTGGAGAACCTAAAAGAAAACTTATCTTCGGAACAAAGGCAAAAAATTCATAAAAGATCAGGCGCTGTACCTGGATTTGTCCGCCGAGATCCTTGGCCCCGGTGAGTTCGTACTCCTTGTATGGGAAAGAGCACTCAACGACTCCTCCATTGTTCCACACGCGTCCATGGATTGGTTTTCCGTGCTTGTACCACAAAGCGACGTACATGTTCTGCTCGTTCATCACCTAAAAGAAAAGAATTAGAATAGGTTAAGGGAATTCTACTGGGTAGAAATTAGCTATCGTAGAAATACAATACAATACAACCCCGTCTACAGTGTCATAAGCCTAGTTTTTTTCAAAAAAAACAGAAGTCACATGACTTTTCATAGCAAAAATAGCAAATTACTAGCAGCTCAGGGGTATTTGAGAGCAAGAATGCTAGCAACTTAAGGCTATTTTAAACACACAATGACATTTAAAAGGCTACGGGATTAACAGGTTAACGGTATAAAAGTTTCACAAACAAAAAAAAACTAGTAAAGGCTAAAGACTGAGAAACAGTCAAAAGAACAAAAAGATAAATGGATACCTTGACCGGCTTGTCGGGGAATGGAGCTCCGATCGGTTGGAAGGCCCATGTGTCTTCTTTTGCAGGCATCTTGGGAAACGATGAAGATGAAATGATGCAGAGAGACTCTTTTGCTTTCTTTTATTTGATCTTTAAATGGAAATTTGCGAAGGTCGGATTCAAATTTGCGAAAAAGTGAGAAATGAGCGTAAATTGAGCTATGCAAATTTCTCTTTCTATTAGGTAACAGTTTTTTTTTCTAGGAAAACAAGCACTTTACCCTCATTGTCTATTAGAAATTTTTACTATGTATAGGTACTTTTGTTGATGTTTCTTTCTTCAATAAAATTATTAATTTTTTTTTTCAGGTGGAAACGCCTCCTCGTTGATATCGGTGACGGAACGGCGACATGGTGTGAATTTCCTCCGCCCGATGCATGATTGCTGTGATAAGGTGGGGTTTTTTTTTTATAAAAATTGATAAATTTAAGAATAGTATTTTCAATAGAAGATTACGAATACGACAAAAAAGAAGGTAGATCACAAGGATAACGCTTTGGTAACAAGTGCAGTTAAGCCTTTTTGAATAGCTCAGACTCTCTAGTAGAGCAATTTTACCGAACCCTGCATGAATGAATCATTTATTTTCTTATATAATGCTTATTTTTTCAGGAAATTCGTTTGGTGAATCAGTTGGAGCAATACGATGCGTACTGTGTCAATGAGAATGAGGAGCCGATGAACGATTTGACGAGCATTCACAAAGTTGCTTCGAATTTCATCGCCAATTTGCAAAGAGAAGGATTCACGGTTGGTGGTTTCGGGTTTTCTCAATTGTCGTTTCAGCATAATACTAATGCAAAATGTTCATTTCATTGTCATTTGATTGTCATTTCCTCGTTAAAGTATAGACAGTGGTAGTATTGAAAGGTTTTCCGATTAAAGGCAATGGGAAAATGATTGAGATTTTTCGCAAAATAGATAGATTTATTCGTGTTTAAGCCAAAATTTCAATGTAGTTTTTCAGTTTTAAATCGTTTTTATAATTTTTATCCTTTTTTATCTTTTTTTGTTCAGGCAACAACGACGACTCTTTTGTCGAGCACATCGAAGATTGTGAGTGGAATGATCAAAACGGGTATCTCGTGTCGATTGTGTGATGAACCGATGGAGAAACGAGATTTCGATGACTCTTCGAACGATTTGCAAGTTTCATTTTTATGTCCTTCTTGTTTAGAAATTCGATCCGAATGTGAGAATTTTGATCTTTTTGACTCATTGTTACTTTGATTTTTGTTAGCTTTTTTTTTTTTGGTTGTTGTTGTTGTTGTTTTTTTGCATTTTTGTTAAACATTTCTTTTATGAAGTAGCTTTTATTTGGAGTCAAAAACAACCGGATCTCTGGCAAAGAAAACGGGTATGAGAAACATTTTCGAAAGATTTCGCAAAGTCATGACTTTTTATGTATGCTGCCAAAATATACAAGCTCTATTTGGGGCTGACAAGAGATTGGGGAGAATTGAAAAAATTCGGCTTTTCAACGAAAAAAACCATAAAAGTTAGCCGAATCGATTCAATTTCTTGGAAAAAGCGATTTTTAAAAATCCTTTCTTTTCCACTACATAAATGCTTATCTACAGTATATGAAAAAATGACTGAAAATTTCGAGAAGCAACAAAATGGGGAAAGCTATTATGTAGGCTTTGACGCGTTTTTGCTAAAAGATGGAAAAGCTACCGGTACACCGGTTGTCTTTTAGAATTTTTCAAGACAGTTTAGCTCAACGAAGGATTACGGTAGCTTTTTCTCGAGAACACCTTTTAGAAGACGGTTTTTCGACGGGCACCTCGTAAAGTAATGACTGAATAGTTTAGGGAAAAAAAAGCTAAAAATCGAGAAAAGCTATATATGGGCAATTTTTGGCGTTTTTCGAGAAGGAAATGAATGAACAGTGTAAAATGGAAAAGGGATTACGGTAGGGGAAAAGTTGATTTTAGAAAACGGCCGACTTTTAGATCGACTTACTGGATTCGTTTTTCGATTTTCCCCTGGCTTCATCGATATAAAAATCGTTTTTTTAGGGATTTAGGGATTTAGGAATTCACAAATGCACAAATGCACAAATGCACAAAATGTGCTTAATGAAGAGCCAAATTCGCGACTGGGACAATGCCGTTGACGACGTGATTTCGCAATGGATGGAGACGCTCACAGCGAGCCATTTCACCACGTTTCGAGAGGATTCGAACCTAGAAATTTTTTCTTCACAAATTCGATTCGAGATTTGGTAGATTTTCTTTGAAAAGAACAGGTTTTAGAAAAAAATGGATTTGCTCATTTTGCGATTTTGGCATTTTGCCGTTTTGCCAATCAGCCATTTTGCCGTTTAGCCATTTTTCCATTTTTCCATTTTGCTTACCTTTTCCCCGCCACGAACCGCCAAATATCCCGGCTCATTTGAATCGGTTAATATTGAGGCCATTCGATGGGAAGAACGAGATGGAGAACGCGATTTTGAGCTCGAATAGCATGGCCTGCAATACAATGAGCTGAATTTACGAGAGAAGCAAAATGATCTTGAAGAGCTTGAAGATCATCAAGCCAAGCTCTCCTTTGTCTCTTGAGTTTGAGAAAGTTTTTCAATCAGTGAACTCACCTCCTCAATGGCAATGGAATCCGTGATCTTTGTCTCGGTGTAAAGCTTAATCTCGCTGGTACAGAGCTGGATTTGGGGACACGAGAATCCGATGCAAGTCGAGACGCTCCTACACATGAGAACATCGATCGAGTACCGGAACGGGCTGGAAAATTAGATTGAGAGATCCCAGACATTTCGAGAGATAGGTAGGCAGAATCCTGGAGGTCAAATATCCAGTTAAGATTGAGGGAAGAAGGGAAGACGAAAGAAAGAGGAAGAACAAAGAACAAAGAAAGACGAAAGAAAGAGGAAGAACAAAGAAAGAAAGAAAGAGGAAGGAAGAAGTAAGAGGAAGAGGAAGAACGTAAAGCAATGAATGGAAAAGAATTTAGAGCCAAGGGGAATCGAACCCGCGACGTTCCGCCTGGATCTGTCGCTTACCAGGCTGACAACTGAGCCACTAAGCCTACCACTGAGCCAACCAGGTGTCGTTTCGCTGGGGAAGAAAAAGGAAAGAAAAGCAAACCTTCAATCGATGAGAGCAACTCGAGACTCTCGACCAATCTCCATAAAAGACTTCGATAAGCTGATGGAGCTGAGAGGAGAAAAGCTCCTTCCCTATAGAGACGATTGAGGACATTCTCTTTCAAAATCACATAACAAAGCCAGCAATCCAAAGAGCATTCCCTGAAATCATGTTTTTTTTCGTTTTCTATAAAGAAATTCTTTTAAAAAACTTAGATTTTCAATAAAAAAGTCACTTTTATAAAGAATTAGATCAATTCTCAGCTCTCTATTTGTGCGTTTAAACGTCCCGTATGACTTTTTAAAGTTTCCCAAACACTTTGAAATACTTCAAATTGTGCTTTAAATGCAATAAAAATAGTTTTTAGTGTTTTAACGAAAAAGTGAAAAGAGATTTGCCGGTGAGAGGATTCGAACCAGGCTGGAAAGGGGATTTCGATAGCTCCCCGATACCCAAGCACACTATCCACTACACTAAAGTGTCGTTTGGCGAGAGGCAGCAAGAAGGCCTATATCAGCTCTTTGGCAAAAAGAAGCCGATTTTAAATCATTTTTCAATTTTCAATCACTTTTTTCTCAGCACTGGTTTAAGCTAAAAAGATGTTTAATAGCTCAAAAGATTCTCTATTTTCTCTGCTTTAATTTGATACTTAAACGAGTAAAAACAAACATACTGGTGTCAAGTTATAAGCGTTTATTTGAACGTCAACTTAGACTACGCGACGCTCCTTTAGGACGTTCGATTTTTACGCAAAGCAAGCGACGGGCTGGTGTAGTGGATAGTGTGCTTGCGTGGGGAGCTATCGAGATCCTTTTTGAGCCTGGTTCGAATCCCGTCACCGTCAAATCTCTTTAGCCGATTTTTCATCTTTTTTTCAATCTTCAATCATCTTTTTCTCAGCACTGGTTAAAGCTAGAAAGGCGTTTAATAGCTCAAAAGATTCCCTATTTTCTCTGCTTTAATTTGATAGTTAAACGAATGGAAACAGACGTACTGGCGCTGATTTATGCGCGTTTGTCTGGGAGCAGATTTTGAGACTACGCGCCGCTCCTATAGGAGGCTTTGATGCGACTTTTTTTTATGTTCTATTAGAGTTTTTACGGTATTTCTACACGCCATTGTAAAGATTTGATATTATTTTATTAGAAAAATAGAGTTTTTTTGTCTTTTCTATCTACAGAAATCAATCTCAAAACCTGAGCAATTCCTCAAAGAATATCTCGACTTTTCGATCATTCGCCTCATTTGACGCGTTCAAATCTTTCACGATTGAGTAAACATCCTAAAATTATCGATAGAATTTCTAGAAGATCAATCCAGAATGATCACTGAGAGCTTTCCTCTCCATCTCTCTTCATCTCTCTTCATCCCTCTCCATTCCCACTCCATCTCTCTCCATCCGCCTCCATTCCTCTCCATTCCTCTCCATTCCCTCCTTCTCACAAACCTTTGTCGCAGGACCAGGCGCAGTCAAAGTTGTGATCATTTTCCATGCATTCGATCGATCTCTTAACCCATCTTGCACAAGACAAATCATTCCTGCGACAAGAGTCGATGCACCGTCACCCCGAAGCACTGCAGCCACTCCTGGAAATGAGTTTCAGATCTTGACTGATCATCATGATCTTGATCGAATTTGATCCTCAAAATTTACTTGAATCTCTGGCTTCTCTTTGAAAGCTAGACTAACAGGGAAAGGCAACAGTTGGCCAAATGAAATAAACAATAGAGAGCAATAGACCGAGGATTCGATGAATTGAAAATTCGCAGAATTGGATGCAGAATAAAAAAACAAGGCTTTTTCCCTGACACTACCAAACAGGAATTGAACTCGAGGAGAACTATAGCCGATCCCCAAACTACCCTTTTAAGCTCAGCTTTTCCCCTTTGAAAGCTTTGAAACACGAGAAATTAGAGGATTTCATAGAGGAGAGTTAGAGGATCGATTTGCAATCGTTTCCCAACTAGATCGATGCTTTATTTCGATTAGCATCGATGAGCATTTGAAGCTTGAAACTTTTAAAAGCAAACCTTCAACAACCGCCTCAACGAGTGTCCTCTTTGCGGCATAAATCGGCAATCCGACCACAGAGAGCTCTCTAGCCGCCAATGATGGTCTCGATGAGAGAGACCTGCAAAGGAAAGGTTTAGAAAAGAAGCTAGTTAATGGAATTCAGATCGACTACGAGAAATTACGATTACGACTACGACTACGACTAACTACGGCTACGACTACGACTACAACTAATTACGACTACGGCTACGATTAATTACGACTACGACTACGACTACAACTAATTACGAATACGGCTACGACTACGGCTACGACTAATTACGAATACGGCTACGACTACGGCTAATTACGATTACGACTACGGCTACGGCTACGATTACGACTACGAATACGACTAACTACGAATACGACTACGACTACAACTAATTACGAATACGACTACGACTACAAATGAAAAACGATTTGTGAAAAGGGTAGAGAGAGAGAACAGAGTTTTGTTAAAAGTTGTTATGATCGATTGGCTCTCTTAATCGTCGTAGTCGTAGTCGTATTCGTAATTAGTCGTAGTCGTAGTCGTAGTCTAATCACGACTACGACTACGACGACTAAGAGAGCCAATCGATCATAACAACTTTTAACAAAACTCTTTTCTCTCCCTCTCTCCCTCTCTCTCTCTCTCTCTCTACCCTTTTCGTTTTTCATTTCCTTTTTTCACTTTCATCACCTTGTAGGTCTTGGCGCGAATTCGATGGCCCTCTCGACGATCTCCGATGCTGTACAATCGCAAAGAATATGTCTAAAAAGATCGAAAATAGTTGGAAATAGTTGGAAATAGTCGAAAATAGTCGAAAATAGTCGAAAATGTCTTTACAGAAATGTCTTTGCAGAAATGTCTCAAAAGGACGGTAACTATGCAATCTTAGAGCTCTTTTTAGATAAAACTTTATTGAAACTTTCTTTCTAGAAAAGCCTGTATGCAGTAAACTTTTCATAGATATTAGACTTCGAGCTGGCTTTTGGTATCATTCGACGCAGAATGAAATTGCGCATCGAATGATACCAAAATGAGCTCAATAAATAATATCCATAAAAAGTTATGAAGCAAAACGTCCGTAATAGACAGGGTTTAGGTTTTTAGCCAATAACTTTGAATGGATATTAGACTTCGAGCTGGTTTTGGTATCATTCGACGCAGAATGAAATTGCGCGTCGAATGATATCAAAATGAGCTTAAAATATAATATCCATGAAAAGTTGTTGGCAAAAATCTAAACTCAAAGTTAAAAACTCAAAAATCGACCTGCTCTGTGAGTTCTGTGCCCAATGCGGTGGGTGAAGGCGTCGCCGTACGCGGAAACACGTCCTACATGGCTCGGGCAACTTTCGTGATCCTAGAGAAAACGATGTTAGAAAATGATTTTCTTCCTAGATTCTAGGGAGTTAAGGAACTTGACGTTTTCCATCATAACTTTCCATAGATATTAGACTTTGAGCTCATTTTGATGTCATTCGATGAAGAATGAAATTACGCGTCGAATGATACCAAAATGAGCTTAAAATATAATATCCATAAAAAGTTATGAGGGAAAACGTCCGCAATAGACGGGGTTTAGGTTTTTGGTCAATAACTTTCCATAGATATTAGACTTCGACCTGGTTTTGGTATCATTCGACGCAGAATGAAATTACGCGTCGAATGATACCAAAATGAGCTTAAAATATAATATCCATAAAAAGTTATCAGGCAAAACGTCCATAATGGATGGGGTTTAGGTTTTTAGCCAATAACTTTTCATAGATATTAGACTTTGAGCTGGTTTTGGTATCATTCGACGCGCAATTTCATTCTTCATCGAATGACATCAAAATGAGCTCAGAATCTAATATCCATGCAAAGTTATTGGCTAAAAACCTAAGCCTGGTCTATTATGGATGTTTTCCGTCATAACTTTTTATGGGTATAAGGTCTTGAGCTGGTTTTGATATCATTCGACACGCAATTTCATTCTACATCGAATGACATCAAAATGAGCTCAGAGTCTAATAGCCACAAAAAGTTATGATGGAAAACGTAAAGTCTTGCCCATAACGAGTGGGGTTTAAACCCTTTTTTGAAAATCACAAACCCCACAAAGCTTAATGCAGTAAATTTTTTTGAGAAGGGATTTAGGGATGCTTAATCGGTACGGGTACAGCCTGTACCCCTAGAGGCTGTAGCTGTCGGGGCAGAGGCTGTACCCCTAGAGGCTGTACCCCTAGAGGCTGTAGCTGTCGGGGCAGAGGCTGTACCCCTAGAGGCTGTAGCTGTAGGGGCAGGGGCTGTACCCCTAGAGGCTGTACCCCTAGAGGCTGTTCCCCCACAGCCTTTGCCCCACAGCCTGTTCCCCCACAGCCTTTCCCCTACAGCCTCTGCCCCGAGCTGAATGGATAGCTGACAAGTCCCATGCTTTATTCGAAAGATTTGAAATGAAGAAAGCACTGACCCTCAATACAATTGGAGTGCTGCGACGATGTTCCCAAGAGGTTTGTGTTCTGCTTAAAAAACGAGCACGCTTCAGCGACATGACTGAAAAAAAAACGATTTTAAAAACATCGACCTTTCACGGAGACAAGAAAACCCTTTCTTTGCGCCAGTGCACGTGTGTCTGTGTACCTTATTGGTAATTAGATTCCCCAAGTCTTTCTCTATCGATTGATACCAAGAACTTATAAATTGAACAACCCAAAGCCAAGATAATTGAGGTCTTTCTAGGTCTAAAAGGTCTTTCTAGCCCCGCCCCCTTTCCCATTGGCACTCTAACTTTAAACTCGAATTGCTTGGCTTTGGCTTGTTCAATTTATAAGTTCTTGGTATCAATCGATAGAGAAAGATTTGGGGAATCTAATGACACCAAAAACATCTCAATTGAACAACTCCACAGCAAAGATATTTGAGTTTAAAGTTTGATGAGAATATCAAATTTTCTACAAACATTCAAATTCAATCTATCGATTTTTTTTTTGGTTTAAACTGAACAGTTAACAGTTTTTTTCTGAAATTTGACACGTTTTTGAATGGATTACTTGGTTTTTTTCTTTCAAAAAATAGTACTAAACATGTGGTCCCTTCTAGAAAAAGTGATCAAATTGAGAGGAGGGAAATGGGAGAGCTTTTCTTTTTGCAGCTTTTCCAGGTGATCTTTTCGCATTTTCGGACAGCTGTTCAGATAAAGTAGAAGGGAAAGGATCGAGAAATCGGAATTGCAAAAGATAAGAGCTCAATTTTGATCAATCTTTGATCATCATCTTTTTTCAAAAAAAAAAAAACAACTTTTTTTTTGAAACTTGACCGATTTTAGAATGGTTTCCTTGTTTATTTAAAGGTTAAAGCTCATTAAATTAAGAGCTTTTAAGAGCTTTTAAGAGCTTTAAAAGCTTTAAAAAAGCTCATTAAATCTTTCTAATTTTGGGATTTGTTGAAAGATTTGAAAGATTTGTGAACTTGATCTAGAAAAGTTGGAAAATTGTTGTTGAGATGGCTGGGAAGGGTTTAGAAGATGGAGAATTGGTGTTGAGATGGCTGGGAAGGGTTTAGAAGATCGAGAATTGGTGTTGAGATGGCTGGGAAGGGTTTAGAAGATCGAGAATTGGTGTTGAGATGGCTGGGAAGGGTTTAGAAGATCGAGAATTGGTGTTGAGATGGCTGGGAAGGGTTTAGAAGCTAGAGAAATGATGTTTACAAGGCTATAAAGGCTTTAGAAGCTGGAAAATTGATGTTGAGAAGGCTGGGAAGGGTTTAGAAGATAGAGAATTGATGTTTAGAAGGCTCTAAAAGCTTTAGAAGATAGAGAAATGATGTTTAGAAGGCTGTAAAGGCTTTAAAAGCTGGAGAATTGATGTTTATAAGGCTTTAAGAGCTTTAGAAGATAGAGAAATTGATGTTTAGAAGGCTGGAAAGGGTTTAGAAGATAGAGAATTGATGTTTATAAGGCTATAAAGGCTTTAGAAGCTGAAAAATTGATGTTGAGAAGGCTGGAAAGGCTTTAAAAGCTGGAGAATTGATGTTTAGAAGGCTCTAAAAGCTTTAGAAGATAGAGAAATGATGTTTAGAAGGCTGTAAAGGCTTGAAAAGCTTCAAGTTTTATGTTTATAAGGCTATAAGAGCTTTAGAAGCTATCAAATCGATGTCTATGAAGCTATAAAAGCTTTAAAAGCTATCAAATCGATGTTTATAAGGCTATAAACGCTATAAACGCTTTAAAAGCTATAAAATGAATGTCTATAAGTCTATCAGAGGTTTAAAAGCTATAAAATCGATGTCTATGAACCTGTAAAAGCTTTAAAAGCTGGAAAATTGATGTTTACAAAGGCTATAAAGGCTTTAAAAGCTATCAAATTGTTATTTACAGGCTATAAGAGCTTTAAAAGCTATCAAATCGATGTTTATAAGGCTATAAAGGCTTTAAAAGCTATAAAATGAGTTTCTATAAGGGCTTTTCTTTTTCTATATCCATCAAATCGATTGATTTAGAAAGAAAACAGCTTAAGAAACTCGATTTTTGATGTTTATCGCTTGATTTTATCGATTTTTGTCGATTTTTGTCGATTTTGTCGATTTTTGTCGATTTTTACTGTTTTACTACAATTGTTGGATCTTGCTTTATTGCTTTACTTAAACAATTGCTTTATTGGAATAATTGTTTTGCTTAAAAAGTGCTCGGAGAACTGATCTGATAAACAAAAGAAAAATCTTGAATCGAAATCAAAAAAACCCAGGGAGGGGATCGAACCCTTGAGGTCCCCTTTTGGAAACGAGAACTCTACCACTTGGCCACGGCTGCATTAAAAACCGGCTGCCCAAAAGCCGACTAAAGACCGCCCGAAGCCTCCTTCCCTTCCCGTCATCGTCAAATTTTCACCAAGACTTTAAACACCTATAACTCTTGACAGATTGTTATTTAACAAAAACGGATGATAGATTCGGAATCAGCACGAAATTCTGCATTTATAGGTATAGTTTGAATAGTATTTTACTCAGCTAATTCGATTTTTTGATCACTTGAAAAGTCAGAAGTGTCCTCTTTGAAACAGTTACTTTAAAAATATAAAAACTCAAAGTTTTCCTTGTATTTTAAGTCTTTTACAATCATCTATAGATACGAATTATTGTAAAATTCGATTTGGACATTCCCTAGGTGCCCATGGGACTTAATTGTGTTGTTGTAAGGTCGAGTGCTTGTTGAGTCCCAGTCTCAATGAAATATGATCTCAATCTCTTCCCATTCTTCCTTTCTTCCTTTCTTTCCTTGCTTTCCTTGCTTCCTTTCTTCCTATCTCCCTTTCTTCTCCTTCTTCTCCTTCTTCCCTTTCTTCCCTTTCTTCCCAACATCCACAACAAGATCCCAATCCTTTCCTTGCTTTCTTTGCTTCCTTTCTTCCCCTTCTTCCTTCCCTTCTTCCCCTTCTTCCCCTTCTTCCCCTTCTTCCCCTTCTTCCCCTTCTTCCCAACACTCACAACAATCCCAATCCTTTCCTTGCTTTCTTTGCTTCCTTTCTTCCCCTTCTTCCTTCCTTTCTTCCCCTTCTCCCCCTTCTTCCCCTTCTTCCCCTTCTTCCCTTTCTTCCCAACACTCACAACAAGATCCCAATCCTTTCAAGAATTATTGCCAATATTAGTCGAGAATTGTTTCCCCTCAAATCTCAATCTCAATCTCTCCAATTACAACAAGCTCCACTTTATTTTATTGCCCATAAACCCAATGGGACTTCATTTTATTGTTCAAAAGAGTTCTTTGAAGTTAACAGCTAATTGGGTTGATGATAAAAGAGGGCAAAATAGATGCCAAAGTCTGAGTCAAAGCCTAAGCCAAAGCCTAAATAGAAGCCTAAGCCAGCCTAAGCCAAGCCTAAGCCAACCCAAGACTAAACCAAGCCTAAGCCAAATATTCCCATAACAGTTCTATGATATATACAAAGTGTGCCAAAGTCCCAAAGCAAGCCCTTATCCAAAAATTTCTCTAAAAATCTGCTCTTCATTTTTAAGACCTTTGTTTACTTCTTTTCTTTCAAGAAAAACTTCCCGAGAAGAGAAAGGGTTTTTTTCTTTACTTTGAAATTTAGATAAATAGAAAGTTCATCAAGCTTAGATCTTTGCACAAATACTAAGCATTCGATCTTACAAGTTAGTACAGTACAAGTTAGTACAGTACAAGTTTAGTACAGTACAAGTTTGTACAGTACAAGTTAGTACAGTACAAGCTAGTACAGTACAAGTTAGGAAATGCTACTATTTGTTAACTAGGGTTATTTAAAGTACATAAAGTACATAAAGTAAAGTACATGAAGCACTTAAAGTACATAAAGTACTTAAAGTAAAGTACATAACGTACATCAAGTACATAAAGTACATAAAGTACTTAAGCCCAGGCCCTAATACCTAACGGGTTTATTTCAAAGCTTACTGGGGAAAAGAAAAAATTGGAGAAAACAAAAAATAACCTTCAAATCTTTTACTATTTCATAACACCTTTTATTTTTCTTTTCTCTGATGTTTCTTTCTCTTTTCCACAAGTAGAGAGATTGATTGAGAGGCTCGGCTTTGGCCTGGTGCCTATGGGCCTCCAGGGCCCCTGTGGACCCTCCAAAAAGAACAGAGAGTTCCAATAAACGAAAGAATGCAATCAAATATTCAGAGAACACTTCAAAAGGATTACGGTGGATGGGAAAACGATTGGAAATAGAAAAGAAAGGAATAGAAAGGAAAGAGAAAAGAAGTTGATCAATTCGAGAGCTTTTCGGGATTATGAAAGTGCTCGAGAGGGCAGTAAGTTACGAGTTTGAGTTTGAGTTTGCTTTGAGTTTGCTTTGAGTGTACTGGAGTGTACTTTGAGTGTACTTTGAGTGTACTTTGAGTGTACTGGAGTGTACTTTAAGCTGTCTTTAGCTCTCTTTAGCTCTCTTTAGCTCTGGCGTCTGGCGTAACCCTCTGACTTTGATAAATCGCAAACCTTGGCAAAAGAACGGACAGCGATGACCAGTCCTCGATGTGAATTGGGCCAGAGCAACCGATGCCCGAATCAGGGGAATCTTCCTGAAAATCAAAAGGTTTATAGATGGAGATTTAGCTTTATATAGGTAAATTTAGCTTTATATAGGTAAATTTAGCTTTCTAGATGCAAATTTAGCTTTCTAGATGTAAATTTAGATTCATATATGGAAAGTCTATCTTTCGAACAACAAGTCTAACTTGTTGCAAACTGTAAACTGTATACAATAAACTTGTTTGCAGAGAAAAAAGCAAAACTTTGCCAACAACAGGAGTCGAACCCGCGAGGGACCACCCCGCAACCCAGCACCTTATCCACTAGGCCACCAGGTCATCTGACGCCACTCGCCAAGAAAGGCTTATATCAACCGGCCCTCTCCCAATTTTCAAATTTTTTGAAAGGGCCGGGGATATGAGGCCAAATTATGGCAGGTTGCCAAGTGGCTGAATGGTGTAGTGGTGAGTGTGTTGGTCTCTCGTACTACGAGGCTCGAGCCCCTCCCTGGTTCGAATCCTTTCACTGTCAAAAAATTTTTTTTTTCTTAAAACACTAAAACAATCTTTCAAATAGAGCAATTCTTGCTAGAACTGCTAGAGCTAGAGCTAGAGCTAGAGCTAGAGCTGGAGCTGGAGCTAGAGCTAGAGCTAGAGCAGCTTACTATCGCATTCCAACTGATCTTCTAAACGCTCACCAATTGTAATGGAGATAAAAGGTTGAGATCGGAGACTTTCGTGATATTTGGTAGAAGCGAGGCGAATGGCAGGGTTTCTGGTGGATCTTTTCCATCTTTGCCATCATTCAATCGTATCATTATATCCGAAAACGACATCGACGACTCGCAAAGGGTTGGCATCTAGAAAAGAAAAGAAAACTAGTAAGTATTTGTCTAAAATTCGTCTCAATTAGCTAAAATTAGCCCAAATTAGCGAAAATTAACCAAAATTCGTCTCAAATTCGCTTATTTAGGGTAAAGCTTCGTTTCGGCATCGTTTTCCACGAAATTCTCTCAATTTTCTCATCAAAAAGATGCGTTTACAGATGCAGAAAGATGTTAAAACCAAAAAAAAACCAGCATTTCTGATGTAAATTTGTTTAAAAAACGACTAATTTCAATAAAATTTCAATAAAATTCAATAAAATGACTATATTCTTTCAAATTTCGGCTTAAAAATCGCATTTTAAACTCAATTTTTGTTATCGAATAAGCAAAAAGAGCAAAAATAAGTTAAAATAAGCTAAGATAAGTTGAAATAGACTAAAATGAGTTAAAATAAACTAAAATAGACTAAAATAAGTTAAAATAAGCTAAAATAAACTAAAATAGACTAAAATAAGTTAAAACAAGTTAAAATAAACTAAAATAAACTAAAATAAGCTATAATAAGCTATAATAAGGTAAAATAAGTTAAAATAAGCTAAGATAAGTTGAAATAGACTAAAATGAGTTAAAATAAGCTAAAATAGACTAAAATAAGCTAAAATAAGCTAAGATAAGTTAAAATAGACTAAAATAAGCTAAAATAAGTTAAAATAAGCTAAAATCAGCTAAAATAGATTAAAATAAGCTAAAATAAGCTAAGATAAGTTGAAATAGACTAAAATGAGTTAAAATAAGCTAAGATAAGCTAAAGTAGACTAAAATAAGTTAAAATAGACTAAAATGAGTTAAAATAAGCTAAAATAAGCTAAGATAAGCTAAAATAGACTAAAATAAGTTAAAATAAGCTAAAATCAGCTAAAATAGACTAAAATAAGCTATAATAAGCTAAGATAAGTTAAAATAGACTAAAATGAGTTAAAATAAGCTAAGATAAGCTAAAGTAGACTAAAATGAGTTAAAATAAGCTAAAATGAGTTAAAATAAGCTAAAATAAGCTAAGATAAGTTGAAATAGACTAAAATAAGTTAAAATAGACTAAAATAAGCTAAAATAAGTTAAAATAAGCTAAAATCAGCTAAAATAGACTAAAATAAGCTAAAATAAGCTAAAATAAACTAAAATAGACTAAAATGAGTTAAAATAAGCTAAAATAGACTAAAATAAACTAAAATAAGCTAAAATAAGCTAAAATAAACTAAAATAAACTAAAATAAGCTAAATTTTGCTCTTTTTCACCCCAAGAAAACTCGATTCTCTTTGAGAAATTAAAGAGATTTTGAGAGAAAAGAATTGACAAAAGAAAAGAAAAGAGAAGAAAAGAAAAGAAATGACAAGAAATGAAAAGAATTCAAAAGAAACCGGATATTTGAAAACCAATCAAAATTCTTTCCTAATGCACTTTGTGCTAAGCTTTCTAAACGAAACCCTTCTGGCGCAATGAATTTCGGAATGAATGAAATGAACAATGAAACTTCTGGCGCATTCCCCTCCCCCCCTTATTGGAATTCTTATTGCGGGGGGGGGGGCCCGCAATAAGAATTCCTTTTTTAAAGAAAAATGAAGAATTCAGTGCGCTTGAGCAGCTGGATTTGGGAAATTGAAACACAAAGTGCACGAAGTGAAACTTTTGAATGAAACCCAATGAAATCAAGGGAAATCTGCCCCGAAAAATTCGCGCAACTTTTCCCCCCAAAAAAAGCACAGCTGGAATGTAGCTGCACGTAGCTGCACGTGGCTGGCTCCTTTCAAAGGAGAATCGAAAAGAGAAATGGATAAAGATTGGGTTTAAATAGGTTTAAACAGGGTTGAACAAGTTTAAACAGGTTTGAACAGGTTTAAAACTGGTTTGAACAGGTTTGAACTGGTTTGAACTGGTTTAAACAGGTTTAGAACTGGTTTGCACAGGTTTGAACAGGTTTAAACCAGTTTAAACAGATCTAAAACAGGTTTGAACAGGTTTAAACGAGTTTAAACAGATCTAAAACAGGTTTAAACGAGTTTAAACAGATCTAAAACAGGTTTAAACCAGTTTAGAACAGGTTTAGAACAGGTTTAAACAGATTTAAACAAGTTTAAACAGATTTAAACAGGTTTAAAACAAGTTTAAACAGGTTTAAACAGGTTTAAACAAGCTTAAACAAGATTAAACAAGATTAAACAGGTTTATCCCGGTTTGGAAGAGGTTTGGAAGAGGTTTGGAAGAGGTTTGGAAGAGGTTTGAACAAGTTCCAAAAGAGGTAGCTCTCATTTCTTTCGCTCACCTGATGGGGTAACTGTAAAAATTGCAATTCGGGCGCATTTTTGTGTATTCGTTGTTGATTTGGCGTGGAGGGGGTGAGATCGGCGAAAGTTCGTCTCGGCTTTTGCCCGGCCGGGGATCGAGCCAGGGTTGTGGGGTGGGCGGTCGGCCGGGCCGCCTGCCAGCGATCCACTGCGCCACCGGGCGTCGTCGTCACTTCATTGTCGTTGACGTCTAAAAATGCGCGACTTTTACACCGAAAACTTCGAGTGGATGGGTCTAGATTCTAGTTTTATTTAAGAATTTAAAGAAGAAGATTTTTTATTGGACTTCTGAGCGTTCATTTACAGTGTTCAGCTAAGCTGAGCTAAGCTTTAAATTGAACTGATGTACTTTGTACGTTGTACGTAATAATGTACTTTGTACTAGTGGACTAGTGTACGTTGTACTAGTGTACTTTGTACTAGTGTACTTTGTACTAGTGTACTTTGTACTAGCGGACGTTGTACTAGTGTACTAGTGTACTAATGTACTTTGTACTAGTCTACTATTGTACTATTGTACGTTGTACTAGTGTACTAATGTCCTACCATTGTACGTTGTACTTTGTACTAGCGTACTTTGTGTTGAACCCTGAATTGGTGTACTTTGTGCTCGACGCCTTCTGGTGCACTGATTTCTTCATTTTTTCGTGATCTTTGCGGGAAAAATGAGGAATCCAGTGCACTAGAAAGGATGCGTTCAAGATCTAGTGCACGATCCAGTGCACTAGAAAGGATGCGTTCAAGACCCGGTGCACGATCCAATGCACTAGAAAGGATGCGTTCACGATCTAGTGCACGATCCAGTGTACTAGAAAGGATGCGTTCACGATCTAGTGCACGATCCAGTGCACTAGAAAGGATGCGTTCAAGATCCGGTGCACGATCCAGTGCACTAGAAAGGATGCGTTCACGATCTAGTGCACGATCCAGTGCACTAGAGAGATGACGTTTCAAAGTTCGCACAAAGTACATGGATGATCTCTATCGATCTTTGATAAATTAACTCCAAAATTCAACTCAAATATGTTGTGTTATATAAAATATTGAAGCTCTTCTTCCTGGCTGCATTTCTCTCGTTAAATTCTCCCGTTTCAAGCCGTACAACTCATTTTAAAAGCTTTTAAAGTTGTTTTCTCTTGGCATTCTTTATTGGGCATTCTTTAGCTTTTAAAATGAGTTCTATAGATTGAAATGGGAAAGTTTAAAGAGAGAAATGTAGCCAGGAAGAAGAGCTTTAAGATTTCTATCTAACAAAAGCTAGCTAATCAATTGTAAATGGCGTATTAGACGAGTCTGACTCACCCAACACCAATCCGAGATCAGGATCGAGTGTGCTCTGTCTTTGCGAGAATGTAGCCAACAATGATGATGGTCGTTGCTTTAAACGACTCGTTCCCATCCCGATATCCGGCGCTGAAGCCGTTTTCGAGCCGAAGCGCTCGTCGAGTGGCTCTTGTGAATGAATTCTTCCCCAAGTTGTGAAACCGTTTCTCCCCGATTGTCCCATCGATGCCCATTGCCCCGAATCAGCCATCGTTATCTTATAATCCTCTTTATTATATTGACATCGTTGTCTCAATTGCTCAGAGTCTAAAGAGTCGGTAGAAACTGTTCCATCCAGCAGACTCCCAAACAACGAATCTGACGCGCCAAAGTCCAGATTCGCGATTCGATCATCGATATCCGGTGGCCATTCATCCGCATCGGGAAGCATTTTCAACTCGCATAGCTCAACCATCAGCTTTGGAGTGGTTGATTGTTAATAAAGTAGTGATCGATTGTTTAGAGAATAAAGAAGAGTTGATTTGATTGGAGAGAGATTGGAGAGAGATTCGAGAAAGGTTTGTTCTAAGTTAGCTAGCAATTTGGCTTAGGATTAGACTTGGCTTAGGCTTGGCTTAGGCTTGGCTTAGGTCCAGGCAATGAATAGGCAATGAATAGTAATAGCTATTGAGTAAATAGTACTTCTAGCTCAGGGCTAGACAATAGAGCTTCTGCAGCTTCGGTACTACACAAACGAGTGTGTAGCTGGCTGGTTGGTTGGTTGGCTAGCTAGCTGGCTGGTTGGCTAGCTAGCTAGTTGACTGGCTGGCTAGCTAGCTAGTTGGCTGGCTGGCTAGCTAACTGGTTGGCTAGCTGGCTAGCTAACTGGCTAGCTAGCTAACTGACTGTCGTAGATTTCCAATCGAAGAAAATGATCGCTGGGAAGAAAGGGATTTTGCAATAGCTCTAGGAAACTAAAAGAATGAGGCAGAGCCAGATATTGGTATTTCGGAGGAGAGGAGAGGGCCGGGGGTCCCCCCTCTGTGACGATCGATTGGGGGGGAGGAGTGGTTGGCTCTGGCTGACGACTGCCTGCCTCTCCCAGCCATCTCCCAGCCTCTCCCAACCTCTCCCAGCCTCTCTCATCCACTGCTTGTCTCTGCCCATCTCAAATCTGTCCTCTATTTTTAAATGTTTCATCTCCGCGTCTCTACATTTCTTTTAATCTATGTCCACCGTACTCTCTCACTCTTTCTTTCTCTATCTTTCTCTTTCTTTCTCTCTCTCTCACTTCCCCTTCCCTTCTCTCCTCTTTCTTTGCCTTGTCTCTCCTCTTTCAGCTTCTCTTTCAGCCTCTCTTTCAGCTTCTCTCAGCTTTCAGCTCTTTCTTCTTTACCGCATTTTATTCTTGTGTTCTTTTTAAGTTTAACTATAAATAAATATTATTTTATAAATAACTAACTAAACTTTTTGGAAATAGTCTTTAAATGATGGGGTAAATGAAATGAAATCTAGTTTATATCATTCGAAAGATCTACAGTAATCTTTCTAAAGAATCCCAGGTTTCATTAGAATAACAGGATATCAATTCAAACATTTAAACGATTCAAAAAGGAAATCAAAAATCGTTCAATGCTCAGGCTTAGGCTTAGGCTGGGCTTAGGCTAGGCTTAGGCTGGGCTTAGGCTAGCTTAGGCTGGGCTTAGGCTAGCTTAGGCTGGGCTTAGGCTGGCTTAGGCTGGGCTTAGGCTGGGCTTAGGCTAGCTTAGGCTGGGCTTAGGCTAGCTTAGGCTGGGCTTAGGCTGGGCCTAGGCTTAGGCTTGATCAAGCTCAAGCATTCTCGAAGGATTAGCGAGAAACGAAAATGAGAATTTCGATTTCAACGAAGATTCCGTCTTTTCGTAGTTGCAGCCGAGTTGATGACGATTTTACGGTCCCAAGCTTTTCCAAGAAGCTCAACCCTCGAATCCCCCGCTAGATCTCATCATCAGCTACATTTTCCGACCCCACATCGATAGTTTCTGATAAGCGGCTCTCGAGATTTCGATGAATTTAGGCGACGCTCACGACGCAGAGAAAAAACTGAAGAAAAAAAGGATAATTTCGATTTTCATGCCTCGCTTGATTTATTAGAGGTAGGTGAGTACTAAACTAAACTACTTTAGTACTAGAGATTCCCATAGTTAACGTCTAGTTTAGTAGTTTAGTACTAGAGGTAGGATGGCCGGGAAGGTTAGTTCGGGTGGATGGGGGCTCGCATTCTTAAACAAGCAACGGAGTTGGGGTGGATGGTCAAAAAAGGTAGGTTAGTTCTAGAGGTAGATTAGTTCTAGAGGTAGGTTAGTTCTAAACTACTCTAGTTCTAAACTACTCTAGTTCTAAACTACTCTAGTTCTAAACTACTCTAGTTCTAAACTACTCTAGTTCTAAACTACTCTAGTTCTAAACTACTCTAGTTCTAAACTACTCTAGTTCTAAACGACTTTAGTTTAGTACTAGAGTAGTTAACGTCTAGTACTTTAAAAAAAAAACGATAATTTCGATTTTGATGCCTCGCTTGACTTTTCTGAGTCCTTCTGAGCTGATTGGAAATGTTTTTGATTCAATTTTTCAACAAAAACTTCTCATTTTCCATAACTTTAACAGCATAAAGATTAACTGGAGAAGAAAAAAAGAATAAAAAAGTCGTCAAATATCGTCAAATAGATCATTCTAAGCCCTCAAAATATTCCCGATCTCAAAATATCCAAAGAAAGAGTCCAAAAATGTCGAAAAATGTCGAAAAATGTCGAAAAATGTTCAAAAATGTTCAAAAATGTCGAAAAATGTCCAAAATTACTTCTAAGCGCTCGCTAGTTGCTCTAAAAAGGTGAAAACTAGATAGAAAACGATTTCTAGATGAAATAAGGGCAAAAGCTTGAACTGAATCTTCATTTCATTGCTTAAATTGATTGATTGATTGAAGGGAAAAATTGAAATTGAGATTAAAAAAAGGGATTTCATCGATTTTTTTTTCTGATTTGATTAATCGATTAATCGATTTTTCTTTTAAAAAAAACCTCTCATTTTTCTCGAAATGCGATGAGGACGAAAAAAAACAAGAAAACTCGATTTTCTTTCCTTTTCTTCCTTTTCTTCTTTCTTTCTTTCTTTCTTTCTTTCTTTTTCTTGTCAAAATATCAGTTGACAAGTTTTGAAGGGAAAATGGGGAAGAATGAAAGGTCAAAAAGGGAAAAAAAAGATAGGAAAAGCCTGAAAAAATGAAAAGCTGAAAAATTGACATAAAATAAGAAGAATTTTTGAAATTGTCAACAATTCTCATCTCAACTGGCATCTCAATTGGCATCTCAATTGGCGTCTCAATTGGCATCTCAATTGGCATTTCAATTGGCATTCAATTGGCATTCAATTGGCATTCAATTGTCAACAATTCGCATTCAATTGTCATCTCAATTGTCATTCAATTGTCAATCAATTCGCATTCAATTGGCATTCAATTGGCATCTCAATTGTCATTCAATTGGCGTCTCAATTGGCATTCAATTGGCATTCAATTGTCAACAATTCGCATTCAATTCTCCATTCAATTCTCAACAATTATCATTCAATTCTCAACAATTCTCAATAAAATCCTTTTAAATCAGAATTAAATCAGATTTGAATCTTTTTACTTAAAAGTATCCAAGCCTTTTTTCTTATTTCTATTATATTTGAGCTTTTGATAAAAAGTGTTTGACCGGAGGCGGATCCGAACCCTTGACCCCTCACAGCTAACCGTTTCGCGACCGAGCTCGCTAACCACTCGGCCATTTCGCCCTGCTTGCCTCCCTTAAAAAAAGGTAGATGAGGACGCGAAGGGGCTTTTCGAGAAAAACTTGCAAATTTACTCGGAAAACGGAGCCTAAGGGTTAAAAGAGGCTTCTTGGCTTCCTCAAAACAAGGCGAGATAGTGTAATAGGTAGTGAGTTAGGTTCTAAAACTAGCGTCATCTTTTGCCCACGGGTTCGATCCCCGTCTGCTTTTTTTGAAATGCTTTTTGTGACGCAATCTTTGTTAAACTGTTATTCCCATTACATTCAAGCTAAATATAAAGTAATGCAGTAAAGTAATGCAGTAAAAGTAAAGTAATGATAATACTTTGATACCTCGTGAATCCCGGAATCATTTGTGAGTTCATTTCGCTCGTTATCCATCCAGGAAAGTCGATTTTCCAAGAAAAAAAATCAAAGAAATAGAGAATTTAGCACAATTTTCCTGAAAGATTACTCTCTTTTTACCTTTCTTTAGTGTTCAATTTAAAAAGAAAGCTTTAATCAACAAATAAAAGTCAATAAAAGATCAAATAGAGAGATTTGTGATGATTAAAAGATATGCTTTTTGATTTTAAAATATGCTTTCAAAAGATTATTTTAAAATTTCCAAACAAATTCAAGAATAATCCAATCTAAAAGCATTTCAAATGATAAAAAATGGTTTTTTGAGTTTCAATTTTGCAATTCGAAAGCCTTCAAAAGCCCGATATGGTTCGGATATGGTTCCAATATGGTTCTAATATGGTTCGGATAAGGTTCGGATAAGGTTCCAATATGGTTCCAATACGGTTCGGATACGGCTCCAATATGGTTCCAATATGGTTCCAATACGGTTCCAACATGGTTCCTTTTTGGATCCAATACGGTTCACGGTTCCAATACGGCTCCTTTTAAGGTTCCAATACGGTTCTTTTTTGATCTAATACGGTTCCAATACGGTTTACGGTTCCAATACAGTTCACGGTTCCAATACGGCTCCTTTTAAGGTTCCAATACGGTTCACGGTTCCAATACGGCTCCTTTTAAGGTTCCAATATGGTTCTAATATGGTTCGGATATGGTTCGGATAAGGTTCTAATATGGTTCTAATATGGTTCCAATGGAAAAAAAAAACTGAATACTCAAATCTAGACTGAATACCCTAATCTAAATTAAATGACGTAATCTAGCTATTCTAGACTGTATTCTAGACTGAATCTACTATTCTAGATTGAATACCGTAATCCAAAGAGTCTAGAGTGAATACAAATAAAAAAATAAATATAAACACTCGTAAAACGTAAAAAAGTCGAAAAGTTGAAAGCAATTGGAAAAAAGAAACTCGCAAAACTGGAGATATTCAAATTTCCATGTAAAATCGAGTAAACAAAAATCTAAAATCTAAATCTAAAAATTCTCATGATTTCTTGGATTACTTGAATAAGCCAGTATCTACTAAAACAAGCAATTCGTTTAGTTGACAAGTGTAAAAAGATCAAAAGTTTGCATAAATTTCACACTTTTTTCATTTTCTCATATCAGAAACGATAAAAACAAATGGGATCGATAGAGAGCGGGGGAAATGTGACAAAAATGTGCCAACGAAATGAATGTGTTTATGAAAACAAAAAGGAAAATAGTAAAAGATGAAAGCTTTCGTGATTTTCGAGTGATCAAATGATCCGCAAACGATCAAAAAACGAGTAATACTTGATTACTTGATCACTTACCCTAAAGTCGTGAGTATAAGCTCTGTTTGGTTTTCGCATGCAAATTGACGGCTGTCTCCGGTGCGGTGTGTCGAGGGTTCGAACCCCGCTGCACTAAGAACAATAATAGAAGTAAATTTATTGAGGGTTGCAGCAAATTTTATGCTGTTATTTGTTTCTCCGGCTCGGCGCGTCCGCCCTGCTCCTCTCCGGTGCTCAGTCTTATGGATCCCTCCCTGGCCTCTTCATCCGGCCAAAGTCCACGTCGACGGTCGAAAGAGATGCTTTCCAGCGTCTTCTTCAACCCTATCGTCTGGATGTATCCATGCACATAACAAATAGCAATGGTGATAGGCTGTCACCCTGCAGTATCCCGCGCTCCAAGAACAATAATAAAAGTTTATATAACAATAAAAATGTATAAAAACCCAACAAAAAGAAATTCAAAGCAATTAAAGCGAATGTAAATTAAGGCAGAACTTCTACTCGAGACTTTAGGGTAATAGCAAGTAATACTTGGTTCTGATACCGTTACCGTAATAAAGAAGTGAAAGAATTGCGAAGAAAAGAAAAGAAGCCTAAGTGGGAATCGAACCCTCGACCTTGCTTTCCGCAATTCTCACAAGATATAAGTTAAATGGAATTCCCAGCCAAAGGTCAAGTTTCACATGAAAACTACTATAAACACTCCTCACAAAAAAAGAATGTCACTCAAACATTGTGTAGGTATTGAGGCGATTAAAAAGGCATAGTAAATCGATTGTCGGTGAGAGGTGTTTTGCGAACTTTCCACCCAATTTTTCTATCTTTTCACCCAATCGACTCTCACAAATGGGCAAAACTAGAAATGATCGCCTTTTTTGTCAGCGGTCGATTTCAATTAATCACTTCCCATCGGCGCATCACCACGTACAGTCACCCAATCGTGGGGGTCATAAATGGGATCTCAAAAAACGAATCCTAACCTTAACTTTATGGTAACATTTATTTGTTAGTTTGTACAAAAAAATTACAACAATCGTTTCACAAAAAAAAACAGTTCACAGAAACAGGGAAACAATAATATCCTACTATACACAGAACAAAAGTGACTAACACTAATCAAAAACAAAAACAAACATGTTCACAGATCAAAAATCAAAATTAAATTCCTCGGGAGCCGCTGAAGTGAGATCCATTCCTCCATTAATGTCATCCAAATTGAAGCTCAGATTGGCGCCATTTGCATCGTTGTTCCCGATATTGCCTAAAATGATTCATTGTACAGGTATGCAATGTTTAAACCTAGTTAGAATATCGATAAACACGCATGAAAACCTACCAAAGTCAAAATCAAAAGCAGCATTATTAGATGCATCACCGCCAGATTGGTTGACCATAAAGTTCAAGAAGCTGTCACCGGCATCTAACAAAAATAATTAAACATTAAACTGTAACTGCAAATACTTGGTTGTCCCGAAAGATTGAGCACGTTGTTCACAATGTCGTTGTCGAAGTTGAACGAAGAGTTTCCATTATTCTCGAGATTCTCATTGTTTGCCACATCAAACTAAAAGTCCATTAACACCGTCACACAACCAAAGTCTTACATTGAGGAAATCATCGTTGCCTTCAGCGATCCCTTGGCCAAAATTGTAGCTTCCTTGTAGATCATCCATTTGTACATCACCGCCCATATCTGTTTCGAAATCTAAACACCAAAATTATCTATTTAAAAGAAAACCCAACTTGAAAAACTGTGATTTTGCGAGGCGGGAAATTGGCTAACAGCTTGACTTTGCCCCTCACTTGTGGCAAGCGAAGAGAACATTTTCTAAATGCATTCAAGAATTACTTGTTTAATTAGTTCATTATTAAAGACAAGACAATGTAAGCTTTGAATACCTGATGTGATCCCGTAGGCTCGTTTTCCTCCATTGATCCTTCGTGATCTTGTGTCTCGTGTGCTTGAGATTGGCGTTGCATCTCTTGCTCGTCACCATTCATTGCACGAACGACCATATATGGCTTGCAAATACCTTCTAAATCTTTGAATAACATGAATAATAAAGCAAACCCTCACCAGCTTTCTTCTTTGAGCCTTCATTCTCGTCCATCGTTGCATCTCCTTCATCCATGGGGTGTGTCACCTGCTCTCCGTTATTTGATGCAACCTTAATCTGCGATAAGCGTTCATTAGATAAAATTAACTACTTCAATATCGCTGTTAACAAATGAGCGATGGCTGTTGTTTAGATCAACCTCTTGAACATTAATCTCACTAAACAAAATTCCGCATGGATTGCACAAGATTAAGTATTACCTAGCATGACGCTCCTCATGTTCAAGCAAAGAGGCTTCCTCCTGCTGTTGCTGCATTTCGCTCCCAGTACTTGGATTCAAATCCAGAGTCCGTTTAGGTGACTGTGAAGGGTGCATATCCAAATCAGAGATTCCCTAAAACACTGTTCCAAGTAATCCATGCACACATTCATACCCTATTGGCCTGAGCAAGTGGCGATGGAACCTTTGGAGCAAACTTCACCATAGAAATGTTCTGCGAAATACAAACACTTTCTTCACCATCTTGGCTCGGAAAACTTTTGTTCAGTTTCTAAACAAAATTCAGAAGATATAATGAGCAAAAGAACATACGCGCAAAGCTTGAGCTTCTTTGTAGCGTGGAAGCAAACCACCAATTTTCTTCTTGTAAGAGCTTAGAGCAACCATCACGCCGGCGAACCTCACACAGAACTTCTCAAATGGCATAGCCTGGAGATTGAGCACTAAAGAAAAACTAATAGGTAAACCCGATGCTGCAAAATAAACCTTCGTCACCAAGTCGCTTATTGAGGGTCTCGAGGGTTTTCTCCTCGGTAAGCAACAATTCGAGTTCCCTTTGTTTACGTTGAAGCTCTTCTTCTTGCTGAATAATTATTTTGAACGTATCATCCTCCCACAACTAAAACCTTCTTTCGATTAAGCAAATTGGCGTTGGAGTTGACCGAATCTTCCATCTTCTTCAGCAAACTTTTCGCTTGCAACATATCGTTCATCGCCACTTGCTCGTCGTTTGCATTCTAAATTAACTAGTTATTATCATGATAGCTCTGTAAATTTACCTTCTCCTTTAAGTGATCCAACGTCGTTTCGAGCCGATGTTTCTCCTCTTTCGCGAGCTCAACGCTCACCGACGATCTAAAGTTTAGCGACAATAGTTTCAAGAGCCAATCATAACTAACCTTGCAAGCTTTCTCTCAAAATTAGCGACGTTTGTTTTTAATTGCATCAGTTCTTGCAATTGGGCGAAATTCTCTTCCATCATCTTGATCAGCTCCTCGTTGACATTGGTAATCAACTTGGTACAGACTAAATAATCAACGCATTAAAGAATAATGTCAAAGTTTGGATGTGAAACTCGTTTAGTGCTCACTTTTAAGTTTAATTAAGCTTCCAAGTATTTAGGTAAGGTATTTACCTCAAATTATATCATTAAACGTATAGTTGGGTCAGTAACGTTTAAAAAAATACCTCCAGCCTTGTAGTTTTTCTCTTTGATCCGGAATTTAGTCTCAAATTGCTGAAGCATCATTTGCTCGGCCTCTCCCAACGATTTCAGCATCACATCTTTTTGTTCTTCATTGCTGCCGTAGAGATGAGCAGTAATCACCTAAAAGTATCAATAAAGAAACCACCAAATCCAGCATAAAACCTTATTTAGACCATAAAAGCAAACAAACCTTTTGTTCGGCAAACCACAGCTCCAATTCAACGACACTCATCACCGAAAGTTGCTCGAAGACGCCCATCACTTCTAAAAACGTTAATTACAATCACAATGAAAGCTAACAGGACAAAGATAGGCAAATGAGCCAAGGCAAATGAGACAGTAGAAAACGAAGTGTAATGTTGCAAGGAGTGGCAGCTTTCTAATTTAACTGTTTTTGGAAAAATAGGGAAGTGATGGAGGGGAAAAGCTTTCTACCAACCGTTTTTCAAGAACTTCAAGAGCATTTGCAGTTAAAACCTAAGTAACTTGCGGGAGAAAGACAGAAAAAAGACAGGAAATCGGTAAAAGCTTTAGAATGGAAGCTGGGAAAGAATGAAACTCAAGCTCGCAACTCAACGAGGATTTTTACTATTCTTTCGCGTTTTATAGACGCATCTAAAAAAAAATAAAATGGTACCAGTAAATACGAAGCGAACGAAAATAATAAAAATTTTTGCAAATGTGAAAAGACTTTTGCACCACGATTTTCAGGGGTGTTTTGACAATTCTATTTTTTTCTCAATGAATAAGTGTTGTATAGCGATAACGTTTGTGTAAATAAATTGTACATATATTTGTGTAACTAAAACTATTAATGGCTTAAAGAGCGCCATGAACTTTATGGGAGTGGGACAAATGCGACCTTTTTTTTGCGCACCTGGACATTTGCGCACCTTGCCCATTAGCGCACCTTTTTTCGCGTTTTAAAAAAGCTCTAAAAAGCTAATATTAACCACTTTCTATTCCAAATGTTGTTTTTCTAGGTAATTTGAGGGTGTCGAATTCAAATTTTGACATAACAGAGCTTGTGGAACCAATTTGAAAGACTAAACGGCTAGATCAAATTACAGAAAATTGTCGATTTTTCTCTTTGTATAACTTCGTCCGTTTGTTTCCACAAGCTCTGATATGTCAAAATTTCGATTCTACGCCCTAAAATTACCTATAGAAAAACAACTTTTGGAATAGAAATTCGTTAATATTAGCTTTTTAGAGCATTTTTAAAACGCGAAAAAAGGTGCGCTAATGGGCAAGGTGCGGAAAAAAAGGTGCGCAAATGTCCGGGTGCGCAAAAAAAAGGTCGCATTTGTCCCACTCCCAACTTTATCAAAGAAAATTGATGAAACTTTTTAGAAAAGTAAGTGGGACAAGACTTTTGCACCACAGTGTATTTCAATCCTCAATTTTGTATTTTTACATTTGTCATTAAATTGCGGGAACCGAAAAAAATAGATTTTGTGAATTGGCGAACCAGCAATATTCTGGAGGTGGGACAAATGCGACCTTTTTTTTGCGCACCCGGCCAAAAGCGCACCTTTTTCGCTGGAAAAGACCTTAGGAAAGGCCGTAGAGCTTCAAAAATGTGTCCACAGAGGGGAATCGTATGCGTAGATTCCGAATTTCGACAAATCAGACCTCGCTGATACGTCAAATTTGGGCTAAAAGACAAAAGCTACGCAACTTAACGTTTTTCCGCAGTTTTTGTCTTTTAGCCCAAATTTGACGTGTCAGCAAGGTCTGATTTGTCGAAATTCGGAATCTATGCATACGATTCCCCCATGTGGAAACATTTTTGAAGCTCTACGGCCTTTCCTAAGGCCTTTTCCAGCGAAAAAAAAGGTGCGCTTTTGGCCGGGTGCGCAAAAAAAAAGGTAGCATTTGTCCCACCCCCGATATTCTCACCAAGAGTTGGCCACAAATCCTTTACAAATCATTTACAAAATCCCGGGGTAGGCTAATTTCCGCAACAGGGTTATTTGCGCAATATGGTCATTTGCGCAACTCGTCATAACTTTTTTCTAAATAGGCCAATTTTTATGCTTTTGGTTTCATTTTGTAGATCTCAATAAGTGCAACAAAATGACACCAAAAGCATAAAGATTGATCGACTTAGAAGAAAGTTATGGCAAGCTACGCAAATGACCCTGTTGCGCAAATAACCCTGTTGCGCAAAAAAATCGCGGAAACTAGCCTACCCCAAAATCCCCTTTCAGCTTTCAGCTGTTGTTTAACGCGTAAATACCTCTAATTTGTTAACCCCAAGTCGCTACTAACAAAGTTGGCGGCCACTTTTTTTTGCTTCTGGAGTAACTTTTTGTGTAGAATCCAAAAATCACCATCCCAAAATCTGATTGTTGCGTTTTTTGCTAAGAAAGTGTAACTTTTTCTGTAGGCACTAGGTCTTGAAGCCATTTCTCGAAGTCAATATCGAAATCAGCCTAGGCAAAAGCAATTTTTCGCTGAGCTCGAGTAGTCAGGAAGTGCATTGATTCTTTCTTGCAAGATTCTTGGCCGTTGATTTCAATTGTTGGTGCTTTACAGTTAACGGGGGGCGGGCGAGTTTTTGGCTAACTTGCAGCTCATTTTTAAGCACGTTAAATTTGTCAGATTGATTGAGGAAGTTTTAAGAAGATTTAGATAGCATAGAACGTCAATTTTCAGAAACTATTTGTTTCATCAAAAGTTATTAACAAAAGCCTAGCTAAACTCGTCCCCCCCGTTAACCGTAAAGCATTCAATTGTTTTCGGATGGTTTATCTTTAGCGCAAAAGAGCTGCTTATAAAGGTTTTGGATTATAGAATTCTGATTTAATCAGGGTTCTCGAAATTTTCCCGAAAAAAGTTGCATTTTTTTAGCAAAACAACAAAAGCAAACGATTTTCTTTTTTAACAATTGGATTTTGGGATGGTGGTTTTCGGGTTCTACACAGAAAGTTACCCCAGAAGCAAAAAAAGTCGCCCCCAACTTCGTTAGTACCAAAAATTGGGACTTTAGATAAACGGTGCAATACGACTATGGCGGAAGAGAAGCCATCGGAAATGGCGGTGAATTTTTAAGCCTTTAAATATCCGTAGCTAGAATCGAAATTTGCGCCTCACTTAACCTTTAACAACGATATCATCAGATAGAACAGTTTTGCTTTCAAATTTTTTTTGTTCTCGATTTCTAACTAATTTTACCTATTTTTAGAGCAGCTACTGTCCGAACTTTGCGGCCAGCGAAATGCAAGCGAGCCGAGTCGCGCCACAACGTTTTGATCCGCGGCAACACATACAGGTGGCTGAGGTATAGTTTCTTACTAGATTTAACTTTGTGCTTTAGAGCCATCGTCCGAAGACCCAGAAGAATGTGCCTACCAACATTCAACTGGACGTGCAACCAAATGCATCACCATCGAAGACCGCACGCATCGCCAATGTGGTAGTAAGCGCGCCGATGCAAGCTCCACCGACCTTGGAAAGTGACAACAACATGGTTAATATTCTTTAAATGTTCAAATATTTATGAATATGTTCAGGCTACTACGATCGAACCACCTTTGTACAAGCCACTTGGACGCTTTGGCTATCCAGAAATGATGGCTGCTGAACGAGCGGGTCATCCAACAACGATGGATCATGAGCAAAGCATCAAAACCATTTTCTGCTCTTTAAAGTCATTTTAGAAGACGATGTGAAGCCTGAGCTAGAACTTTCGAAGTCGATGGAGGAACAACTGTTGGAGGTATCGCCCGAAAAAAATGTATTCAACCCTTGGCTCATCAATCATGTTGGTGATAGCTTATCAGCTTTTTAAAATCTTTTTTAGTGGAGGCGCGTGGCCAAGGTGAGACTTTTGAAGGACGCGTACGATGGAAAGCTCAAGATGACGTTCGAAGATGTGAAGGATGATCTGGATCTCTTGGCGGCTTTTATCGACAACCTGGACTACTTTGAAGAGGGCGCAGGTATACACTTTGTGATAGGTTTCATGCAGTGTTTTATTCAGATGGCGTTTTTTGTCGAAAGACCGGATCCAAGAAGTCGAGCATGGAGATTGATTGGCGCTTTCAGAACTACGCGACGATTGCCGACTTGAAGCATTTTGCCCTGACAAAACCGTGGCCGGAAACTGTAATTTCATCTTTTCAAATTTTAAATTACGAATTTAGGCGGTCCCTATCACGTTGATCGAGCCGCGATACATTTTATGCTTGGAAACGGATCGCGCATATGATGATCGTCTGGGAATAAATGAGCTGGTCAAGAAGTAAGTGATGGATTTTTTTTTGTGAGTACATTTTGTTTTAGATTTCTTCGTGATGGTGGTGAGTTGACGTTGGCTGAGTGCACCTACGGTTCAGCGATGCTAATGGTGGAGAAGAGCGAGGAAAGCTTCGAGTATCTGCGAGTTGTGGCTCTATCATATGATCAAATTGTAAGTTTGTTCTCCTTTGGTCCAAAAAAGTTGTTTTAGGAAGATAGCTGGCTTGTAGCTCCAATCGATAGTACCATTGGCCCGCCGATGAAAGCACTCATGGTAATTTAGTTTTGTTGTTTGTTTAAACGCTTTTTAGAAAGTACGCCCGGACAGTTTCTGCGTGTTGCCCAATGTGGTCTCTCTTCAAGCAATACCAGCGGCGATTTTCGCAGCTCCACTCCGTGGCCTCACTGGAATCAAGCCGGTACGCTTGGATGTGATCATAACGATTAACATGCGCAGGTTGAATAATTTTTTATTTAGGGTGCACTAGATTTGGCGAGGAGCTGTCTCTATGCGGATGTCATCTTGACGGTGACAATAAACGAGCGAAGCTGCATCATGCTGCCATTCTACCTCGAAATGTGTGACGGAGAGTGCCCAATTGACTTGATGCTAATAGACCAAAATGGTGATGGAGCACTAGAGGGCCAACTCGTCTCAGAAATACTCTACTGCAAATCGCTTGGCATTCCAATGTGAGCTCTTTGGATATCCGAGAGTACTTCATTTTTTAGTGGCCCAATAGAGCTTCACGACGAGCACCCCTTCTGGATGGGCAACCATGGTGTTGATCTGCCGCGGCCAAATCTGAAAAGACTAGTACAAGAACTAGTAAGTTAAATAGTTTCCAGATTTATTACATAATTCGTTTTAGGAAGAAATGGAAAGAGAAGAGCGTGAAGGTAGCCAGGATCTTGGATCGCAGCGATCGCTTCCTTCACCCTCTTCTTCAGTTGGGCCTTCTACAAAGGTAAGCCAGGTTTTGCTGGTGTACAGTTTTTAAACATGGCTGTTTTTAGGGAGGTTTTTTATTCGAAGATGCCATACGCGCTGGCCAAATAACGACCCAACAGCAATCATCGGTGCCAAGCGAAAACGTGGTAGAGAGAAAGTCCGTCGTCGTTCCTGGATCAATCGAAAAGTTGCTGCGAAGCCAAATGTGAGTCTTTTCAAGATTTTAATTTTATAGTTTGCGGTAGTGCTTTGTTTGGTGTTTGAGTAATCTAATGATTTAGGGGAGAGCCACGCCACAGGGTCATGTTCCGATCGATGCTCACGATGTTGCAAGGAACTTCGGATGTCACCAGGGCGGAACTCGACTACATCATCACGCAATTCGGCTGCAAATAAGCGATGATTTGTTCTTTTATTTTCGTTTTTAATTTCTCTTTTAGTGTTTATCTTTTTATCGAATGTGTATGCTTTCAATTTAGCTTTGTTTTTTAAATTTATTTCTCGAATTAGATAAAGATCTAAGTTACTAAAACCGGAGAAAAGGGACGGGAAATGGAGGGCAATCAATGAGCCATTCACCGAAAATGAGTCCGGATATTTCTTTTATTTTGCGCTCCTCTAAAAGTGACGTTTCGCCACGAGCAATTTAGGCGTTTCGATGGGGATAGAATTTCCCCTGAAGCAGGTTTAAAGGAGGAGAAGAACGCGGTGCAGGAGGGCCCAGCGGGGGAATCGATTCGAGGCTGGGTGAGGCCTTGAGGGGCCTTGCCTTTCCAGCTCTGCCCCTTTTGCGCGGTTTTGCGTTGGCCATTCCACAGACAACGGCCATCCCTCACCCATAATTTTCTTGTGGGGGAAATGGCTGTGATAAAAATGATCGTTTCTTCGGTGTTAATCGCTTCTTTTATTGGGATTTCGACAGGTGAGCATATGCGAATTTTACGACGCTTTTCTAGAGAGCCATTGATCGCTGGATTTCCTAAAATCAAGCTTTTTCAGCTGAACAATCCGAGGTGCCAATCGGACTCTTCGATTCACAAGCGGTAAGTTGAATTTTGAGATTTTGAGCGAGAGATTTGGAGGAATTTTTGAGGAATTTTTTGAGATTTATGAAATGTTAAGTTCAAAAAAACAAAATTGTTTCGATTTTTAGTTTTTTCTATTAGAGAAAGGCATTGACGTTAGCTGAGTCGGTAGAAAAGATAAATGGCTGTTGATTGATGAAGGAGATTGATGACAAGGAGGATGATATGAATGAGAACAAGGTTGATAGCAAGAATGATGATAAGCATGAGAATAAGGTTGATGACAAGGTTAATGATAAGAATGAGGACAAGGTTGAGAACAAGGTTGATGACAAGAATGATGATAAGAATGAGAATAAGGATGAGAACAAGGATGAGAACAAGGATGAGAACAAGGTTGAGAACAAGAATGATGACAAGATTGAGAACAAGGATGAGAACAAGATTGATGACAAGAATGGTGATAAGAATGGTGATAAGATGACAAAGTTGATGACAAGATTAGCAACAAGAGAATCTTTTTAAAAAATTCGATTAATCCAGAGATCTAACTCGACAAAAGTTTATCATTTCCCGACTTTTCCATCATCGATCTTTCAAGAGCTTTAACTCTGCGTCTTTCCATTGTAGACTGCAAGTGTTATAGTGGATTTGAAAGCTTAAAACGAGCTCTATAAGATGGTGTCTTTGCTTTTATAAAGTGTCTTTATTTCAAGTACCCTCTAGATGAACCTTTTCAAAACTCCTTTTTTTTCTAGGATGTTTTCGCTTTGCCAAACGGAGAAATCCCGGAAGTGCCGATTGATGAAGGAAATGGAGAAGAGGATGAGGTCAGCTGAAGGGAAAGGGTTTACTTTACTTTCAGATTTGCCGATTTCCTAGTGAAATATCTTGATAAAATTTGATTACAATCTTTCTTTCTCGAGTCTAGAGTCGATTTTCGCGTACTTTATCGTTAAATCGTGCTCAAATCGTCCTTAAATGCCCCTTAAATCGTCCTCAAACGCTCCCCAATGCTCAAATGCTCTTCTGGCCGTCTTTACAAGTTAGGCTAGCACACTCAGAGCCAAGAGAGCCGTTTGAATGGTTCCTTGTGGGGCCAAGCCAAGCCAAACCAAAGCCAGTCAATGCTAGTCAAAGCCAATCCAATCCAACTCAAACCAATGCCAAGCCAAAGCCAGCCAGAGCCAGCCAGAGCTAGCCAGAGCCAGCCAAAGCCAGCCAAAGCCAGCCAGAGCCAGCCAAAGTCAGCCAGAGCCAAGCCAAGCCAATCCAAAGCCAAGCACTCATAGAATGAGGCGCTTCTATTCTTCTAAGCGATCCCGGACTTTGAGCGGATGTGATTGCCTAGTTTCTAAAGTTTCCAGCAATATCTCTTCCGATCATTTCCCGCTTAGAAGCCTTGATTTCCTTGCTTCTCTACTTGTTTCCCTTCACAAATAGTTTCCCGTTCTTCCCGATTTGCAGCGGGAATTCCTGAAAATTTTCATTTCAAAAATCGGAAATTTCAAAATTGTTTTTCTTTTCACTGATCGTTGGGGGTTGTTGGGGGGATCGTTTTTCTCGAGTTTTAGACACATTTCTTCTGTATTGTTTCCATGGAAAACGAGGGATTTCCTCTCTCTCTCTCTCTTTTTTCACTACAAAATTCTTTTCCTTTCTTTGAAAATTTTAAAACTCGAATTTCTCTGAGTTCTGTTTTGTGAACTTTAAAGAGTCTCTCTAAACGATTTGCAAGTGTTTTGCATTTATCGTGTGCGTTCCATAGTTCCTGAGAAAGTGAAAAACTTTTGAGAAATCGCAACTTTTATCGGGAATTCAAGCGTCAAAACGTTTCCGACCACGGGATTTACATTTAAACAAATTTCCATTCGCATAGAAAAGACGAATCGATTACCGTAACCCCTGCAAATCAAATTCGTTGCTTTTAGAGGCGCTTCACGTTTCTGGGCAATCGAGGCAATAAATAAAGCGTGCACAAGTTACCGTAACCTACCGTAACCCGTAGCCTACCGTACCCGTAGCCTACCGTAACTCGTAGCCTACCGTACCCGTAACCTACCGTAACTCGTAGCCTACCGTAGCCCGTAACCCGTAGCCTACCGTAGCCCGTAACCCGAGCCTACCGTAACCCGTAACCCGTGACCTACCGTAACTCGTAGCCTACCGTAGCCGGTAGCCTACCGTAACTCGTAGCCTACCGTAACTCGTAGCCTACCGTACCCGTAACCTACCGTAACTCGTAGCCTACCGTACCCCGTAACCCGTAGCCTACCGTAACCCGTAGTCGAAAGGATTACTGTAACTTGACGATTTGGCCAGCCTACCGTAACCCGCATAACTCAGTTCTAAGTCTATAAAAGAAAAAAGACTGTAAATGAACTCGAAAAACAAAAAAAAAGGCTGACTTATAAAATGAATTTTTTTTTTGCTTTAAAGAGCGTCGTTAAGTGGTGTTGAATTGTGAATTTTCATTTTCATTTCCTAGAATGCTTTCATCTTGTCGACATCGAAACCATTGGGACAAGTGGCCGGATTGGGCATCGATTCTACCGGAAATCTCATCGCTTTCCATCGAGCTGATCGAGAATGGAATGAGGAGTGAGTGAATGGGGGAAAACGATTACCATAAATACTCTTTTAAATCTCTATAGAAGTGTCAGAAGTTGCGGTTGAGGTTGAAAAAGTAAAGTTAGTTGAAAGAAAAAGCGACGTTGCAAATAGAACACATTAAATGCACCACCGGGAGTCGAACCCCCGACCTTTCGCTTATCAGACAACTGTGCTAACCATTACACCACAACGCACTTGGATTCCCTCGCTTCAGAAAGGGTTAAGTAACGCGAGATAGGAGAAAGATAAAGTTTTCTCTAACTGAACGACAGTAAAGCAAACATAAAGCGTTTCCCAGAGGGCGATCGGACAAGTGTGGATAGCTCAGTGGCAGAGCGTTTGGTTGGTAAACGATCGGGTGAGGTGAGGTCGCGGGTTCGAGTCCGGGTGCAGCCGAATTCTTTTGCTAGAAAAGAAATCTAATGCCAAAAGCCACGTTTCCAATACGGTTCTTATTATGATTCAATTCGGTTCCAGTACGGCTTTAATACGGTTCTAATACGGCTATACGGTTCCAATACGGCTCCAACAAGGCTCCAATTCGATTCCCTTTTGATCCCAATACGGTTCCCTGTTCCTCTTTTTCCTGTTACTCTATCTGTTCGCGCGAGTATTAAGCGACTTTTAGCCTCCCGGAAAAACCTGTCCTCGTGGCCAAGTGGTTAGTGCGCTAGGCTGTCAACTTTCTCAGACCCTACTAAGTGGGTGGTTTGCGCACCTTTTTTACCGCACTTAGCCCATTAGCGCACGATTTTTCGCGTTTTAAAATAACTTTTGGAATAGAAATCGGTTAATATTAGCTTTTAGAGCTTTTTTAAAACGCGAAAAATGGTGCGCTAATGGGCTAAGTGCGGAAAAAAAAGGTCGCATTTGTCCCACTCCCTTCAAAAAACAACTAAAATCATCTTTCAGCACTTTCACGAAAGACTTCAAATTGAATAAAGCTCTTGGAGTCATCCCGAATGCAACGATTGCTGTCATTGATCCGAACAATGGAAAAGTAAGGGGAAACTTTGTGAATTGTACTTTGTACTGTACTGTACCTTCTACTGTACTGTACTGTACTTTGTACTGTACTGTACTTTGTACTGTACTGTACTTTGTACTGTACTGTACTTTGTACTGTACCTTCTACTGTACTGTACTGTACTTTGTACTGTACTGTACTTTGTACTGTACTGTACTTTGTACTGTACTGTACTTTGTACTGTACTGTACTTTGTACTGTACCTTCTACTGTACTGTACTGTACTTTGTACTGTACTGTACTTTGTACTGTACTGTACTTTGTACTGTACTGTACTTTGTACTGTACTGTACTTTGTACTGTACTGTACTTTGTACTGTACTGTACTTTGTACTGTACTGTACTTTGTACTGTACTGTACTTTGTACTGTACTGTACTTTGTACTGTACTGTACTTTGTACTGTACTGTACTGTATTGTACTTTTTACTGTACTGTACCTTCTACTGTACTGTACTGTACTTTGTACTGTACTGTACTGTACTGTACTGTACTGTACTGTACTGTACTGTACTGTACTTTGTACTGTACTGTACTGTACTGTACTGTACTTTGTACTGTACTGTACTGTGCGTTCTACTGTACGTTCTACTGTACTGTACTGTACTTTGTACTGTACTGTACTGTACCTTCTACTGTACTGTACTGTACTTTGTCGAGTACAGTACAGTACTTTGTACTGTACTGTACTCGACCTTTGTAAACGCATCATTTCTAGCACAATGAATTCTTCACTCAAATTCTTCGCTTACAAAGACGTTGCTGAGAGAAAAAGCAAGATTTCTGTGCGCTAGATAGAGAGCGTTTGGAGAGAAATTAAGACAAGTATAATAATAGGGTTACAGGATAGTAGACTTCGAACAAAAACATTTGTCGCTCGCTCATTTTTTTTTCTTCATTTTTCGTGCTTTTCTCAGCACCAACCCTTTGATTTTCAATATTTTAATGATCATTCGATGCAGAATGAAATTGCGCGTCGAATGATATCAAAACCAGCTCAAAATCTTATACCCATAAAAAGTTATGATGGAAAACGTCCATAATAGACAGGGTTTAGGTTTTTAGCCAACAACTTTGCATGGATATTAGATTTTGAGCTGCTTTTAATATCATTCGACGCGTAATTTCCTTCTGCATCGAATGATACCAAAACCAGCTCAAAGTCTAATATCCATGCAAAGTTGTTGGCTAAAAACCTAAACCCTGTCTATTATCGATGTTTTCCATCATAACTTTTTATGGGTATAAGATTTTGAGCTGGTTTTGATATCATTCGACGCGCAATTTCATTCTGCATCGAATGATACCAAAACCAGCCTAAAATATAAAAAGCACACAAAGTTATTGACTAAAAACCTAAACCTCGTCTATTGCGGACGTTTTCCCTCATAACTTTTCATTGATATTAGACTTTGAGCTGGTTTTGGTATCATTCAACTCGTAATTTCATTCTGCATCGAATGACATCAAGACCAGCTCAAAGTCTAATATCCATGCAAAGTTATAGGCTAAAAACCTAAACCCTGTCTATTACGGACGTTTTGCCTCATAACTTTTCATGGCTATTATATATTGAGGTGATTTTGATCTCATTCGACGCGCAATTTCATTCTTCACCCGATAATATTCAAAATCCAAAAGGTTAATGTTGAGAAAAACCTTAAATTACCAAAAAAAACGAGCGACAGATATTTTCGTTACAAATCTAGTGCTGTATAGGCTTTCTGGAAAAAGTGCTTTGTGCTCAGAAACACAGCTTTTCTGGTGCACTGGAATTGCTTTAGGTTAGCGCGGAATTCGGCGAGAATCTCTTCTATTTGCCGCACGGTTTGACGATCGATCACGAGGATAATGTCTGGGTGACTGACGTGGGATCTCATCAGGTAAAACGAGTCTATGCATTTCGTTTATCCGTTTTGCTAATGGTAAAGGGGGCGGAGCGCGTATAAAAGGTCTCTCTAGCCCCGCCCCTTTTCCCATTAGCCCCGCCCCCTTTCCCATTGGTGCTCTAACTTTGGACTCAAATTTCTTTGCTTTGGGTTGTTCGATTGAGATGTTTTTGGTGTCATTAGATTCCCCAAGACTTTCTCTATCGATTGACACCAAAAACATCTCAATTGGACAACCCGAAGTCAAGACAATTGAGCTTAAAGTTGGACGCCAATATTAGACGTTTACTATTGTCAGCCAACTTTAAGCTCAATTATCTTGGCTTTGGTTTGTCCAATTGAAATGTTTTTGGTGTCATTAGATTTGTCAAGTCTTTCTCTATCGATTGATATAAAAAGTATTAACATTGAACCAGCCAAAGCCAAGAAATTCGAGTTTAAAGTTAGAGCGCCAATGGGAAAGGGGGCGGGGCTAGAAAGACCTTTTATACGCGCTCCGCCTCTTTTCACATTGGCCCCGCCCCTTTTATCGTTAGCAATCGAACTTTAAATCCAAAAAAGGGGCGGGGCGCGTATAAAAGGTCTTTCTAGCCCCGCCCCCTTCCCCATTGGCACTCTAACTTTAAACTCGAATTGCTTGGCTTTGGCTTGTTCAATTTATAAGTTCTTGGTATCAATCGATAGAGAAAGATTTGGCAAATCTAATGACATTAAAAACATCTCAATTGAACAACTCCACACAAAGATATTTGAGTTTAAAGTTGGATGAAAATATCAGACATTTACTATTGTCATCCAACTTTGAGCTTAAATATCTCGGTGTTGGGCTTTTCAATTGAGATGTTTTTAGTATTAATCGATAGAGAAAAATTTGCGGAATCTAATGACACCAAAAACTTATAAATCGGACAACCCAAAGCCAAGATAATTGAGCTTAAAGTTGGGCGACAATAGTAAACGTCTGATATTGGCATCCAACTTTAGCCTCGAATTTCTTGGCTTTGGCTGGTCCAATTTAAATAGTTTTTATATCAATCGATAGAGAAAGATTTGGGGAATCTAATGACACCAAAAACATTTCAATTGGACAAACCAAAGCAAAGATATCTGAGCTCAAAGTGACCAATAGGAAAATGTGGTGTGGAAATGTTTGAGAATGTTTTTTTAAATGTTTGATAATCAATGAATTGATGGATTTCTTGAATGGCTGATTGATTACGGTAATTTCCTGTAACTAGTGTCATTTAGAAAGCGAAAGGAAGCGAAAATGCGGCCAAATTTCCAGGTGCATAAACTCGACAAAAACTTCAAGCCAGTGATGAGTTTCGGAGAGAAAATGATGCCTGGGAGTGACGAGAAACACTTTTGCAAGCCCACTGACGTTGCTGTGGCGAAAAATGGGTATATTTTTATGGATATATCAAAAAATTGGACGACCTAACGGAGCGTCGCGTAGTCTAAGTTGACGTTCAAATAAACGCTCATAACTTGGCACCAATACGTTTGTTTTTATTTATTTTGGTATCAAATTAAAGCAGAGAGAATAGGGAATCTTTTAAGCTATTAAACATATCCAATAGAACATAAAAAAGTCGCATCAAAGCCTCCTATAGGGTCGACGCGTAGTCTCAAAATCTGCTCCCAAACAAACGCATATAACTTGGCACCAGTACGTTTGTTTCCATTTGTTTAACTATCAAATTAAAGCTGAGAGAATAAGGAATCTTTTAAGCTATTAAACGCCTTTATAGCTTTAACCAGTGCTGAGAGAAAGATGATTGAAGATTGAAAAATGATGAAAAATCGGCTAAAGAGATTTGACGGTGAGGGGATTCGAACCAGGCTCAAAAGGGAACCCGATAGCTTCCTATCCAAGCACACTACCCACTACACCAGTCCGTCATTTGCCGCGAGATGAAAAAAGGCTTATAAAGCTTCGTCGTCGATTTGGCGGCAAAAAGGCCTTAGCTTTGAAAAGCCTAAACTTCTTTGCCAGATAACTCGAGATACAGAGCTCCGTTGGGAAAACTAAAAACAGATTTAGAATCACCGTTTAAAACTCTATCAGATAATGTTAAAACCGATTCAAAAACTGACTTAAACTTGCGCTATACCCTAGCAAGTTTACTTTCAAATAAACCCTCATATCTTGGCACCAGTACATTTGTTTTTATTCATTTAAGTATCAAATGAAAGCAGAGAGAATAGGGAATCTTTTGAGCTATTAAACGTCTTTTTAGCTTTAACCAGTGCTGAGAAAAAGATGATTGAAAATCCATGAAAAATGAGGAACGCGCATAACTCAGCATAACCCAGACAAACGCGCATAACTCAGCGCCAGTACGTCTGTTTCCATTCATTTAACTATCAAATAAAAGCAGAGAGAATAGGGAATCTTTTAAGCTATTAAACGCCTTTTTAGCTTTAACCAGTGCTGAGAAAAATATGATTGAAAATTGAAAAATTATGTAAAATCGGCTTCTGGTAAAAGTGAGAACTTTCAGACATTTCTTCGTCGCTGATGGCTACTGTAACAGTCGAGTGTTGAAGTTCGACTCAAAGGGAAATTTGATTGATATAATTGGCTCGGAAATGGGTGAGTGAATGGGTTTTAATCGCATTGGATTTGTTCAAATTTTGAAACTAGATAGGTCGGCTTTTTGGAGCTTTTTGGAGCCTTTTGGAGCCTTTTAAAAGCCTAATAAACTACCTAGCTAACTAACTAAAGTATTACTAAACTAGTGTAAAGTAGAGTTGAGGTTGAAAAAGTAAAGTTAGCTGAAAGAAAAAGCAGGTCGAAAACATTAAATAACTCCGCCCGGACTCGAACCTGCGAACTTTCGCTTATCAGACAACTGTGCTAACCACTACACCACCACATACGGAAATTCCTTTTGTTTCAGAAGGGGTTAAGTAACGCGAGGCAAGAGAAAGATAAAGTTTTCTCTAACTGAACGACAGTAAAGCAAACATAAGGCGTTTCCCAGGGGGCGATCGGACAAGTGTGGATAGCTCATTGGCAGAGCGTTTGGTTGGTAAACGATCGGGTGAGGTGAGGTCGCGGGTTCGAGTCCGGGTGCAGCCGATTTTTTTGCTAGAAAAGAAATCTAATGCCAAAAGCCAAAGCCAAAGCCAAAGCAAAGCCAAGCCAAGCCAAACCAGTCAAATCCAAGCCAACCCAAAGCCAGCCAAGCCAAAAGTATATCTTTCTCTTTCCAGATCCCTTCATCATTCCCCATTCATTGTCTTTAATCGAGGATCTCAATCTGTTGTGTGTAGCTGATCGAGAGAACGAGAGAGTACAATGCTTCTCAGCTGGTTTGTTTTTGAAAGAACTGTCCTGTAAACTTGTTACTTACTTAGTTACCGTAGCCGCTTGTCTACTGTACAATGAATGAGGTTTCTAGGTTTAAAAGAAGGTCACCGATCGATCCCTGCCGGTATCCCGATCACTTCAGCTGATAATATTGGACGAGTGTTTGCGATTCGAGAGAGAAGTGAGAGAGAAAGAGAGAGAGAAAGAGAGAGAGAGTGAGAGAGAGAAAGAGAGAGAGAGAGAAAACATTTGAAATCTCATTGTAAATCGAGTACCGGCTGTAAATCGACTACCGTACTCTAAATGAAACGCCCGTACAGTCGCGTAGTCTAACTTCTTTTCTGATTTCCTAAAGAAAACCAGAAAACGATTTTTTTTCCTCAGCTTACTTCTCAAATACTAGATTTTCTAGGCTATCATTAGCAATACAGCAAACTGTACCTTAAAATAGTGCCAAGAAATAAGCGTTTAAAGTGACGACTACGCGACTGTACGCTGCTCATTTCTGTTAGAGAAATGATTGGATAGGAAAAATTTCGCAGAGAAAATTTTAGAGCATTCATTTTAGAGCATTCATTTTAGAGCATTCATTTTAGAGCATTTCTTGGTTGGAGTCACTGGAAGTGATGCCGAGGAGGCGGTCGAATCACAAGTTTTTGTCATCGATATCGAAAGTGGAAAAGCACAAACGTTCTTGAAAGTGAGTAAAGGAGTACTGTGGGCGAAAAAGAGATGCTTTCGCCCGCCCGTTCTTTGGACCGTTCTTTGCGCTTCGACGTAAACTAAATCGATCTGGTACACTGAATTCCTCACTTTTTTTAGGCGAAAATTGGGATTTCCGTGTGCTAGATCGATTTAGTTTACGTTTGAGCCCAAAGAACGATTGACCTTGCGAGAAAGATTGAGATTTCCGTGTGCTAGATCGATTTAGTTTATGTTGAAGCGCAAAGAACAACCAACCTCTCGCAAAAAAGATTGGGATTTTGGTGTGCCAGAGCGATTTAGTTTACGTTGGAGCGCAAAGAACGATTGACGTTGCGAGAAAGTTGGGGAATTCAGTGTGCCAGAGCGATTTAGTTTACGTTAGAACGACCGATCTTATCAGAAAGATTGGGGTTTCGGTGCGCTAGATCGATTTAGTTTACGTTTAAGTGCAAAGAACGATTGACGTTGCGAGAAAATTGGAGATTTCGGTGTGCCAGATCCATTTAGTTTACGTTAGAGTGCAAAGAACGATTGACGTTGCGAGAAAGTTGGGGATTTCAGTGTGCCAGATCCATTTAGTTTACGTTTGAGCCCAAAGAACAAACGACCGTAGCCCATTTCTTTACCGTAATTCTCTACGTTCACCGAGTTTTAAGGACTTTTCCTGTTCGAGGACTTAAAGGAATTGATACTGGCTGACTTTTTGGCTTTACTGATGGCTTTGAAAAGGCTTTACTGGCTTCAATGCTTGAATCGAATTGAATCAAAATTGAAATCGAAAACTTTCAGGGAATCGAAAACGGTCATGCGATCGCCATCTCTCCAGAGGGAACCCTTTTCGTCGCACAAATCAATCCCAATCAAATCGTTTCGATGAATTTGAATTGATTTTTCTTTCTTGATTTCTTTTTTTTTCGTCTATCTTATTCCAAAATCCCGGTACATTTCGAATCCCAGTGAAACGTGTCAAAAGTTTTTTCGTTTTTTTTTTTTCGAATTTCTTCTCTTCTCGTCGGAAATTTCTACCTTGTTAACAATAAAAAGAATGCTGTAAATAAATGCAGTTTCATTTTAAACACAAATAAAAGCACATGTGAAAGGTTAAATGATTGAAAAGTGATGAAAAATCGGGGTTTTTTTTGCCACTTTTCAATGATTTCCATTCTCGATTCCATTCTAAGCCCTAAATCCACAAAATCACCTGGCAATTTCTTTGTTTCCTGCTCGTTTGTAGCGCTTTCATTTTTGATTTCATTCTTGATGATTGAAAGAAAAGCTGGAGAAAAGCTAAAAGCAATAAAGAGTTAAAAGGAACTAACGTGATCATTGAATAATTGAATTGAATGTTAAATAATTGAATAAAATGTAAAAAATGTTCAATAATGTTTCTATCATTTTAAAGCAGCGTGAAAACTTTTTTGGAATCTTGTTGAATCAATAACTAAAGGCTTTAAAAATTCTCTTTTATCATCTTTTCTTTCTGGGAAATGAAGATGGAGGCGGAGTAGGAGCAAGTGAATTTGGCGGGCCACACAAGGAGCACCAAAAAAATGAGTGAAGGAAGGTAAGTAAACGAGGCTAAAGAAGCCTAAACAAGCTTAAACAAGCCTAAACGAGCTTAAACGAACTTAAGCGAGTCTAAACGAGCTTAAACGAGCTTAAACGAGCCTCACAACAGCGATCATTCTCATCTATGCATTTTCATCAAAAACAAGCGATTCGCAAAACATCGTGAAGCACTAGTATGACGAGTATAACGCCTAATCTAAAGGGAGGTTTGCTTTGAACCTTTATTTGGTCATCTTAAAGTACTGCTAAAGTTGGTTCTATTGAAAATTCCCAAATTTGTAGCTCGACAAAAGTTTCATTTGCTCAACTTTCCACTCCGTCGACTAGAATTCCTAGACAATAGAGATTCCTAGACAAAGCTTTTGCAGCCTAAATTTCACTTTATAACAAACGTTAGGTAACAATAAAACGACAAAGATTAACAAAAACCCGTACTGAAACTAACGAGTAAAAAAACTGACAAAAATGAAAACAACTTGATTGTTTATCCTTCTTCCCAATTTCCGATGAGAATATGTCGAAGATCGAGACCAATCAACGCGGAAAGGGCGGCTACCTGAAAAAAGTTCTTGATGATGAATGTTTTGATCTTTTAAAGTCAAAACTAACACCAAAACTATTAGGTTGGTGAATTGAAAACTGGACTTTGAACTAAAATTTACTCCACATGAAACCATCAATTCATTCCAAATAATTTCCATTATTATTGACGACTTCTGCCCATTTTACAGCCAATTTGCGGATTCCTCTTTCGTAGTAGGATTTTGGCTTGTGTGTGAGACAAGTGTGAGACTCAAAAATGGAGAACTGGAGATGTCCCAGTTTGAGCACAGTTTGAGCACTTTCTTCAAAAGAAACCCATTTTGGTGTCAATAGAAAAGTTGTAGAGAATCAAAAACGAGGCTTATAGCCAAATTTCCAAAAAGATACACTTAGTAGTTTCGCTTAAAACGCAAGTTTTGTGAAAATTCGTAAATTTACGCATTTCTTGAAAACCAGTTTTTGAATCTTTCTGAAAATTTGTATATAAGCTTCATTTTTGATTCTCTACAACTTTTCCATTGACACCAAAATGGGTTTCTTCTGAAGAAAGTGCTCAAACTGTCACATATGACAAAATAGCCCGCAGTTTTCAATTCACCAACCCAAAAACACCCTCTCACCTGTTCGGCCATTTTCTTATTCGGTTGTCCAAAACGAGAGCGAAATTTCTTTCCCATCACATCGATCGTTGATATGTAACGTTTATCACCGTCTCGCATCGCCTAAAACTTCAGGATTCAACAAAAATTCGACAAAAAACAAACAAACCAACAAACAAGCAAACAAACAACAAACATAAAAACAACAAACATAAAAACAACAAACAAAAAAACATACCGTTTTATAGATGGGCCTATCCAAATTCTGCTCATCACAAAACTTGTTCAACACACATTTCGGCGTACCCGCGGTGTGATCCTTGAGGCGTTTACTGAAATCAATTTCATAGCCAAAAAAAAGCTACCTTCAAAAGTACTCTATCAAAAGTCTAGTCTATCAAATAGTCTATCAATCATCTATCAATCGTCTATCAAAAGTACTCAAAAACTGACACTGGAAATGTAACATCGATGAATTGTGCGCCAGTCTCCGGGCACAGCTCGTTCTTTCTCTTGCATCTAAAACGATAGATTAGATAGATTAGATAGATTTCAATAAAACTATCTAAGCAAGAGTCATTGCTGTAAGCGGATCAGTTGCTCAACAAATGAAACAACAAGTGAAACAACAATGAAACTAAGAAAATCACTTCATTCTTTGTCGATAGAGTCTCCATTTCTCGTAAATTTCTTCGAGATTCCATGCAGCACAAATCTCGGACACGCACCCAGAAGCAACAGTGGCTCGACCACGAGGATCATGTTCCTGGAAAAAAATCCATTAAAAAGCATTCGTTTTTACTTTTAACACATAATAAACTAACACAACTAACACAACTAACAAAAAAAAACAAAACCTGTTGTCCGCCAAGTATCCGCTGCACAACGTATTTCGTCATCGTGTAATTCTCGTCGAATTCACATGCCTGAATATCTTGATATGCTAAAAGCATAGCAAAACAAAAAAAACACTAACCAATTCAAGAAATCGCTTTATATCCGTCTCCATCGAAAGTGTGCCGTTTCGGCTAAAAAAAAGAGATAAATTTACGTAGATCATTTTGCATACCGTATTTCTTCGAATAGAAGACCGGGTAAAGAGTATTATCGCGTACTCCTGCGTAGCAGCCCTTTTTAAAATTTCTTTTCTGCATAAAAGCTTTCAATGAAGTGCTATAGAGCTGGAAAATGGCTCAAAAATCTGTTAGCTCATGTGGTATTTTTTGAGTCATTTTTCAGCCCTATAGCACTTCATTGAAAGCTTTTATGCAGAAAAGAAATGTTAAAAAGGGCTGCTACGCAGGAGTACGCGATGATACTCTTTACCCGGTCTTCTATTCGAAGAAATACGGTATATACACTAATTTGCATAATGTCGCCAAAATTTGCACTTAATTTACGTCTCTTAAAGAAAGATTTGCGCAAGAAAATCATTATTCTTTTCTTATTTTCTCTCTTCTGATGGTTTCAACGGATTTGCTCGGAGTATCGCTTGAGCGTTTGTTGGAAACGAATTTGTTGGTCCTTCAAGAGGTTTGTTTATTGTATTTGCGTTGTTTTGTTGCTGTTCGTCAAAAATTCGCACATCAATCTTGTCATTCTGGTACTTTTTGCTTGCTGCTAAATTCATCCTTTTTATCGAAAAGAGCTAGCAAATTTTTGCAAATAAGAATAAGGTATTCAGTCTACATTAGCTGGATTACCTTATTTAGTCTAGATTCGGTATTCAGTCTAGATTAGCTGGTTCATGTTATTTATTCTAGATTAAGGCATTCAGCCTAGAATAATTTAGAATAATTCAGCCTAGAATAACTATCAAATTTTTGCAAATCTATCTCTATTTCATTCGGGCCCAGGTTCTTGCCCCTTCCAAAGCAGTTGTTAAATTTTGTTTAATTTTGTTTAAATTTGTTAAATTTTGTTCAATTTTGTTTAAATTTGTTCAATTTTGTTTAATTTTGTTTAATTTTGTTAAATTTTGTTAAATTTTAAATATATGTTTTTAAATATTGTAAAGTCAATCTGTAAATGACAGTATTATACGTTTAATAATTATATTCCATGATTTGATTCACATATTTTAGATGAAAACATTGCGCCGTGATGTGAATCAACTCCGCAATGAAGTCGACGGAATCAAGCAATTTCTCAACGGAATTCAATTTGAGGTACGCTTTTTTTTTTGTTTTCTGGCGTTATACTTGTTGTTGTCTTTTTGTTGTCAAACTTTCTCTATTTAGATTTCACGTGATTTATCGATTCAATCGGAAAGCGTTGCAATGACGAACTCTCATCAAGCGCATCCAAACAGTGATCACCAATCGGCTACAATGCAACGTGTCAATCATTCGGTGCCGATCACTATCGACTCAACGCTTTACAAGGTTGGGATTCAAGTTTTTTGGTTCTATTAGGTTGGAAAGAAAGTTCGTAGGAAAAAGCCATTAATTCACGATTCAGAAAAAGCCATAATTTCTCAAAAAGCAAGCCATGAATTCTTTCCCAAATTTTTTGATAAACTTGACTATATTTCAAAAAGTTTTTAACAAAAAAAAATGAGAGATTTCTTCAGCTGAAGTGACTTGATCACTTTTTTTAAGTGACCAGCCTTTAGACAAGTTTTTAATGGTTTGGGTTAATGATTTGGGTTAATGATTTGGGTTAATGAATAGGCAATGGATCTCATTTAAAAGCCTAAAATGAAGTGCTTAAAATAGGGAAAATTTGTGATAAAGGGAAAATTTTATCGAATGCTTTTTATCTATCTATCTATCTACCCTATCTACCCAACCCCCTACCCTCTATCATCTTATCTTCTATCTATCTCTATCTATCTATCTATCTATCTATCTATCTATCTATCTATCTATCCTATCTATCTATTTTATCTATCTATCTATCTATTTTATCTATCTATCTATCTATCTAAACTTTTCAGAATCACCTATTATTTTAGTCAAACACTCAGTGCCAAGAAGATGACACGAAAAAATGATTTTTGGTTGAAATATAGTTTCTCTGGGAAAAATTTTTGGCTAAAAATCGAGATAAAGCGTATTGCTCATTTATGATAGCTTTACCTCATAAGAAAACGTTTTTCTCGTGCAAAAAATGAGCTGAATTTAAGCTGGCATATACTCATTTTTCAAAAATATCTAAAATTTTAAGGGAAAGCTGCACACTCATTTTTTTTTCTACGAGTAATCTCTTGGAATCGACTTGTAAATGATAGAATAAAATGTTCTTGAGTTGGTTGATTCGTTTTTAAGAGATTCCAGTCAAACACTTTTTCCGAGAACTTTCTTTCCAACCCAATAGAAGCAAGATGAGATTGTGTTTTTGATCAAATCAACTCTTCGCTTTGAACAAAGTGCCTAGAAAATTCACAAAATTTATTATTAAATTTACCATTTTCCATTTAAGCCACCCAATTTCCACTCATCACTTTCATCTCATCTCACCGGTCGTCCTCCAATCGTTCTCACTCCAACCCTTGACACTTGTCCCGTTGGCAGGTCGACTCTCGCAAGATCGTACACGATTTCGCCAAACGACAAACACTTCAATTTCTCCATCGTTTCATCCAATCACTCACAGGTTCATTTTTTACAACAAGCTGTTCATGAATGTTTTAGGAATCCGGTGTCCTTCCATCAACTCGCTCAATTTCGTTTACCGAGAGCGAGCAGTCTACGCAATGTGGCTCGATTTTCGAGACGGAACCGCCTGCTCTTGCTTCATTCACCCGCAATCCTTTCCCACTTCGAGTAAGTTTGAGATTTGGGTTTTAAGCTGGCTAACTGTTTGCGCACTCTGTTCTTAACGTGAAAAAAATCTCATTATCAGCTAGCATTTCTTTTCTTTAGAAATGGCGTCATGTCACCTCGTTGGCAAGTGCCAAGATGGAAAACGAGCAAAGATTCAACATTGAGAACAAATCGACAATGATGAAGAAATACAAGAAGATGTGTTAAAGCAAAACGATCAAAACCTCACCGATCAACCAGTCAATTCCTTTTTTTTTGTCTTGTGTTTGTGTGAATATGGATTTGGGTTGAAATTCTTAAGTTCAATGTAAGACTTTCTGCTTTTCTAAATGACTAAATGAGATACAGTCTGTCAATAAGAGATTCACCGGCGCTAGATGTTGGAAATAAATTGTACAATCCGGACAGGTTCGGTAAAATTTAAAATGCATTGAAAGTACAGATGATTGCTGTGTTTTTGTGTAAACTTGCCAAAAAATGCTGGGTGTGCAGAGGGCTTTCCTTGCAATCATCACACTTGAAGCGGTCGTTTGTTGGCGAAATTTTTCGATGTCATCAAAGGTTAAGATACTTCCAGAACCACCACTAAATGAGAAAGTTAATAAAGGCTTTATTTCTATTGAGATCTTTTGGTGTGCTTTAACTGAATAGCTTTCAATTTTGTGGTTTCAATTCAATTCAATTTCAATTTTCAATTCGCTTAAAAGCTATTCATTCAAAGGGTAATCTAAATGCTTTCCAAAAGCTCACTTTGCAATAATTGGAACCTTTGCGTATTTCACGACTTCAGCGATTTCTTCTTCGCGACATCTAAAAAACTTTGTTTTTCGAAAAATTACTGCTAACAACCAAATCCTCAGACTATCTAAATATTAAATTTTACCGAACCTGTCCGGATTTCTTTCATCTCGTCTCCTCCCGTGGACTCCGATTGCCGAAACGCCACACGATTCAATCAATTCGACCAATGCTAGGGTATCTTTCGGCTGAAAATGAACAAATTGTATGTTTACTTCAAGGAAAACACTTGCACTTGCACTCGATACTTGCACAGTACGAATTATATTTAAAAATAAATATCTAAACCAATTTTGCTTTCCAATTAGTTATAAAACAAGATTCGTGAAGTCGAAAAGCTTACATCATTTCGAAGTCGAATTTTCGCAGTAACGGGCACTTGGGATGCTTCGACGAGGGCTGTTAGAATCTAAACAGAATAAATGTATTAAAAAACGGTTTTTATAAATCTGTCATCAAAAAACAAACCTCTTTTATCTTGTCGGGTCGTGTCAACAGAGCGGCACCCATTCCACCGGCTATCGAAAAAGGCTTTGGGCATCCCATATTGACATCAATTGCCGCAACATCTCTTCCACTAAACAAAAAGGTTTATATTTGATTATTTAACAAAGAGGCAGGCATAGTCATGATCTTAAAGCCTCGACTACTTTATTGGTAGTCGAGGTTAAATCGACTACTTCATTGGTTTTAGTTAAATCTGGTAAAAATCTTTTACTAGAAAGAATTTCAATTGATTGTTGATTTTAGTTGATTGATCGATTTGTTGATTGTTGATTGTTGATTCAAAGTTGATTGATCGATTTGTTGATTGTTGATTGTTGATTCAAAGTTGATTGATCGATTTGTTGATTGTTGATTGTTGATTCAAAGTTGCTTGATCGATTTGTTGATTGTTGATTTTAGTTGATTCAAAGTTGATTTCAAAATTGTCTTTTAAGGTCAAATGCTAAAGATGATGTAGGAAAAGGGCTTTAAAATGTATTTTCTAAAGCTTATTATATGAAACTTTATTAAAAATTGAGTAGCTTTTATTTAAATTATTTAAAAAAATTTTATTTAAAAAATATAACAAGATACTCAATCTATTTGAAAGTTTAAAAGCAATTTGAAAGCATTTAATCAAACTTGTCAGGTATTTATGCATAAATAATAAAAATATCAAAACTTACACCATCCGAGCCACCGCTGCGGCCCCTTGTCCACTGCTGGTGCCGATTTGGAGAACGATTCGATCAGCTAAAACGGGTATTCAGTTAGATTCTATTAAATCTAATCAAATTTATAAATTAAATCTAATCCATTTAATCATCTAGTCCATTTAATTATCTACTCCATTTAATCATCTAATCCATTTAATAATTTAAGCCACAAAATCGCGCTTGCCTTCTCTTTTTGTTGCAATTCTCAGCACCACCTCGTCGGCGTTCACATAGTCGATAGTGTCGAGGATTTCTGAAAGAAGCTTTATAAAACATACAAGTTATTGTTATTAACGAGGAATCTCTAGAATCAATCAATCAATCCAATTAACAGTAATCAGTGATCAAGTAATCAAGTAATCAGTAATCAGTAATCAGTAATCAAGTAATCAGTAATCAGTAATCAGTAATCAGTAATCAGTAATCAAGTAATCAGTAATCAGTAATCAAGTAATCAGGTAAATTTCTGAAATTCTTAAATCAAAAAGACGAACCGTTTTCTATTCGTTTACATGAGAGCAACTTTTGATCGACGAGCTCCTCGGTGTACACCAAATCGGCGCCATACTCGAGACAAAGCAGCCTGAAAATGAAGGAATCATTAATAGAAATTATATATTTTTTTAAAATCTAACAAGATACTCAATCTATTTGAAAGTTTGGAAGTAATTTGGAAGCATTTAGTTCAACTTTTCAGGCATTTATGCATAAAACAAGAGATAGGAATTGTTTTTACGAATTAGAAGCAGATCTTTAGTTTGGGAAAGCTTATTTTAAATGATCAACAAATATTAAAGCAGCACAGGATAAAAGAATTTATAAATTTCATTAATATTCGCTCATTAACATTCTCATTAACAACATTAACATTAACTCATTCGCGACAAAGCTTTTTTCAATCGACTGCCGTTTCAGATGACGGCAAATATGTCAGCTAGAAAGTTTAAAATTTGTATATTAGCGTTCGAGGGTTCTGATTTCAGATTCTGTATAAATTTTTGGATCTTTACGATTAACGATTGGGGTTAGCGATTGGGGGCCAAGTCGGGGGGCCAAGTCTTTGACCAACTTGCAGCCCGATTTTATATAGATTTTTGTTAATAACTTTTGATGAAAAAAATAGTTTCTGAAAGTTGACGTTCTAAGCTATCTAAATCTTATTAAAATTTCCTGAACTGACAAGTTTAAGGAGTTTAAAAATGAGCTGTAAATTGGCCAAAAAATTAGCCCCGCCGATAATCGCTACCGCTCGCCGTTAACCGTAAAATTCAAATTTTTCTTTTTTATGTGTTCGGAAGGCTGCAATCGAGTATTTTAGTGTTAAAACAAGAGCCATTTCTTTTTAGTCTCAATCTGGAGCAGCGTTTGCTTCTTGGGTTTGATGCGGCAAACATTATTCCGTAAAGGTGTTATGGAAGTTTAGGATATGGGGCACTCAAAATTCGTCTAATTCTCTCAATTTGCACTTAACCTCTCCATTGAATTTACTATTTACATAATGTATAATGACTATTTGCAAAATGCGGCAATTTTAGATCATTCTAGATCATTCTAGATCATTACAATAGATTAAAAGCTTTAAACGCTAATCTATTTGCTGTAGCGATACCCGTCATATCTGAATAAAGTAAGTAGCCTAAATAAAGAAAGTAAGTAGCGTCCAAATAAAGAAAGTAAGTAAAGTTAATCAACAAATATCGTTAGAAGCTCGTTAATTTGTTGAAAATTTGTTAATTGTTGTTTTTGTTAAAATAAATAGTAAAAATCGTGTGAAAATCAAGAGAAAATCATCAAAAGCTTTTCTAAAACTGCTCCACTATCAGTAAATTAATGTAATTATGAAAATTTTGCGTAAACTTTTATAGCACCAAGAAAAATCGGTTATAATCTCGAATAATAGAAGAATCTAGAATAATAGAAAAATATAGGGTACTTTTCCAATATCGGGGGAGTGGTCCGATTATCGAGGGAGCGAAAGGAAAATTGGGGAAGCAAACTTTGGCAGCGCTACATATGTCCTATATTATACAAACTACCGTCATAAAATCCGCGAATTACCCGTTATTCTCACAACCTTTATATTAGATCACAAAAAGTGACTTAAATATCTAACACCCAGCGAAATGGATCTTTTCCCTTTGAGCGGACTTTCATCGATTCGCCCACATTTGCAAATCCACGACTGGATGACTCCTTTGGTGACGAAATAATCGATTGCCATCGATTCCTTGAACGCACAAATGTCGGAGAACCGCAACGTCGTTAAAGTTTAAAAAAAGCGTTGCAGTTAAAATAAAGTCCCGGAAATGCATTTTTCGAGGGGGCAAAATTTGCTCCCCCGATAATCCTTCCGCTCCCCCGATATTGGAAAAGTACCAAATATAGAATCTAGAAGAATATAGATTAAAGAAGCAAAACAAGAATGACAATTTTCCTACAGGAAACTGATTTTCGGCCTGATTTAATTAACCATGTCTGCCCCGTAACTATTGCCTGTGATCAAAGCTGTGAACAATTCTTATAACTTCGATAATTTTACCGTAACAAGTAAGTAAAAGAAAATTTTATAAACTATAGAATTTTACCGTAATGGTGTCCTCCCGGCTCGTACCATTGGCGCCACGATGTAGCGATTCTTGTAGAAATTCTCGTCCCTCGGCGCTGGCATTTGGCTAAAAATGAGAAAAAAATTTAACATTTTAAGTTTAAAAAGAAAGAAAACGCAAAAATCGAACACTTTTTAAAGGTTAAAACAAAACTCGATGTAGTTGAAAGACTTTCAAAAAATTTATATCTAGATTTTAGAAATTTTGAGATATTCTTTGCATTAGCTGAATAACTTTCAATAAAGAGATTCGCCTTTAAATTGCTTTTTTCAAATTTTGAGATATTTTGTCCATTAGCTGAATAACTTTCAATAAAGAAAATTGTGTTTAATTTGCTTTTTCCAAATTTTGAGATATTTTATGCATTAGCTGAATACTTTTGAATAAACCAAATTTGAGGGTAGGCTAATTTCTGCATTTTTTTTGCGCAACTCGTCATAACTTTTTCTAAGTGGGCCAATTTTTATGCTTTTGGTTTCATTTTGTAGATCTCAATAAGTGCAACAAAATGACACCAAAAGCATAAAGATTGGCCGACTTAGAAGAAAGTTATGGCAAGCTACGCAAAAGACCCTGTTGGGCAAATAATCAGCGAGGTGTGATTTGTCAAAATTCTGAATCTACGCATACGATTCCCCCCTGTGGAAACATTTTTGAAGCTCTACGGCCTTCCCTAAGGCCTTTTCCAGCGAAAAAAAGGTGCGCTTTTGACCGGGTGCGCAAAAAAAAAGGTAGCATTTGTCCCACCCCCGATATTCTCACCAAGAGTTGGCCACTTTTTACAAAATCCCGGGGTAGGCTAATTTCCGCAACTTTTTTTTTGCGCAACAGGGTTATTTGAGCAGCTGGGTCCTTTGCGCCACTCGCCATAACTTTCTTCTAAGTGGACCAATCTTTATACTTTTGGTTTCATTTTGTTGCACTTATTGAGATCTACAAAATGAAACCAAAAGCATAAAAGATTGGCTTGCTTAAAAGAAAGTTATGGTGAGTTTCGCAAAAAAAAAAATTGCGGAAATAGCCCGTAAAATGAGAACGGGAATGGAAATAAAAAGTTTGTTGAAACTTTTATAACACATCAAATCCGTTAAAGATATTCAGTTAATTTACCTCTTGCAAAATTTCAACTTTCAACTTTTCAATTGAATATCTTTTTTTGAAGTGCAAAAGTAGCTGAAAGCTGAAAGGGGATTTTGGGGTAGGCTAGTTTCCGCGATTTTTTTTTTGCGCAACAGGGTCCTTTGCGCAACTCGCCATAACTTTCTTCTAAATGGACCAATCTTTATACTTTTGGTTTCATTTTGTAGATCTCAACAAGTGTAACAAAATGACACCAAAATCATAAAGCAAAAGATTGACCGATTTAGGAGAAAGTTATGGCGAATTGCGGAAATTAGCCTCCCTCGAAATTTGTTTTCTTTTCTTTTTCATTCAAACATTTCCTTTTGGCAATCCTTTCACTTTTTTTTCGGTAAATTCTTTACGAAATTCATTTATTCAATACAAAAAAAAATATTGGTTGAAAGCATGCGAATGGCACAATGAGCATGAATACCGTATTTTCTCTAATAGTAGTGCACCCCGGCGCGCCGAGTTGGTGACTATTTTACAGTTTCCAAGCTTTTCCAAGAAGCTCAACCCTCAAATCCCCACAAGATATTATCGTCAGCTAAATTTTCCGAACCCACATCGATAGGTTCTGATAAGCGGTTCTCGAGATTTCGAGGAATTTAGGCGACGCTCACCGTGCACTACTATTAGAGAAAATACGATATTTAGTGGAAAAGAGAAGCACAATATTTAGTGGAAAAGAGAAGCATTGAAATTTTATTTATTTAAACGAAACTAGCGAGTGATTAGTGTAAATGGGTCACATTTTTTATGATGATATCGTTTTTTTAAAAGATGCGCTTAGGGAAAGCTACCGTAAAAAAAAAAAACTCTGGGCACAGTTTCTAATCGATCCAGGGATCTGATCGCGAAGAGAGGCTGGAATAGATGCAAAACGAACAGCGGTTACTCTGGCTAATGTCAAGAAAGTGCGCGATCGTCTAAGATTAAACCCTAACCAATCGGCTCGAGGAATGGCACAGAAAATGGGTCTGAAGAGAAGCTCCGTCAACACAATCAAGAAAAAACTGAAAATGAAGAGCCGTACAAGAAGAACAAATCTCAATTCTCAATCAGCTGCTGGGCAAACGAAAAGACCGATGTGCCCAACTTCCGTTGAACCGCCACGAATCAACGGAATCGATCACCACAACATCCTCTTCACCGATGAAAAGATATTTACCGTCGAGGGAATTCTCCCAAAGCAAAATGATCGAGTTTCGGCAAAATCTCAGCCAAAACGTCACCGTATCGCGTAGTTCTAATCCTGCATCGGTGATGCAAAAGCTAGGCCTTTTGTGTGTTGCGGTAACTCTTGGTCACTCTGTAGAAAACCAGAAACAAATTCGTTTCCACAGATTTCGATAAACTTTTCCATAAGCGCATCTTTTAGAAAAAAAAAATTGAGGAAAAATAAAACAAAAATTCCTGCTCACAATAAGATTTAAAATCGGGTTTTAAATGCAAATCTCACATTTTCGATATCGTGAAATTTTCGTAGTACTTTAAATAAGAAAATAAGTTTAGAAAAAAGTTTAGAGAAAATTTCGAAGCCTATTTACACAGCGTATCATTGAAAAAAAGGAATTGGTTTCATTTGGATGATGATGCTGAAGATTTGCTGGAATCAAATTCTGATGCTGGAATCAAATTCTGATGCTGGAATCAAATCTACAGTTAAGGCCTTATTTTTTTTTGATTATTTTTGCTCAACATCCATTTGAGCATCATCAAATGAAATTTTTGGAGTATGCACGAAGTCGATTGACGAAAAAAGACTGTCCACATTGATGAAGGGACTTTTTGGGTGTTTTTCCTAAAATATAATAGAAAATAGATCGGATTACGGATAAAAATAGAGTCAAGATGGGTCGTTCGACGTTTCGTTTTCAAATGTTTTACCTTCAACAGACGTCGTTTCGTTAAATGAATCGTATTGTAATAGGTGTCGAGCAGAGAAATTGGTTTATAGCCTTCGTATTCTGAAAGAATGAGATTTATGAAATGAAAAATGAAAAATGAAAAATGAAATAGATGAAATAAGAGTTACCTTAAAGTTACCGTAATCGAATTTGCATTTAAATAAATCTTTAACAATAAATCTTTTTAAACACTCACTCATAATTGCCGCATTGACATCTTGAGCCAATTTCTCTCGATGTCCTGGTTGCATGTGAGCGAGTTTCGCAAAATCGTTTACGTCACTCAGAATTGCCATCAATGCATCCTAAAATAGAGAATTACCAGAACTTCCAGAACTTCCAGAATTACCAGAATTTCCAGAATTTAATGTCTCAATATAAAATCTAGATTTGCTTATTTTAAAGTTAAATACACTCTGTCAAAAAAATTATAGACGCACCCTGTTTTTTGCTAGTTTTTTAGAGCCGGATATAAGTGCTAGTCCAGTGAAAAGTATTTTTTAGTTTCTTTAATGTAAAAAAAAACAACTCATGCAAAATTACAAGTCATTTCACTCATCCAAAGCACTTTATCGTACAAAAAACGTTTTATCAGCTGTCAAAAAATTATGGACGCACTTTTATTTGACGCTTGCAGCCCAGACTTGAACCCGATTGAAAATGTGTGTGGGACACTCGTTCGAGATGTCTACAAGGGAAACAAGCAATATTCGAGCGTGAATGAACTCAAGAAAGCCATTCAAGTAGCCTGGAATCGGCTCCAGCCAACATCGCTTCATGACCTTGTCTCTTCGATGCCGAGACGTCTTTTTGAAGTTGGGCTAAAGCAAGGAGGGGCCACACATTGTTAACTTATTTAGTTTGTGTTGTTATTTTTATTTCTGTGAACCTTTTCTTGATAAAATAAAAGTGCGTCTATAATTTTTGGACAGAGTGTAGAAATCAATCAATAAGCTGAATATCGTCACTCACATTTATGAGCGCTTTCTCGTCACCGTTCAAATCAATCTCGCATTGCGTTCTCAACTTTGAGACATGCTGACCGTAAGTGATAATCTGGAAATGAGAATTTAGCCTGCATATTTATTAAATAAAAGAGGTTGTCTGTCCGTTTGTCCGTTTGTCCGTCTGTCTATCCGTATGTCTGTACTGTCTTTTCTCAGCCATCTTTAAGCCAAAGAAACTGAAATTTCTTAAAAAGTCTCAAAGTATCATATAGTTGTGTCATTTAAAATTTATTCAAAAAATTCAAGGTTGAGTGGCAACGGGAGTCGAACCCGGATCGTGTGAGTTGTAGACAAGCGCGCTGTCGACTGCTCTTTTTTTGCCAAGCCAGAAAAACCCGTCATTAGATGGGTTCTTCAAAAATTGATGCGGTGCACTGAATTTCTCATTTCTTGCAGTAGCAAGACAAATTCAGTGCACCAAGAGAGGTGTGTTTACAAGAGCTAAGGGTACTGTAGTAGGCCTGGATACTGTAACAGGCCTGGGTACTGTAGTACGCTTGGATACTGTAGTAGGCCTGGGTACTGTATTGTGTGCGCAAGATGTCGGTTTCACTTATTTGTTACAGTAACCAAGCACTTTCTAAATCACGAGAGTACAACTTGTACAACTACAACGACAAGTGTACCTCTCCCAATTTTCCGTCGGCTTCCGTTTTGTCAATCAACGAATACCCGCAACGATTCGTGGAAGTGTTCTCGTCATCGATACGAATGACGCCTAAACTCGGGTGTAAAACGGGCAATCAACTACCGAGTAAAGCAAGCGGAATTGAACCGGAATTGAATTGAACCCCGGCAAGAGGAATTGATTTTGTCAGCAAGGGGAATTGAACCCGCGAAAAGGAACGGGATAGGTTTTAGAATCTAGCACACTATCCCCTAGGCCACAGCTACTATTGCTGCCTCTCGGCGTGGCGCCCTTTTATAGGCCCTCTTATAGGCGAGGTCGCCAAAGAATTGCCGAAACTTTGTCTGGTCAATGGGAAGTTGAAATAGTTTCCTAGGTTAATCCCTTTTCCGTCTCACCATCCATCGCTTCATCCTCGGCATCTTCGTCTTCAATCGTTGTCGTTCCCATCAATCCACTACCCATCAGATTCCCATTCTTCTCGTTGCCATTCTTGAAATTCCCATTCTTCGCACAACCATTTTGTACCGATTCATCGGTTTGGCTAAAGTTTGAGATTAAGTACAGTAGATATAGATGATTTAGATTTAGATAATTGTCCAAAGGCTTCAATATCAGAACCAAGGCCAAGTACGGCCAGCTAATCATGGCCTGGCTTCTGATCTTGGTGTAGCCTAGCCAAAAACCTCTTTGGTCCCAAAAGCTAGGCCTGAAACTAGCCTGGTATAGTCTAGCTTGACTTACAGGTTTACTATAAAGAGGCTTACTATACTACAGATTTACTATAAAGAGCAGATCAAAAGCAGAGCTATTCTAAGGGTATTTTCCAGGTGAAGCTAGTTCAGCTAGGGCTGGGTTCGGCCAGAAAAGCCAAAAGCTTCTGATCTGGCTTCTAAGCTGGTTTTAGACCTGAAAAAAGGATTTCTAGGGCCAGGAGCTTGACCTAAACCGGTCTAGACTCTAGCCTTAGTGCCTAGAACAAAACTGTAGCTAGAGTAACGAACATATCATACTTGTTAGCCGGGCTTCTCCTTGTTGGCGGTTCTTCACGAGATGTGCCCGCTTCGGAGTCTGAATTGATCGAATTATTTCGAGTCTTTTATTGAGAATTATTGAGCCAACTGGCTACTGATGTTATCTTTAAATACAAATTTTCCTAATAATCTTACTCTAATGTACAGGTTGGCTGGAAATTACGTGTACATGATTTTTTTTTTTCATTGAAAGCTCTCTATAAACATATTTCTAAGGCGTTTCTGTTTAAAAGATAGTTAAGTATTTGTAGTTTATAAAAATATGGTTCGGATACAGTTCCAATACGGTTCCAAAACGGTTCCAATACGATTCCAATACGATTCCAATACAGTTCTAATACGATTCCAATACGGTTCCAATACGGTTCCAATACGGTTCCAATACGGTTCCAATACGATTCCAATACGATTCCAATATGGTTACAATTTGGTTCGGATAAGGTTCCAATAAGGTTCCAATATGGTTCCAATATGATTCCAATACGATTCCAATACGATTCCAATACGGTTCCAATAAGGTTCTAGTTTGTTTCCAATGTGGTTCCAATATGGTTCCAATATGATTCCAATACGATTCCAATACGGTTCCAATAAGGTTCTAGTTTGTTTCCAATGTGGTTCCAATATGGTTCCAATATGATTCCAATACGGTTCCAATACGGTTCCAATAAGGTTCTAGTTTGTTTCCAATGTGGTTCCAATATGGTTCCAATATGATTCCAATACGATTCCAATACGATTCCAATACGGTTCCAATAAGGTTCTAGTTTGTTTCCAATGTGGTTCCAATATGGTTCCAATATGATTCCAATACGGTTCCAATACGGTTCCAATAAGGTTCCAATAAGGTTCTAGTTTGTTTCCAATGTGGTTCCAATGTGGTTCCAATGTGGTTCCAATATGGTTCGGATACGGCTGCAATATGGAAATTACGCGCACATGATTTTCTTTTCATTAAAAGCTCTCATAAACATATTTCTAAGAAATTTCTGTTTAAAAGATAGGTAAGTATTTGTAGTTTATAAAAATCAAATTCGGATCAAAAGTGGAGCTTTGGTACTTCATCCGTCGAGTCTGGACAACTATTGGACCCCAAATTCTACGTGATAAACGCGTCCAAAGCTCGCTCGATAAGGAACCAAATTTAGAGAGATAAGGAACCAAGTTTGTTTTGCGTCGCAGCACTCCGCACCGTCATTATGTGGGTGGGGTACTATTACAGTATTTAAGGTAGCTACATCTTACATCTTCTAAACTTCTTAGAAATATGTTTACAGAGAGCTTTCAATGAAAAGAAAATCATGTGCACATAATTTTCAGTCACTCTGTTATCGCATTGCCAATTTTATGCAATTTTTCATCATTTTTCAATAAGATTCAAGAAAACGAATGACTTTTTCACCTTGTTGCCGCCTTTTTTGTCCTCTCGATGGTCGATTTGTCCTTTTCAAAGTCGGCATTCCATTCAACGAGGTTGTACTTCCTTTCTAAAAAAATTAACGTTCAACTTTTTCTTCAATCAATTCTCACCGTTTCCAAGATAATCGACTGAGATTTCTCGACAAACACTTGACATTTCAAGAATAATTCGATCTGAAAAATGAAACTCTGAAAAGGTGTTTTTAGAAAATCCAGCCAGTAATCAAGCCAGCAATCAAGCCAGCAATCAAGCCAGCAACCAAGCCAGCAATCAAGCCAGCAAGCCAGCAATCCAGCCAGCAATCCAGCCAGCAATCCGGCCAGCAATCAAGCCAGCAATCCAGCCAGCAATCCAGCCAGCAATCAAGCCAGCAAGCCAGCAATCAAGCCAGCAAGCCAGCAAGCCAGCAATCCAGCCAGCAACCCAGCCAGCAATCAAGCCAGCAAGCCCAGCCAGCAATCAAGCCAGCAATCCAGCCAGCAATCCAGCCAGCAATCAAGCCAGCAAGCCAGCAATCCAGCCAGCAATCAAGCCAGCAAGCCAGCAATCAAGCCAGCAATCAAGCCAGCAATCCAGCCAGCAATCAAGCCAGCAAGCCAGCAATCCAGCCAGCAATCAAGCCAAAAAAATCCCTTCAAAAATCATTTACCTTTCGATTTTCTGCAAACAATTGCGGATAGAATTGCTCAATTCGATCAGCTGCTTCCGATGATCGCTTTGAGATAATCAACGATCGAATGGCTAAATTGTTAATGTAAATTCAAATAAAAAAAAAACACATACAATTCCTTCGATTTATCCCCTCTTCAGTGAAGTTGAGGTTCGTTTTCGTGAGTCGAGTGAGAGCTGTTAGAGCACGGACATGGCCCTCGCTCAACAACCACGAACAAATCGCACTGAAAAAAGGGTGATAGTTTATCGAAAATTTGCTTTAAAGCTTTAAAAGGCTTCTTCACTAGCCGATAAACAGGGCATTGGTGGCTCAGTGGCGCATTAGATTTCCGCTCACATGATCATGGTTCGATCCCTGATGCATCTTTTTCTTTTTGGAAGAACTTCTAACATTTTGCATGCATTATGGCGGTTTGTTAAGTAGGAATTGGTTATTAAAGTTCAATTTGATTGACAATATCCTTTTTTCAATTCAATTCAATTCAAATTTAAGCGTTTTCTGATCAATTTTCATTCTTTTTAATTTATTTTGGTTTGTTTTTGGCTTGTTTTTGGTTTGTTTTTGGTTTGTTTTTTGTTTATTTTGGTTTGTTTTTGTTTGTTTTTGTTTTTTTTTTGTTTTTTTTTGTTTTTTTTTGTTTCTTTTTGTTTCTTTTTGTTTCTTTTTGTTTAATTTTCATTTAAATGTTGAATTTTAGTCTAAAACTCCTCATTAATATGTGCAAATTGTGTAAATAATATACAATTAAAGGAATTAAAAGAAAAACCCTGCAATTAGCTGCAAAATGCTAGAAGAAAAGAGAAAAACAAACAAAAGAAAAATAAAAAGCTGCATCAGGGATCGAAACCTAATCATGTGAGCAGAAATCTAATGCGTTATCCACTAGGCCACCAATCTATGTTTTCTCGGCTAGAGAAGAAGCCTTTTAAAGCTTTTAACGCCGTTTTGAGGCTGTTTTGAGGCCGTTTTGAGGCCTTTTTTTACTCCTTTTTGACGCCAAATTTTCACACTTGAAAAATCATTTGAGAGATTTTGATTTCAGTTTGAGATTCCTCATATTCGATTCTATAAAGTGCACCAAGTGCCCAGACAAAAGCTCACCTTTGAGTTCATGCCTTTCCCTAGTCTAAGTTTCCCTAATTCTTTCCCTTTCCCTAGTCTTAGCTTCTAATCAATTCCTAGGTCTATAAGTCAAGTTAAAAGTCAAATCTAGATCTAGCCTGGGTTCTAAGCTGACCTTAGAGAATGTAAACAGATTTGCCGGGTTTAATTTTATGGTTTAAACCTAAAGTAAGTCAGGCTAAGAGTTTTGAAGAGAATTTTGGTTCTGCCTGACTTGTTCTGCCTGACTTGATCTAGCCTGATTATTTTAGTTCAAGCCCACAAAAGTGGTACACAAAAATATGGCTTATCAGAAGCTAGACTTGAACTTCATTTGATCAAGTTTTGGCCAGAGTGGTTAGAGCTCAGTGGTTAGTTCAAGCCGACAAAAGTGGTAAAGCCTGGAAAGCAAAAATGCCTGAGCAATTGCCTGGAAAGCAAAAAGTCGATGATTCAATCCCTTCTCCGGAAATCTTTCTTGTCAATTTCTTTACTTCTTTATTACTATTTCTTTCTTACTTGCTACTTTCTTACTTACTTTCTTCGATCTACTTTTTTGATGTCTTCTTTTCGACTATTCTATTAGACTACATTATTCTATTCTATATCCAAAATTTGAATAGAGAAATCAATACGTCTTCCTCTCTTTTATCAATAATCAATACCTTTCTTTTATCAATAATCAATACCTATTCATCCATGTCCCTTTTTCGGCCGGTAACGCGACATTCTCGATCTCGTCACCAACTTCTTTCTGTAGATTCTATAAAAATTTCATTTACATAAGCAAATTTCATTTAAATAAGCAAAAATTTGATCTTAAAATCACACTCACTTGAAGATCTTTATCGATATTGTAAATGAATGGCTTTTGTCCAAAATTTGAGTCAACAATTTCGTCGGGACTCTGCAATCCCAGCGCTGGATACAATTGAATTGCCGAATCCGAGATTTGAACTTTCGATGCAGAACCTGAAAAAGAATTGAAAAATTGTTATTTGATATTTCAAATTTCACCCAAATTCTTTCCATTTAACGTGAAGAAGACCGTTTGCTCGACGAGATTTATCCCAGCGCCAACTGTATCGTTTTCTTTAAATTTTGGTCCATACTCACGACCGTTACCTGAAAATTCGCATCTAAATCATTTCCCGGACTATCGTTGTTTAGTCTAATTGATGAAAAAATAGGAAATAGTGAGAGAAATTATCGTGCTTATTCCAATCTTCATCTATTTCCTAATCTCTTCCTTCAAGAATTCACTCAAAAGAATTAATTTTTTTACCATCACTTGTGAAAAAGTATCCATCATCACCGTGATAAGCGTACGAGTGCGGATCCCAGCCTGAAAATATTAGGAAAGCTTTAGAAGTTATAGAAGTTATAGAAGTTATAGAAGTTATAGAAGTTATAGAAGTTATAGAAGTTATAGAAGCTATAGAAACTCTAGAATTTCTCTTTAAAGCTATAGAAACTCTAGAATTTCTCTTTAAAACTCTAGAATTTCCCTTTTTGTAAAGCAACTTCCCATTCTAAACCTTGTTTTCAAAATCACCCTAATTCTAAAGCACATTTTCCGTTTCTAGAAAAATTCTTTTTGTATCGATACTTCTACGGCTCAGTGCCAAGGTTAAGCCTGTCTTGTAAAGCCTACAATATGACTTGTAAAGCCTACAATATGTCTTGTAAAGCTGTTCATTTTTCCATTTGATTGTCATATAGGTGTACAAAAGAAAAACGAGTTTTGATCACTTCAACAACTACTTTTTTCAGAATCTCGTGCTACATGAAGATCGAATTTTTCAAGCTCTATCTTTTGATCTGAAAAAATCCTTGAACAAGACATTGAAGTGGTGAAAAGTCATTTTTCCGTTTTACACCTATTGAGAGACCTAAAATGAACAGATCTAGTGTATTGGATCAGAGCAATCGGTTTAAAAAAACGTCCGAGAAAACGAAGGTGGAATTAGGTTCAGCTTTGAATTTCCTATGCCTATACTTTACTAATACTGGGGCTAATCAAGGCCATTTGCAAATAGTAGGTGCTAGTACTATCCCAACAGTTGTAAAACGTAATTTGAAAAAAATCCAGGTATTTTGAACGGGTCGTTGACTTTGAAGGCCTATAACTTTCCCCTAGAGACAATATTTCTACTAACATTTTATATCATTGTACAGAGGACATTTCAGGCTTTCGAATGATACCAAATAGAGCTGGATTGGATAAACGAGTTCAAGAAAATCAGAGCCAACTCTCAGACTGAGACCGATCCAACTCGGGTGTCGTGTCGCCTTGTTTGCATGGGAATGAAAAACCGAATCAAGCTCTATTTGGTCTCATTTGAAAGCCTGAAATGTCCTCTGTACAATGATATAAAAAGTTAGTAAAAATATTGTCTCTAGAGAAAGTTCTAGGCCTTCAAAGTCAACGATCCGTTCAAAATACCCGAAAACTCTTACCCGGCATCCGCGCTGTTCCCATAGTTCTTGGCCCAAAGCCGACACCGACTCGGCCGTCTTTTCCCTGAGAAATTGTCACCTAAAATACAAGAGTATTTTCGTAGCTAGCCTATTATATCTAAGCTTAGCGTAAACTTCAAGTAATAACCTCAAAATAATAGATTCCACATAGACGGGGCACTGGTGCATTGGCTCGAATCAATGCGGCGGTCGCTTTATCCGAATTTGGATTGATTGCGTGACTCGTGTGACTCGTCTTTTGACCTTAAAAAAGGAATCACTTAATTTACTAATAATTTACGTCTATTCACCTCGATTTGATACACGGAGACAATTGTGTTGTAGTTCGATCAGCTCACTTTTATCTTGTGGATTCCAATGAAGCGGCAGAGATGCATTCTAAAGATTTGAGGCAAGGTTACGATAGTCGAAAAAATTGCCACGTTTTAGAAAACGCAGGAGTAGATATCTGATGCATACCCTCTTCTAATCCGTTTTCTAAACCGTGCCCCTTTTGACCGTAATCTTGTCCGTCAAAAAATACAGACTGAAAGACAGACAAGATTACGGTAGAAAGAGAGAGTGATCTTTTCGGGGGTGGGACAAATGCGACCTTTTTTTGCTGGAAAAGGCCTTAGGAAAGGTCGTAGAGCGTCAAAAATGTTTTCATAGAACGGAATCGTATGCGTAGATTCCGAATTTCGACAAATCAGACCTCGCTGACACGTCAAATTTGGGTTAAAAGGCAAAAACTACGCAACTTAACGCTTTTCCGCAGTTTTTGCCTTTTAGCCCAAATTTGACCTGTCAGCGAGGTCTGATTTGTCGAAATTCTGAATCTACGCATACGATTCCCTTCTATGAAAACATTTTTGACGCTCTACGACCTTTCCTAAGGCCTTTTCCAGCAAAAAAAAAAGGTCGCATTTGTCCCACCCCCGATCTTTTCGTCTAAAAACAAGACAGACTAAAAGACAGACAAGACTACGGTAGAAAGATAAAGTAGTCTTTTCTGGGCGGTGGCTACTTTGCGCCAAATTTTTTGCGCAACTCACCATAACTTTCTTCTAAGTCGGTCAATCTTTATGATTTTGGTTTCATTTTGTAGATCTTAATAAGTGCAACAAAATGACACCAAAACCATAAAGATTGATCCACTTAGAAGAAAGTTATGGCAAACTACGCAAAAGGCCCTGTTGGGCAAAAAGTTTGGCGCAAAGTAGCCACCCCCCTTTTGTGTCTAAAAATAAAGACAGACATAATTACGGTAAAAAGAGACAGCCAAGATTACGGTAGAAAGACAGACAAGACTTTTTTCCAACATACATTTGCCACCGCAAATGGATACAATGCTTTCAACCGTCGCATCGTTTCATTTGCGTTTTCCTCGTGTGCGAACGTTTCCTAAATCTTGCTCTCCAGTTACCGTAATCTCTCCAATTACCGTCGAAAAAGTGCCCGAGCTTCGACCGCTCACAATCTCCGAGCCGATCGATGACTGAAATACAGTAATGTTGATGTTAAGTATAAAGTGAAAAGTGAATATCCTGACATCTGTTAATATATCATTTCTATTTTATGCAAACTATTCGATATCGAATAGAAAGACTAATCCTCTTGACTAATCCGTTTTCTAAAAGAGATCTATTTCAGAAATTACCAAAAAATCTAATCGCCAGTTTACATTTAGTCAGCCCAATTTTTGTCTCATTGCCTAAGCCTTGTGATTTCCCATCAAATGATACAAAAATTGGACTGGTCTAGTGGAAACTGACGATTTGGTTACAGTAGTTTTCTAAAATTGCCTAAATATAGGTGCCTTTTAGAAAACGGCTGCCTTATTTCTCCAAATTTGGTTCCTTATCTCTAAATTTGATTCCTTATCTATAGGAATTTGGTTCCTTATCTCTCTAAATTTGGTTCCTTATCTCTCTAAATTTGGTTCCCTATCTCTAAAAGGATCGACTTTGCTTTAAATCTTTAGCCTTTAAAAATCTAAAACTCACTCCTTCTCCATATTCATCATCGTTTGATGTATCATCGAATGTCACCACATTGTTGAACATTCTACAGGTGTTGCGCTTTTTGAAATTCTAAAAGACAACATGTTTCCAAGAATTTTTCCTTACACAAAACAAGTTTTATAATTTCGTTTAAAAAAATCGACTATAAAACTACAATCACTACAATCAAAACTACAAACTTTTCGCTGTTGAGAATTTTGTTTTTCTAATGAAAGCTAGCTGTATGAATTGCCGAACGACTTGTTCTGAGGCTAAAACGTATCCAAATTATCCAGAACTACACTTAAAAAGGTTGAAAATGAAAAGAAGTGACGTGATTTTTAAGAAATTTCATAGAAACCTCAGTTTTTAACTTATTTTCGCTTGTAAAACGATTCAATTAATATAAATGATTAAAATCTATAGTAAGCAGTCAAAATAAAAGTAAAGAAATGAAAGAAACAACATTTTTAACATGTAGAAATAGAAATCCTATAGAAACCTCAAATTTTTTAACTTATTTTCGCTTGTACAACGATTCAATTAATATAAATGATAAAAATCTATAGTAAGCAGTCAAAAATAAAGGAAATAATATGATTTTTAACATAAAAAAAAGAAATCCTATAGAAATCTCGTAGTTTTTAACTTATTTTCGCTTTTAAAGCGATTCAATTAATATAAATGATAAAAATCTATTGTTAGCAGTCAAAATAAAAGTCAAAAAAATGAAAGAAACAACATTTTTAACATGTAAAAATAGAAATCCTATAGAAATCTCGTAGTTTTTAACTTATTTTCGCTTGTAAAACGATTCAATCAATCATAAATGATCAATATAATCAATATAATCAATATAAATGATCAATATAATGAATATAAATGATCAATATATAGTTAGCAGTCAAAATAAAAGTCAAAAAATGAAAGAAACAACATTTTTAACATATAAAATAGAAATTCTATAGAAATTCTATAGAAGTCTCGAGGTTTTTCACCCCCTCTTTTCCCCTTTTTCCTTATATTTTCTTTTTGATGTCACGATGTGATGGGGTAAATGTGCTTTGCTTCTTTTCGCACGCAACGCGGCTAGTGCAAAATATCTTTAGCACATGAAAATCGAGATTATTTCTTTTTTTTTCGCCAAGTTCTCCCAATAAGATTGTATTTTTTGTGTTTATTCTTTTCAATTTCGTTTTCTTCTTTGAAACTTTATCAAATTTAGGCAATGACATCACCGAGCTTACCGAAGAAACGAAAAGCCGAGCCGATTCCCGATGATGAAGCGGCACTAGCGTCGAAATTGTTCTCTAGTAAGTCGTTTTTTTTTAAAATTCCAGCTCCTAGTTATGATTCAAGCTCTTTTAAGCAAAGACTTAAAGATTTTTAGTTGCTAAAAAGTTGCTTTTTTGGTTGCTTTTGTTGTTTTTGTTGTTTTTGTTGCTAAAAAGCAGAAACATTACAAAAGTTGATTTTCCATCCAACAAGCATATTAAAAAGCTCTTCATGCTATAGAATTATGCTAATTCTATAGCATAATTCTCTAATTCTATGCTAATTATGCTAATTCTATAGCATGAAGAGCTGTTTCTAACTAACTAACTTTAGCTTCAGCAACTTTAAATTGGCTTCAGCTAACTAGCTTCAGCTAACTAGCTTCAGCTAACTAACTTCAGCTAACTAACTTCAGTTAACTAGCTTCAGCTAACTAACTTCAGCTAACTAGCTTCAGCTAGCTAACTTCAGCTAACTAGCTTCAGTTAACTAGCTTCAGTTAACTAGCTTCAGCAACTTTAAATTGGCTTCAGCTAACTAGCTTCAGTTAACTAGCTTCAGTTAACTAGCTTCAGTTAACTAGCTTCAGCTAACTAACTTCAGCTAACTAGCTTCAGCTAGCTAACTTCAGCTAACTAGCTTCAGCTAGCTAGCTTCAGTTAACTAGCTTCGGCAACGTTAAATTGAATGCTTTGGAAATTGTTAAAGCATAATTCTTTAGAAACAGAATAAAGATTAAAACGGTGGATGTTACTATAACTACAGTCGACTTTTCTCTAAATAGCCGTCGTAGCCAACCGGATATATTGATTGAATTAAGGGTTTGGTCGACTAAGAATTAAGGGTTCGAGCCCGGCGGCTAGAAATATTGGTTCTTTTTCCCATTATTATGGATTTTTTCTTAACAACATTTAGGCAATAGGAGTCAAAATTCCCTCCTTTTTGTTGTAATTCATTATTCGTGTTGAATAAATATACATTTTATAACGGAATGGAAGGGACCAAAAAAGTTTCCGTTATACGGTGTGCCTTTTTATATCGCTTAGCGTCCACCGGGACCAAAATTCCTTTTCGTTATATAGAGTTTTTCGCTATATAGAGTTCCGTGCTATATAGAGTTCCCTTATAGAGAGAGTCGACTGTATTATGTCTTTTTTAGATCGAATCCTTGCCAAAAAGGAGTATGATGATGATGATGATTTTGAGTCGGATTTGGACGATGATATACAAGTAACAGCTGAGGTAAGTTTCAAAGTTCTAAAGTCCTATTTTAACGATTAAAGTTGACGGAAATTTAATAGATTAGAAGAATCAGCAGCTATCTGATAAAGCTTTTCTTTTAGGAAACCACTGTTTCAAAAGCTGTCTGGCACGATGAAGACGATGATGAAAGTGGAAAGGTAAACAACTGTTTCTTAAATCATATTTGAAATCTTTTAGTTGATACAAATCAAGAAGAGCAAATTGACGGACCATTTGAGGAAAACCACAGACGATGGAGAGGGAATTTCGAAAGGGGTACGGGGAAATATTCAATTTAGATCTAGAAATATTCAAGTTAGATCTAGAAATATTCAATTTTTTGAGTATCAACTATTTATTCATTCAGGATTTTCAACAACGTTTACGCGGTGCTTTCACCAAACTGAATTCCCGAGGGAAACAACCAAAATGGGCACAAATGAGAGGTATTTTAAAGGAAAACAGTAATTGCTCAAACTTTTGTTTAGAAGAAAAATTGGATGATGATGCGGATAATCTTGTGCGAGAAATCACACATACAGCTGGACGGTTGGGATTTTTATGGAGTTATAATAGTTAAATAATAGTTAGATAATAGTTAAATAATAGTTAAATAATAGTTAAATAATAGTTAAATAATAGTTAGATAATAATTAGATCAAATTGTACTTCTTCTAATTATGTTATCGTGGTTTAAAGGATTGGAGCAAACAGC